ACTTCATATGGTGACGGTTTATTTTGGTTAAATGTGAAGATAATTGATTGTATAGAACTGTATCATACGATAGTTTATATGGATTTCCGACAACACTTCTCTGGTTTATGCATCAACCAAGTGAATTAAAATTATACACATTATGAATTATTACTAGTTTTTATCCTTGGTTCATAGTAACAGGCTGTTAGACACGATTGTAAAAACCATTTAGTTGTCATTAATTTCTTCATTTGCTTGATGGTGGGCGAGAACTGAAAGTTCTTTTCTTTTTGGGCTTTATTACGTTTGAAAGGGCAATTTCAACTCCTAACTTGAATAGAAGTGAAAAAAAAAAAAAGGTTGAATCTTGATGGGTGAGAATTGGCTGAAATTTAAGAACTTGATGCTGTATGGAGAGCTTTCTGAAGGTCTAAAAAAGGTTGAATCTTAATGGGTGAGAATTGGCTGAAATTTAAGAACTTGATGCTGTATGGAGAGCTTTCTGAAGGTCTAATACACATGTTATGGCCCGGACCCTTGCTATGGTTTATAGCCTGGACTTGAACAAAAGCGGTAAAATTATGTTTTTGTAGTAGTTATTGGATCATTATTACTTAGCCAGCCATATTTTGGCTATTATATTAGATTAGGTTAGGTGCATATTGCACGTGATAGATGCAAGATAAGCAGTGGTGCCAGGATGATTAGTGATTTATAACAACTGAAAATTCTGTTTCTAAGTAATCTACACCCCACGTATCTGACTTTAAAAGCTGTGCTCCAATCCTAGTTCATTAACGAAGTAATATGTGTTCTTCTATTCTACACTTTGTGATGAGACGAGACTGTATTCTTTTAAGTTACGAGTGCAATTCAATCTTCTGTGTCAATCTGCGCCTCACCATGCTTCTACACATCATGCATCCATTATTGTATTACCATGTGATTTAATGAAGATGAATAAAGCTTCTGTGATTGTTATCAATTTGTAATGAACAAAAGCAAAATAAAAAATATCCCATAAAATTATCATGAATTGGAACAGTTTTGTCTCCCTTAAATGTCGACAATGTCCCCCCTTGTTGACATCTCTTATCCATGTTTTTTCAGGTTGACATGAGAGCTAGAATTCGAGGAAACAAGGGTTATTAAGTGCCTGGGAATGCTTGAACGAAACCTTCCTTCAACCTTGCCCATTGCAGTAGAAACACACCCTACCTTGTAATCAAGGGATTTTGTTGCTGAGATGATTCCTGGATGATGTTCATGTATCCCTCTTTTGCCTTTTCTTTTCAGAGTTTTCTTTTCTAAGTTCTTACTGATTACTGAGACTTGTACATGGAGAATATCATTTTTTTTTCCTGAAAAAGAGATACCATTGATTAGAAAGATAAATCAGTTGATTGGACAGTGACCTGATGGTCACGCTAGTAGTGCTAATCTAATATACTAAGAATGAGCAAATTTGTTGACCGATTTTGGATTGCGCCATAGAGAATTTAGCTTAGTGGAATGCTTATTGGAACCCATTATGTTATCAGCCCAATCATTGCATGTTGGCTTGAGGATATTCCAATGCTTGAGGATGACATTAACCATGGACCATGGTACAGATTAAAGCACACAATGAGAATTGGATTCCACTAGTTGGATTCCAAACACGCTAAAGTTGGATAAGTCCAATTCTAGAGAGTAAATTACAAGTTGGATTCCACACGTTTATTTTATTTAAAAATTTTATTTTTTATTTTTGTATTTTTTATTTATTGTTTTTTTTTCTATTTTTTAAAACAAAAAACCAAAATAAAGCTAATTAATTCGTGTTTCGAAACTAAATGGATTAATTTATAATTTGCTCAAATACTAAGCAAAATAAGTAATGGTGGCTTCCAACATCCAATAGGTAAAATCCCAATAGGACAAACTGAAACTTCAATGAATTTCAATAATTTAAGGAACTATAGTGTGTTGTCTTTCAATTTCATTTATATCCAAATATTTATTTCAACTTGGCAGCACATAAATGGTTAGATTTTAGCTACTCTGACTTCAAGAAGCGGCCCAAAAGGCAGAAATTCGAAGTGAGAATTTCTTGCAAGAAATTCAAAACTACCGCTCGTTTGGCTTGCACAGAGAAGAAAGAGGACTCCCAAAGTCCGAAATGATCTTTTTTTCCTTTTTGCTTGTCCGGGTAAGAAAGAGCGTAGGTATTTGATGGAGACTGAGAGAGCTATGTTAACCAGACGTGTCTCTATTGTTACGCTGTAACCATGGCCCCAAATGGGAGTAAATTATAAATTAGTCCTTGTAGTTTTTTAAAATGAATTAAATAGTTCTTTTATTTTAAAAAATAATTAGTTAGTTTTTAAATTACCGTTGAATATGGTTAATTTAATATTATTTTGTCCTAGAAGATTTATTGTTTTTTCATCAATCTTTTCATATATTTTTATTTCTTAAAATAAATTGAAAAAAACAAAAATATTAAGTTATAAATAAATTTAAAAATATAAAAATTACAAATTAATCCTTATTGTTTTGATTAAGTAAATTAATCAGTTTTTCTCATTTAAAAAACTAATAATTTAATTTCTATATTTTAATTCTGTCAATAATTTAATCTTTTTGTTACTTTTCCGTTAAAATAGTGATAAAGAGATATCTTTAATACAATATATTTTTAGAAATTTTATAATATTCAAGAAGTAACTAACGTAAGTTACTCCATAGAGAAAAAAAACACAAATAAAAGAGAGAAACATGAGAGAGAAAATTAAAAAATTAAGCCAATTTGAAATTTTTTTTATTACTTTTGATATATTCGGATGTGATTATCTTTTTTTAATGGTTCTATCTCTCTCGTGAAAATTGGGCTTATAATGTCGTATCTTTTTACTGTATATGTCCACTAGTTACTCCTTAACTATTATAAAATTTCTTTTTTTTATATCCAAATTATTATTATTTTTATTCATTATTTCTATACTTCACACATATATCTTCCATTTTCTATCTCAAGAACTAAAATAAATTTCAATTTCTCTTTCCAAATTTTCACTTCTCATTTTATTAATCTCCATTTTTTTTTCAGCATCAAAACATATATTTTATAGATTGATACTATCATATATCCCGCACGTTATCGTGGGATGAGCCATGCAACATTCTTATGTGTTCATTCATATAAAATAAAAAATTTAAAAATAATTATTTAAAAGGGTCACATGAAAAAAAAAAACTAAAACGTATATCTCATATTTCTGTCGTAGGGTTAGTTAAATGAAAAGTCTCGTAAAGTTGAGTAATATAATGCTAATAATTAGATATTGCTTAATATAAACATGTATTTTATTAGAAATATGTATAATAACTAATAATTAAATTAATGATGTGGTATTTTTTTGAATTTTATATGATTAATTTTTATCATATATTCTTCATCCGTAATTTATTAATGAGATAGAGAGATCATCCAAGATAAAAAAACAAAAAAGCTTTATCAAATTGAGAATTTAGCAAAAATAAATAAATAAGATAAAAGTACACACATTAAAAATTAAATGATCAAAATATAGTAAAGATCATAAAAGAAGGATCAAAATAAATAAAAAATTCACTAAAAGAAAAAAAATTATAAACAATAAGACTAAAAAAAAATTAATTATACATAAGGCGGGAACAAAAGTAAAACATAATAGAATTTTAATAATCAAAATAAAAAAAAATTCATAAAATAAGAACTAAAACGGAAAATATTTTTTTTGCTAAAAGCAAAAAAAAAAAAAAACTTCGAATAGTGAAAGCGTATTTAATTTTAGTGTAGAAAGAATAATAATAAAATATAATAAAATTTTAATGATTAAAATAAAATAAAGATCACAAAATAAAAACCAAAACATAACAAAAAGTTTTACTAAAAGTAAAAAATAGTTCATTGTAAGAAAAAAATCAAATATAATAAAAATTTAATAATCAAAATAAAAAACAATTACAAAACATGGACTAAAATAAAAATAAAATTCTACTAAATTCAATGACCAAAATAAAGAAAAAAAATCACAAAATAGGAATTATAAATGAAAGAAAAGTTTCACTAAAAGCAAAAACATGGTAAAAATCAAACATGATAAAACTTTAATGACTAAAATAAAAACATATCACAAAATATGAACAAAAAAAGACGTAATTTTTTACCAAAAATCAAGAAAAAAATATTTATTATAGGGATAAAAATCAAACATAATAAAATTTTTATATTTATTATAGGGACACAAATCAAATATAATAAAATTTTTATATCTATTATAGGGATGAAAATCAAATATAATAAAATATTAATGATCAAAACAAAAAAAATTACAAATCAAGGACTAAAATAAAAATAAAAGCCAAAAGGGGGTTTGAAAAACACAGCAAGAGAAACAAAGAAAAGAAAAGAAAAGAAAAGAAAAAAAAAAGAAAAAGAGGGGAGGGGAACAGTAAATGAACAGGGAAAGTGCTACAGCACTTTCCCGTTTTCATTTAGTATATCTTGTAATATTATATACGTTGAATGATTTTTTAGATATTAAATGATTGGTGCAAAATGGATTAATCAATTCGTTTCTTGAAACAACAAGTACTACTTTATAATTTACTTTTTCTGACAGAATATAAAGTACATTTATCTGTGAATTAAAAAAAAAAGAGTACAAGTTAAAATATAGAAATAGAAATAGAAATAAAAACAATGAAATGAAGATCAGATGAGGAACGGACGTTAGAGATAAATTGCAAGAAAGAAACAGAGAGAGAGAGATACAGAGATAGGATATTTATTAAATGCTCCTTTTCTTTCTCATGGCGGATATTACAAGAACTACTACACTTCTACTTGCTTCTCAAATCCTCTCTTTGTCTTTCTTGGAGTTATTGATGTTCTTTCATTTGGGTTCTTGGTCTTCTTTTGTTTCGTGTCTTTAGTTGTTGCTGGAAATACAGGTTTGTTCTTGAAAGAAAGAAAGAGACAGAAGGATCAAATGGCTGTGTCCTTGGCTTTTGTCAATCTTGCATTTCAGTTTAGTAATGTTAAAGTTGCAGAAAATCCCTTGTGTTTTGGCTTGGCTCCTACACAACTTCCTTTTGTATGCAAGGAAAGAAGAAGGTATGCTTACTTTCAGACACTGTTCCCTCTTTTTCGGAGTTGTAATAAAGTTTTGAGTTATATCATTTTACTTGTTCTTAGTTTTTAACTGTGGATTTGACTGCTTCAGCTTTAACCTGAAAGTTTCAATCTTTATTGATCGTAGCATTATTTCTATGGCTCTGTTGCATTTTATTAAGAACTCGAGTGAGTGTTGAAAACAGCAATAACGCATCTAAATGTGACTGGTTTCCTTTATTTTTGTTGGATAGTTTTCTCTCCATGTCAAGTTCTTTAAGTTTTCTAGTGGTTTAAGGATTGGCCAGAGTATGTACTATCCGTACCTTAACAATCGCAGCTAGATTTGCCCTTTTCATGTTTCTATCAAAAGCTCAAAACTTGAAGATCACTACTAATTACACACTTTAAATTCTTGTATCAATCCCCTAAAGGCTCATCGACTTGGATTAGGTGCTAACCGTGTTTTCATCAATAGAATGGTACAAGGAATAGCTGAATAAGAACTCATCAGCCACAAGATAGTTGTTAAACATTGTCTTGATTCTGAAAGCCTCTCTCTAGTGACAACTATCAATCAATGAATAGAGGCATTTTTGGAATAAAATTTAGCACCCCATGACAATGGGGACAAGTTTTACATCATGATACTAGCATCCCATGAATAAAATTACATTTTTACCTCGTTATCCCTTGTTGTCCCTGTACTTTCTCCTAACTGTACATGATTGATGCCAGATTGTCATCCTCAAGGACAATAATCATTCCACGAGCTTCATCGGCTCCAACCATTGAGGTGTAGAGCAGCTTTTGCTGTTTTATTATATTTTAGTGTGTAAGAACTAGTGAATTATTTTGTTTACTGAGTTGAGGAAATGATGTTCTAAACAGGATGGAAGTCCAAATGAGACTGATGCAATTCCAACTCCCAAAGTTATAATTGACCAAGATTCTGATCCTGATGCGACTGTGGTGGAGGTAACCTTTGGAGATCGCCTTGGGGCTCTTTTGGATACGGTATGGAGTCCTTTACTCGCTGAGATAGTCATAGGACTTGTCTTTGTTTTTTTGTTGACATATTTTTTTAGGATCTTTAGATTTTCTGACTAAGAAACTTTTAGTTCTGAATCACTTGTGACTGCCTTCTGGTTAGCATATACAGACAATTGTGAGCAAACTATGATTAAATGCCTTACAGATGAATGCGCTTAAAAACCTCGGGTTGAATGTGGTTAAGGCTAATGTCTGTTTGGATTCTTCTGGGAAGCACAACACATTTTCCATCACTAAAGCGTAAGTTACATCCTGTATGTTATGTTCAGGTTTTGAACATTCACTTTCTTACAGAAATTGGATTCTTTTATCACTGTGTTCCTTTCCTCTCTGCTGTTCTTGAATTCTCCTACTAGGTCAATATAATTGGTTTGTGATTCAATTTTGCGGAGGAATGAAAAGATCAATTTGAACTTAGAACTATATAATGGGAAATGTATTTAGCATGTTAACATGTTAAAGTGTTGTCTGTATGTTCATGTTCATCTCTTTGTTTGGTTTCAAAACTATCAGTGAAAAAGAAGAAAGGGTAGCCATAAAATAGTTAATGGCTTATTGGGAAATGCTTGAATTTATATATGACAATGCTGCAAAAGCACACTAACAACCAGAAGACCAGAGAAATATTCCACAGGACTAAAGCCATATGATTCTATTATTGCAATAGCTTTTTAACTGCAAATCTGATTGGCTCTTGTGATGGAACTTTTTTGCAGTAGTACTGGTAGAAAAGTGGAGGACCCAGAGCTGCTTGAGGCCATTCGTTTGACAATCATAAACAATTTGCTTCAGTATCACCCGGTAATCTTTTTTGGATGTCCATTTCTGCTCTTTAAATATCATGAAAGAATTTCTCTTGTCAGATGTGCGTCTCCTTATACGCGTAACCTAATGACTGTCAAACAGGAATCAAGTTCTCAGTTAGCAATGGGGATGGCCTTTGGAGTAGAGCCACCAAAACAGGTTTCTATTTGTTTATCCGATCTCAATATGTCATTAAATTCTGAAGTTGTTGGCTTTTCTCCATAGCACAACATTTGTCCTTGTGTCATTGCTCCTTAGGACAGATATTATTTGTGTTTCACCCCCGTCTCCAACTTTCTTTGTCATTGTGAAGAAACTGATGTCATAACGGAAGAATGTTAAACAATTCATCTATGAATTATTTAGAGAAGATTCAAGTCCCAACTTAAAAATCTTAGCTCAAAAGTTTGTTATTTTGCAATTCCTCAGGTTGATGTGGACATAGCAACCCATGTAAAAGTCAAAGACGATGGTCCTGACCGAAGGTAACCTGTGCTTTGGATTCTTTTTGAGATATGTCGGGGCTTTTTCCATCCCAAAAACACCTATTAATGCGCAATCACTACATAAATACCCAATTTTACTTGCAACTGTGCTCCTGAACGTTCCTTCAAGTTCGTATTATAGATTAGATTGTACAAGTTGGAAAATACTGTCTCCTTGAAGAATAATAACCTTTTGCTTCTCGACCGTTTAGCACGTGAACAGGAATTACTAAAGGGTTGAGTGTATTTCTGTGGCAGCTTGCTTTTGGTGGAGACAGCTGATCGCCCAGGATTATTGGTGGATCTTGTAAAGATTATCACTGACATTAATGTTGCTGTTGAATCAGGAGAATTTGACACCGAGGTGATATTTCTTCTGCATATATTCTGCATCTTTGAATTTCCTTTCCTTGTACCTTTCTCATATTTTGAAATACAATTAGGCATTAGCCTTAGCATTACAATTACACTGACATTTCCTATTTTGGCTCCTAGGGGCTGTTGGCCAAGGCAAAGTTTCATGTCAGCTACAAGGGTAAAGCCATCAGCAAGCCTCTTCAACTGGTAAGAAATATCAAAGTCTAGGACTTACCGACTAGCCCGTCATTGACGCTACCCTCTTGTTCTCTTTATGAATGCGTTGCTTTGTGAACCTTTGCAGGTTCTTGCTAACAGTTTGCGATATTTCTTGAGGCGACCAACGACGGAGGAGGCAAGTTTTTGACCAAATTCGTGATCATATACTCAATGAAGATTATAATTTATACTCCATATGGGGCAGTGTAGAAAACTGTTCACATTAATCTGCATATAGCAATCACATTGGTCTCACATAAACTACGAACAATATATTATTAGTCTTACCACAATGTCACTGTCTCTTTTAAGGGAAAAAAAGAAGCATTGCAATGGAAATTTTATTACAAAGATCACAGACAGCAGATGGCAGTTCGGTTACAAGAATACAATGGAAGCAAAGCCATTGCTTTTGCCACGATTGATCACCCTTTAATATAAAGAAGTAACTGATACTTTGGATTCCAAAGAATGAATTAACTGATCTACCGAACCGAATAAACAAATAAAACAAACAGTCTGTACTGATTAAGCTGGGTTTAATGGCAAATTTTGCTGTTATTTTGTTGTCATTAGGCATTTTCATACTTTTAGTATTAAATTATATAATTTGAAGTCTAAATTATTGTTTTTTGGATAAAATTTATTCAATTTCTCTAATTATCATTATATGGAACGATCAACTTACTTGGAATGTCAAAACGATTTAGTTTTTACATTTCATTGTTAATTATGTTTTTTTTTTAACAAAAACTTTTGAAAAACATTTTTGACCCTCCTAATCTTGATTTTTTTAAACTTTTTTCCTCATAAAATATTTATAAAATTATATAAAGAAACATTTTATAAGTATTTTTAATCCCTAATTTTGATTTTTTTTAAAAAAAACTTTTTTGTATAAAATATTATAAGCATTTCATAAATTTTTTTAATAATTTATAATTTATAAAATTAGGAGGCTTAATCCTTAATTATACTCATTTTAATTTATAAAATATTTTTTTTAAAAAAGCTTGAAATTGTGTATTATTAATTATTTTTTTTACAATATTTTTTTATAAAATGTTTATAATATTCAATGAGAATTAAATTGTTTATAATATAAATTATTCTATTTACACAATGATCCTGGTTGTTGATTAGCAACGACGTCATGGGGGAAAAGAGGTAAGAATTTGCTTTCCTTTTGCGAATCTAGCTAAGACCCCAAAAACGATGAGGGTTGTTCTGTCAACTTATCGTTATTGACGACGACTTGTCGTTGATTATGTCCGAACAAAGTGTGGTTAAGTCTTTCACGACCTGTCAATGGGTTTGCTCCAAAGAGCCCAAACGTTACCTTCTTGATCGGCGCGGGCCACTGGCCAGGATTGATGATGACTAGCATGGGAATAAAATGGTCCCTGAAAACCCAAATTTTGAGGCCTTTATTTCTGCATCAATTATTTCAAATGGATGGTCCCCACCAAAGTAAATTACATAGTTTTTAATAGTTAATTGGTTATAAAAAATGTCGAACTTTTAGTTTTAGTTATGATTTAGATCCATTTTTTTTAATTTTATTAATCAATTTCAAATAATATTAAACAAGCACCTAAACCATTAAAACAATAGTATATATCACGAAATTTTATAATACACAAGTAGTAACTCAGTGGTATGTATAGTAGTTACTCGTTGGGTCTATTTTAAGGAGAAAGATAGACACACAAAGAGAAAGAGAAAAAAAAATAGAAGAAAGAAAAAAAAATTTTGAGCGGATGTAGAAATCTTCTTATCATTTTTTATGGGTATGAATGTAATTTTTTTCTTTTTTGTGTCTATCTCTGTCCTCAAAGCAGATCCAATAAGTAAGCTACTCGTATATGTCATTAGTTATTTCTTGTGTATTATAAAATTTCTTGTATATATCATTTCATGTACGTCTAACATCTTCATAATAGAAAAAACTTACATGATCATTAGCAAGGTCCATGAATGGTTGCTGGAGGAACAATCATTTATTTCAAAATCTAGAAACTTAGCAGTTGAAACAGACAATGACGCATGTGAAACGGTCCCAAACCAAATCTCCATAGAAATGAGAGAGAATTTGAGCATCAACAGATCAGATCACCTGCAAAGCCAACCGATCTTTAGCAACAAAACTTAGCAGTTGAAACAGACAGTGACGTATGTGAAACGGTCCCAAACCAAGTCTCCATAGAAATGAGAGATATAGATAACACCCCATACCTTCTTACTTTATATATATATATATATAGAAATGCCATGCAATGGATGAACCACCCACGTTGTTTGGGGCTTGGCAAAGACAGGGCGATGTCTTCTGGGGCATTTGCTAGAGGAGCACACACCATGAATTCCACGTTTTTCAAGTAAGGCTTCAAACTTTTTTTTTTAATGACTCATAACATCTAATTCTTTAATTTGTTTTTATATTGTTAATCAAATCAATTTTATCACTAATATACGTTAAGTATTTAATCCATTTTTTCTAGCAAAATTTTCAAATTGAAATATCAATCACATTATTTGCATATGAAAATTTTTTATTTAACTAACTTACAAAGATATTTTAAGAATAAAATTTAATTATACGCAAATAACGTAAATAATCCTGATAATTTGGTTTGAAAATATTGATAAAAAAAATAAATTGAAAATTTAACATATGTTTAAGAATAAAATTAATTCAATTATGGATATAAAAATAGATCGAAGAATGACGTTCTTATATAAAAATTGATTGAGCTATTAACCCAAGTTTTTTCCTCTTATGTTTCAAACTGGTAAGATATATTTATTCCGACTAGTCTAACTAACATTTTGATCTACATAAATCCGATACATATAATAATTTTTCTAAAAATTAACTATTCATATGTTGTACATAGAACGTACAACTAGACTTATGTCTTGTTCTGATTGTTAATGATAATCACTATTTGTTTGTGAGAACACAGGCCAATGATTCGAAAAACCTACCACAAGAAAAGTTCTGCCGACACATTACGGGAGACAAGGAAGGTGGATGCTGAGGAAGTGAGGAATAATAAGAGCCAGATTGGAGAGATTGATAGCAATTCTTGGGTTCCCCATGAAAGGACTGGAATTTATTATCCAAAGGGGCAAGAGAAGGTGATGGAAGGCATTCCTCCAGGAGCTGGAAAAGATGTTAATGTGGTGAATTGGTTCTCACACCATGAGGAATATTATTGAACAAATTTTAATTGTGCTTTGAGATGTCCAAAAAAATAATTAAAGAAAATTTTACTTGCTGTAATGTTTAAAGCTTATGAAACCTAATGATTTGTTTTGGATTAAAATCCAATAGTGATAGAATGTATGCTTGCATTTTCGAAAAAAAAAATCTAAAATGGTCTAGCTCGTCAAGAGTTTCCTGTAAAACAAAATGAGGGGCCGGTCCATAATGAATTTACATTAGATCCATATAATTTATGATAGATAAATTAGTCGACTCTCCATATTGTAAATTAGTCCTTTTAGTTTTGAGAAATAAATAAATTAATTGATCCTTATTTTAAAACATTTATTTAATTTCTCGAAACCAGTTATTTTTTTTGGATTAAAATCCAATTGTGACAGAATGTGTGCTTGCATTTTCCAAAAAAGAAAAGAAAAATCTAAAATTGTCGAGCTCATCACGAGTTTCCTGTAAAACAAAATGATGGGCCGGTCCATAATGAATTTATAGTAGATCCATATAATTTATGATATATAATTTAGTGACTGACTATATTATAAATTGATCTTTTTAGTTTTGAGAAATAAGTAAAATAATCCTTATTTTAAAAAAAATTATTTAATTTCCCAAAACGCAGTTATTTGTTTTGGATTAAAATCCAATTGTGACAGAATGCGTGCTTACATTTTCCAATAATAATAATTGAAAAAAAAATTAAGATTATCATATGGGTCGAGCTCGTCACGAGTCTCAATTATGGTCCGGTCCATAATGAATTTACAATAGATCCATATACTTTATAAGAATAGACTTCAGTAAATTTTATATTAGTCCCTCTAGTCTTTAAATTTTCTTTTTCAATTATTTAGTTTTTTATTTTTATTTTCACGTCTTCATGAAAATAAAATTATGTTTAATTTTTATTACCATTTTCATTATTGATTCTTATTTTCATTCTTATTTATTTCTTTCAATTTCATTCCTTTCGATCAAAAGCTTATAAAGTTGAAATAAAATTTTATTCTTATTCTCACTATTCATTTCTCATTGTTAAACAATACCTTAATGAATTGATTGTTAATTAATTTATTCTAAAATTTAAAAATATATTCTATATATTTTGTAATTGTCAGTTTTTATATAAAAAAAATTGGTTTTTCATGATTTTTGCACATAATTCAATAATTAAAAAAAACATATATATATATATATATATATATCGAATTATATTACTCTTATTGTTTAAAATTGATATTTTCAAAAACTTGTTTCTTATGGAAATTCTCATCAAATTAAGTTTTTATTCTTTTTTTTATGTAATTTTATTTGTTAATAAGATTTATTTTTCACTATGTATGGATTTTTGAATAAGTTTTTTTTAAAAAAAAACTAATCAATTCGAAAACAAAATCACGTGCTTTATTTGCTTGTTCTTTATATAATCAAATTTTATCCTAATTAAATTTGAAATTTGTTTTATTGTGCTCCATTAATTTCAATATATTCTTTGCAACTTAATTTTTTTTTTAAAAAAAAAAATTAGATTTATACTACACACTCTAACCCATTGAGTAAGTGAGTATGGTGTCATGGTGTATAAACAAATTATTTAGATCATTTTTTTATTAGAAATTAACGATGCATCCGTATAATATCAACCATTTGCTATTAATTTTTTTAAGGTTCCAAAATTATTATTTTTTCAAATAAAATAATCAAAATAATATTTTCGAAGAACCACTTAACATTTCCAATACATTTTTATACTAATATTATTGATTATTTTGTAAATATATAAATCAAATGTATATATTTTCAAAAAGTTAAAAAAGATTCATTTGTTAATTTTTGTACAAATTTTTTATATTGATTATTGTTTTATTTATTTGAAGCAATCTTATGAAAAATATTATTAAGATATTCTTTTAAATTTTATATTTAAATTATTATAGGTTTTTATTTAAGAATGAATGCATAAAGAAAAACAAATCATTTTTTTTAACTACAAAATTTTTGAAAAATATAAAGAACAATAAATAAAATACAAAATTTTGATTAAAAGTTATGAAATTAAATAAAATTTTATCTTTTACCTTTAATTTAATATATTTTTATATATCAATATTATAATACAAACTATCAAATGGATAGAAACATGTTTAGTTTGACTTGTTGCGGAAAACCAACTAGTTTAACTCTAAACTAAAACATTACATGAAAAAACTATACTGTTATAGTAATTCCTCCTTCCTTAATCAACAAAAACTTTTGAAAAGTTGATTTTTAATGAATAAAGAGAATTATAAATAAAATCAACCTTGTCCTGAATAATACAATGCTGGAAAATAATATTTAACTTTCATATGTGTGAAGATTAGTTAGTTCCATTTGTTGGGACCATACCTACAGTAACATTTCAAGCATATATTCTGGTAAACTTTTGGGAAGGTTACGATAAAGTCAATAATTGGCATTTATTTTATTGATAAAAATAATTTTTTAAAAAAAAGTCAAGGATCGGTTCTTGTTATAAAACACCATCTTCTTAATCACGTTTTGCACAGAGATTAAAAAGAATGGTCATAACAACAATTTACATAAAAGCAAGCATCTTCAAACATCAATATCTTTTTAAGTGTCATTTCATTACTAAAAATAAAAATCTAAAGTGAGAATATAGAAATTAAAAAAAAATTAAAAATCAAAATATTGTTTTAATTTATATTGTAGTTGTAATAATAATAAAGAATCGAATAAAATTTAATATCTGGTATTTAAGATAAAAAAAATAATGATGAAAAAAAATAATTTCATTAACATCAATGATAAATGATAAAGGTGATTGTTATGGTGCATTATAGAGGTGATAGAAAAAAAAGAGGAAGAGAAAAAAGAGATGTTGATGGCTTACCATATTTTAAGAAAATTAATTACACCATATAAGAGGTGATGAAGAAAAATAAGAATGGTGGCATAGTGATGGCAAAGGAGTAGTGATAGAAAAATAATAAAAAAAAAATACTATAACCATCACGGAAAAAAAAAAAAAAAGACTATTGGTGGTAATAGAAATAATTGATGCATAATAAAAATCAATATAGCATTCTTTTGAAGAAAAAAACTCTCATTCTCAATTCGTTTTTGTTCCAACATTTCCATAAGATTGAAATTATATTTAATTTTTTTAATTTTTATTTTTATTCTTATATTATTTTTTTTAATCGGGACACTTATAAAATAAAAATAAAACTTTCATATTTTTTTTGTCGTGATTCATTTTTTTTTTCACATTGTGAATAGATAAAAAGTCAAATAACTTTGCTTGTAAGTGCAAGCACCGTTGTCCTGATATAAGACCATGCCCAAAAGAAAAGACGAGACATCAAACTAAAATGTTCAACCTTTGTACATTTGAAATCAGTTAGTCCCATTTTTTTGCTTGTCTTGTCTTTGTGCTAGGAAAGGCTTGAAGGTCATCAAAACTCCAACCAATCCAATCACATTCAGGATGAAGAACAACATGTGGGCACCTGCATTTGAAGATCAGCTGTCAAGCTCTAGGAAACGAAAAGGTCAGGTTGATTCGTAGCTTCAGAAATCGTAGAATCTCATACCTGGAAGGAATGCAGCATTTTGGCGCTTTTGTGCCCAAGATAATCTGCAATGAATTGTTTGTAAAACTTGTGGTAGATGTGTTAAGAAATAGACTCAATTTTTCTGTAACTATTAGGAAAATCAATGGTAAATAATCAATATATAGAAACACTTACAGAGCACCGCCTCCTGCTGGACCGATTCCTTTGAAAAGAGACATTGCTGTCATAGCAATGCCATTAGCAGCTCCTCTTTGCTTTTGATCCTGTTGTTCAATACGCAACCAAATTAACTTGAGACAGGTTATTGAAGGAGAACTATCAGCTCACTAGCCAGAAATGATGAAAGAACTTACCACAGCATTGTTTTGCAGAATAAACATGCTAGTTATAATTGACGTCTGGTCATACAAAAAGAATCATTAGGGTTAGAAAAACGCAACAATTTTTTCTCTTAAAAAAAAGATTGATTCAACCAATCTATTTGAAGTTTTTCAAACTATATGTGCACTTACTGAAAGAAAACTCTTCATTATAGATGCACAATTGATCAACACTCTGAGATGGAGCCCTGATGACATAGCTATAAAAGGATAACTTGCCAATAGGGGTATGGACAGAACCTGTAATATTCAGGAAATTGATGAAAATTTTCGCAAAGGAATAGATCGAAGCAGGAAATATACACAGATGCTACTGGGGTTAAGTACTTACCCCTGCAATTTGAGTTATTGTTATCGGTCCAAGAATCCTCACCACGTATTGATATACAGAAAGTTGAAAGACAAGAAGGCTGACACCTATGATTTGAACAATTTGTTTAGTGTGAGTATGCAAGAAAGGATTATCATCCCATTCAATTCAAGAATGTGCTTCATACAAGCTTTGGAAGCAGCAAAGGTACTGCAAACCTGAGATTGACAGAACTACTCCTACATCCTCAGTGGTATAGCCTAGGCCTCCAAGTTTTCTAGAGCTTTCAGCCCATAATGAGAATATCTATGGAAAGAAAAGAAAAAAGAAATCATTTGAAATAGAACATATGGCAGCAGTAATATTAAAGGAATGAGATATATATACCTCTGAGTAAGCCATTTCTTGAAGTGAGAAAACACAGTAGACAATGATGGATGACATCAAAGGCCAATTCTTTAGAAGGCTTCTCTTAGAAGTTGGTTTCCTTTCTTCATCGTCTACTCTTATTTCATCTCCCTCAGATGTACCATTTGCAGATTCCACAGCATCATAAGAATCAATGCTTGAAATCTTCTTTTCGTCATGCTTATGCAATGTTTCCTATAACCATGCTCATTGCAATTAATAACCCGTAATATGTCCACAAAGTTATCAAAAAAGATCAGACGAAGGTCATAGTTTTGTTTTCTTAATTATACTCAACATTTAGATGATCATGAAAATCTATAAAAGAATTACTGTCACCAGTTGATAGGGACAAGTACCGGAAGCCAGCAAGAACCAATGGTGACCCCCAATGCCAAAAGTGATGTAAAGAAGCAGGGTAAGAAGTAGGGAAATCTGCACCAGACATTCATGTTTGTGTTCAGCATTATATGACTGGAAGATGTAAATGTAACATATCAGAAAGAAGATCTTCTGACAACAAATGAATGGTTGAAATTCATTTACCGCCCAAAAACAGATTTCTTGGAAAATATATTTGGATGTTTGTCTGCTGGCTGAAGTACAACTAGCATTGCAAGAATCATTAACAACAAGAGACGGGGTAGGAGGGAAAGAGACAAGAGATCTACATAAACTGCCTAGGAGTTAATTTCGCATTGTCAATGTTAAAATGACAGAATTTTCATCGCGGGATGATATATTGCATGAATAAATCATCAAGAAACTTAAGTACCTGCACGAGGAAACCTCCTAGAGCTGGGCCAATGATCATTCCTATACCCCATGCTGTACTAATCTGGAATTGAATCACATCTGTCAGTTCTGATCAACCAGGACTTCGTAAGAACTCAAAACTATGTATAGGTATTAAAACTCACTGTTGATAATCCTAATGCTTGGCGTTCTTCCCTGAAAATTTCAACAGCATATGCCTGTTTATGGAGGACTTCAGTATACAGATGTTGTAGGAAATTAGCAGAATAAATGGATAAGCATCAGAAGAATCAGAACCAACAATCATGAATCAATAAAGGAAAAGAATTTCAAAGTAATTATGTATTGGACAATTCAACCTTTATTGGTCCAAGTAAACCATTCAAACTCCCGAGAAGAAACCTTGTAATAATGGCCATCCAAAAATTTACACTAAGTCCAAAGAGACCGTTGAAGATGATCCTGAGACCAACCAATAATCAAGATAAAAAACAAAGTAAACATAAGATTCTCCAGACACAAAATCCAAACTTAATGGTAAGAACACGAGCTTGAAATATAGAGGTTACTAACACTGAAATGAGCCCTATAAGTATAACAGGTTTTCGACCATAGCGATCAGCTACTATTCCCCAGAAAACTGATGTTAGAGCTCTCCCAAGCATAAACGAGGACCCTTTTGAGGTACATAGAAGGATGTTTTAGGACCATTTCATCAGGAACTTAATTATGTCAAAAAGCAAGTACCGGAAATCAAGCTCACCGACATATCCAGCATAGGAGCTAATGTCTTCCTCTCGTTTTGCAATACCAAAATCTCTAATCTGTAAGAAAGAAACAATCGTAAAACTCCAGCATGCATTAAAGAGATGGATTGCAAAACATGTACAAGCACTCACCATGAAATAAAGGAATGGAAAGAGAGTTGATACTGGCAGTGCTGCAAAAACAATTACAACACAGTTCTTACATATATCAAATTAAGAAACTGCGCAAGGAAACATTGTACAAGTGATGCAAGATGCCAAAAAACCTGAAGCAAAAGGCCAATTGATCGATATGTAATGAATTAAGAATACCACTTAATTCAGCCACAAACCAAACCATGCAAGGCCTACTTTTCCATTAGACATTTGAGAATGTCACTAGTTTTCACCATGACAAACTGTAAATCAAACTTCAGGTTTCTTTCACTATCAAAATGAATTGAGATGAGACTCTTTATTACCAGCACAAAGTGAAATGATCCAAATTGAAGCAATCCCACGAAATGGGAATTCTCTCTTCAACTCTTTAAGCTGATCAACCTTACATCCTGGGCAATTCTCGTAGTAATTATTCCTATTCGACACTGCCTCTCTATACTGATCTCCTGCCATGCTTTTACCGAGCCAAACAAAAGTTCAGCCTAGAAGCTCCCTTCTTCCAATCTTTAGACAATATCAATCCTTCCAAACCTACTTGGCCATCGACCCATCAAAAACAAGAAAGAAACAAATCAGAAAAGGAAAATCTAGGAATATATTTTGTTGAAAGTAATCACTTATGGCCCTGCTTCCTGACATGCTAATACACAACTTACGCAAACATACTTTAACATACATATATACGCTTTCTCTTTCTCTTTTCTCTTCCTGATGCATAGAACACAAAGGTTGTTCTTTAAGTCTTAAATAGGAACCTGTTTGGGTGACAGTATTCGTGCCAGGCTATGGCTATTGGCTTGCCTACATGTTTTTATGGCAGGAAAAACATTAACCATTTAAGAATTTTGTGTAGTCTTTGTTTTTCTAAACCATGACTGAATTAAAAAAAATCCACGATTGCAATTCTTGGGGGGAAAAAAATCATAAATGCCAACTGTTCATGTGCCAGCAAATAGAGAGAACTAGAATATACATTTGTACTTATATAATAGTTTTGAGTTTTTAATTTATCTTTATGTTTCTAACTGCATCTTATTATGTCTTTAAATAATATTTAAATTTTCAATCTATCGTATTTAAGTCTCCAATCTATTATTTTGATCAATTTTTCAAAAAATAGGTAAAATTTTTATTCGAAATAAGCTTACTAAAATAAAATAAATAAAAAATAAATAAATAAAGTCACATGACTTGCAAGTTCAATTTTTGAAATTTCTAAATTTTTTTATTTTTTATATTTCAGTTAAAAAAATTACTCATGATCGGAAAAATTATTCAAAAAAACAGATTAAAAACTTAAACATTATTTAAGAATATAATATATATAATTAAAAATATAAAAATAAATTGAAAACTTCAGTTATTACATGAAGACAAATTAAACCTTTTATGCTAGCTGGACTAAAGCTACAAGTAAAACATGGCTTGTAGCCTTGTATAAACCAGACAGACCTCTAGCGTTTTCACATGATTCACCATTAGTTTTGGTGTCCTATTCAATAGTCTAACTATTGAAACTATACCCAACAAATGGGTTGGTATGATAGCAGGTGTGTGCTTGTATTTACATCTTCACATACTCTCGTAACTATTTTTGAAAATTTTCTAAGTTTCGGCCTCGATGTAAGTTCTAAATAAAAAAATAGTGTGATGTGGATGCAATATTTTCTTTAAGAAATTAAATCCATTAACTTTTTAGTGCACCATTAAAATCTTTCGTAAAAAAAACTTAGTATCGACTAACACACAAAATAATCTAAGAAAAAAACTATCATAAATATTAATTAATATGTAATTAAGCTTTAAAAACTAATTATCCTATAATCTTGAAAGATTGTAGGTGGGACACGGACGGGATATGCAATATTGGAATTAATTTCAAAATTCAATTATCAGTAGCTTATCTTTGAACTTTGAGGAGTATTTTATTAGGCATATAAAACATGCCGCAATAATCTATATATTATCTATGTAAAGGATGAAACTGAAATTTATCAATTGAATTATAATTTAGTTCGATTCGGTTCGGTTGTATTTGTTTGATGTTCGATTAACTAAAAACTGAACCAAAATAATTAAAAATCGAACCGAAAAACCGTTCGCTTACTCTTAGTGATCTTTATGTTATAATTTCTTGTTCAAGTATAATCTTGTCTAAGTCAAGGAACTAATCATTTAAGGAATAAGGACATGGACATAGTCTTCTTATGTTGCGACACCAAAAGAAAGAGATATTGGCTGGAAATCTCTACAAATTAAAATTTCCATCGTCTCATGTTCACATGACGTCTAACCAACCTTTTGACATAAACAAAGAGATAAAGCAGAGAAATTGGTAATATTGATAATTTTTTTAGAGTAAAAAAAAATTCTATGAAAAGTTAGGAGTGGTAGTCTTTTAGGATGAAGAACAGGTTAATCTTAATGTTGCAAAGACGAAGTGCAAAAAATGTCATGTTCAATAGTTAACTATATATTCGAATTATTAATTAATAGTATGTAATTCAGCTTAAATTATTAACTTTATGTGCCAAAGGATGATGGATTGTGAGTGCCTTTCTAGCTGATAAAAAGAAATAAAAAGCTAGAAAGGAACATTAAATGGATGAAAAAAATAAATAAGTAGCTTTCAAAAGGGACTAATGAATTTATTTCTTAAAATTAGAAGGACTAATTTATAATTTACTCCATAGTAAATTAATGGGTTACTGTCTTAGTGGAGAGGTAAATATGATGAATAAAAATCACAATCAAAATCAAACCCTTTCACTTTTTTGTTAATGCGTCGGTGCCAATCCCATTTTGCAGATAATGATGAGGTTCTTCTGCAATCACATGTTAATGATCAAATAAAATAATCAACAATGTGTTAGTGCTTTTTAATCAAGACATTTATCTTTGCGACGTTAAAGGGGTTTTAGTTGCCTAGCCCTTATAAATACTAAGTTGTTTCACTCTGAGGTTTCATAAATATCAATGTTGTCAATTGTGTCCCTAACTTTTGAAAAAATTGGTTCAAAGTGGCAGAATTCTAAGTTTAGGGGTCATCCTGAAGTTTATTTATTTTACAGTTTTTTAATTTATATTTTTGTTTGAAATTTTTACGGGTTGTGAATATACTTGTTCTTAGTTTATTTTTTAATTTTTGTAATTTTTGGAGTTCATTTGATATTTTTTTAAGTATTTTTTTCATTTATTGGTGAGGGGCTGTTTCGGAAATTTAATTATTTGGGCCTGATCCCGATGTAATTTTGGCATGAAAATTTTAGAAGATGTATATATGTGTGTTAGTGAGTCTTTATAAAAATTTCATCAAATTTGAAGTACATTTGGTATTAACTTATTTTGATATTATTCTTTCATATCATGTTATGAGTATTTTAACAATCGAATTGAATTTTATCTCGTTTGATGTAGGATCATGGAGTCTCTTAGAGTCTAGAAACTGATGATGATTTCATATCAAATTTAATATGCAACTATAAATAAATCACATCTTATGCTAATTAGGAAAATTAAGGGGGTGTTTGATAACCTATTTAAGTAGCTTAAAAAATTAAATTGTGGTACTTAATATAAAAAGTTTGTTTGATAACTTAAATAATTTCATATTAAAAATTTAAGTTCAATCAAAATCTATTTAATTAGATAAGTTAAAATTTTGAACTTATTACTTTTGGATTAACACGTTCGATTGAAAATTTTTTAAAACTTTTTAAATATGACTATATCACCTTTATATATTCTTATAACTTTAGTTATACAAATTAATTGAAAAATAATTTCTACTATCCTCGTTGCTAAAACAAAGAAAACCTTCTCCATTATCGATGCTTCCATTCCGAAATCTGAAACGCCAAAATCTAATCTCATTGCGGGTAATTTTTCTTTTATTCCATTATAAGTGATTTTTCTTTCATTCTTTTAAATACAAATGGACACAGATCACCAAATGAAAAAACAAAGGATACCCACAATTTCTTAGCCGCCATAACCAATTTTTTTAAAAAACACTTATATGCCCCAAGCTTTTTGCATAGATTAGAAAATGCTTGCAAAAAGAAAGTGTGTCCAAGAATCTATCTGACCCATATAAAGTTTACAAGTACGTTTCGGACCATAGGAAGACACTGGGACTCGAGTGAATTTCGAATTATAGAATACATACATGGTACCACACAATAAGGCTTTGTCATTATTTTGCGTGTGATTCTCTTGATTACCTTAAGGGCTTCAGCTTCTCGTCCTTTACCTGTTTCGTTTTGTATTGATTGCCTGCCCTTGACTTCGTTTCTAAACTCTTACATTTTTCTTCAATTCTATGTAATAAAGAATTTCCATTTCCGACGAGGGAATTCCTTAATTTGTATTTTGTAATGTACGATCATGTCTAGCTTTCTAACTTTTCTCCATTGAAAAGAAAACTACTATTTCGTATTAAGCTGGACTAAAACCCAACAATCACAGTGCAATATGGTAAAAAAGAATCCTCTGTATGGGATCCATCTATTAGATTTAGGCCACATCAACCCTACGAAGAATTAGAGCAAAGTTAAATCGCCATTTTCGATTTTGCAAGATCTCTCTATCACTCAGGAGCTCACACACATGTAGTCCTACTATTTCTGTTGGCAGAGTAGCAATTTTGATTTCTGATTCTAGCGTTGTCTTCTTCAGAAGTGATCCTATAAGGATATTATTTACCTATTCAATGATGGCGTTTTCATTTGGTTTGATTTGCAATTGTTTTGTTCTTTTTGTTGACCCAAAAGCTAATATTTTTATTGAATTTTATTTATTTTTTATTAAAATATCATGTTATAATTATAGGGTTAAAATTGTCATGTATATAGCCTTAATATATTCATCAACGGTATTTATCAAACAAGCTTATTATATTCAGAACTTAATTTTCAATAAATATCAAATAGCTTATCGGGAACATATTCAATACTTAATTATTCAGCACTTAAAATTCAGTACTTAACAAATTCAGCACTTAATTTTCAGTTTGATCAAACACTACCTAAGTCTAGGTTACAAGTCTCCTTTTTTAAATGAGACCGTTGGTCTTGACATTTTATTTTAAAAAATAAAAATAAAATATATAAAAAAATAATTAATTAAGATAGATACAAGTTGGTTTAACATCCTAGGCTAATTATTTTGTTTCTCGACATACCGATTGCGGTATGATATAATTGAATTCGATGCTAAATTGATGAAACTTTCAATTTTAGAAACCGCTATCAACTTAATATGATTCCATAAAAAAAAAAAAATCATTTAGTTATGGGAAGTGTCCTCGGACATGTTCCTCAAAAAAAAAAAAAAACTAACTCCTGTCTACGTTGTCAAATTTTATTTCCTCAGCATCTCCAAGAATCTTGGAAGAGGGATAAAAAAAAATTATAATATTTCATTTTTTCAAAGGAGTTGATGTCTTTAAATTCTTATTCAAATACTATCTTATCAAAGAATTAATTAACTAAGGAGTTGACATTCTTGACACAATCACTTTCATATGTATAGTGAGATTGGCTCGAAATCTTTACAAATTAAAAATTCACATCATCTCATGTTTCACATGACTTCGTTTCTTTAATGTTTCCTTTTAATAGTGGTCAATTAAACATTGTCTGAATGACAATATATATATAGACACATACGTTTGGTTGTTAATGAATACAAAGTCAATCAACTTTTCATGTAACCCTTGTCCTGATATAAATACCATGCCCAAAAAAAAAAAAACATGTTCAACCTTCTTCGATTTGAATTAGTTAGTCCCATGTTTTTGTTTGTCTTTTCTTTGAATTAGGAAAGGTTTGAAAGTCATCAACACTCCAAATAACTCAACCATAATCAGGAGGAAGAAAACCAACTCGTCGCCTGCATTTGAACATCAGCTGTCAATTAAGCTATAGGACACCAAAATGTCAGTTCGATTTATAGCAATGCAGAAATCGTCGGATATAACACCTGGAAGGAATGCAGCATTTTGACGCTTTTGTGCCCAAGATAATCTGCAATGTATTGTTTGTTCAATTTGCTTTAGCTGTGTTAAATTTGTTAAATGGTAGATGATCAATAGAAACACTTACACAGCACCGCCACCAGCTGGACCGATTGCTTTGAAAAGAGACATTGCTGTCATAGCAATGCCATTAGCAGCTCCTCTTTGGTTCTGATCCTGTTGTTCAATATGCGACCATAAGACAATTTGTTGAAGGAAATTCAAAGCTTACTAATTATGTTGCGACACCAAAAGAAAGAGATATTGGCTGGAAATCTCTACAAATTAAAATTTCCATCGTCTCATGTTCACATGACGTCTAACTAACCTTTTGACATAAACAAAGAGATAAAAGTAGAGACATTGGTAATATTGATAATTTTTTTAGGAGTGGTAGTCTTTTAGGATGAAGAACAGGTTAAACTTAATGTTGTAAAGACGAAGTGCAAAAAATGCCTTTATATACTAGAGAAGTAGTTCCAAAGACACTTTTTTTCCTGATTCATCATCCATCTTGAAGATGAGTAGGGTTGAAGGTTTGGTTTCTAACATTTCAGTTTTGGCTTTTGATTAAACCAAATTTACAAAAATAAAATTGAATCCAAACTGAATTACTATTTGATTTTTTGGTTTAAATCAAATTTATTTATTTATTTATTTTTTTCGAAATAATGTAAATGGACTAAAAACACCATCTATCCATCTTATTTTTAAATTAAAAAAATTGAAAACAAAAATAAAATTCGGTTTTTAGTTTAAATCGACTTAATATTTTGGTTTAGTTTGATTTTTCAATTTAAACCAAACATAATACGTAGATAGAAATACTAGTGGGGTGAATGGAGAATGTTGGGTTTATGAAAGAGTTAGCACCTATTTTTGAAAACAAGACTCACCACTTTCGATTCAAATGAAAATGGGAATGACAATGGTCCAGTACTCATCTATTAATTCAATCTTTTACCTTATTTGTTAAAAAAAAAAAAAAAAAATCATGTCCATACCTGTTAAAAAACTACCCTATAAACAAACTCATATCCCGCTCATATCCGGTTTAAAGACCAAAAATACTTTGTCAAATGTTTCGTTTTAGTCCATATAATATCCAAAAGAAAATTATTTTTTTACAACTTGATCTTTATTTGTAATTTTTTATCCTCAAAGTTTTCCGAAAGATGTTTTGGTTTGCACTTTATAAAATTTATGCAATTAATTCTCTATATGTTTTTTTAAAAAACCAATTTAAGGAGTGTTAGTGAGATATAAAATGGATGTTCATATTTGAAATCATATTAAGGGATATACATATTACCCTTACTTATTTTAATGTTTATTAAATTTTTTAATGAATACTTATCAGAACGAGCAATATATAAACATATATTTTTTATTAAAATATTATTAAATTAAATATATTTAATGCTCACAATTATATACGATAATGATTGGGATGTCTAATAAGAACTGCCAATAGTATATATAGTTGTGGTATCTAGACCCAACTAAAACATTACATAACAAAACCTATACCAGCTGCTAACCTGATTTCTCATTCTTCTTCAGACAACAATAACTTTTTAAGGAATTGGTTCTTAATGAATACGAAGTCCTTCAGCTTTTCTTGTAAATGCAATCACCCTTGTCATGATATAAATATCATGCCAAAACAAAGAACAAACATGTTCAACCTTCGTATATTTGAAATCAGTTAGTCCCTTTTTTTGCTTGTCTTCTCTTTGAACTAGGAAAGGTTTGAAGGCCATCAAAACTCCAATCAATCCAACCACATTGAGGATGAAGAAAACCATATGGTCACCTGCATTTGAAAATCAGCTGTCAAGCTCTAGGATATTAAAAGGTCAGGCTGATTTATAGGAAAGCAGAAATCGTCGAATATCATACCTGGAAGGAATGCAGCCTTTTGCCGCTTTTGTGCCCAAGATAATCTGCAAATGATTTTTTTTGTAAAATTTGTGGAAGATGTGTTAAGAAAGAGAGTCAATTTTGCTGTAATTATTAGGAAAATCTATAGTAAATAATCAATAGAAATACTTACAAAGCACCGCCTCCTGCTGGACCGATTCCTCTGAAAAGAGACACCGCTGTCATAGCAATGCCATTAGCAGCTCCTCTTTGCTTCTGATCCTGTCGTTCAATACACAACCACATTAACTTGAGACAATTTTTCAAAGGAGAATTATCAGTTTACTAACCAGAAATGATGAAAGAACTTACCACAGCATTGTTTTGCAGAATAATCAAGCTAGTTGTAATTGACATCTAGTCATACAAACATAATAATTAGGGTCAGAAAGGCACAGCAATAGTCGAAAATGGATAAAGAAATATATGTGCACTTACTGAAAGAAAATTCTTCATTATAGATGCACAATTGATTAACAAGCTGAGACGGAGCCCTGACGACATAGCTATAAAAGGATAACTTGCCAATAGGGGTATGGACAGGACCTGTATTTAGGAAATTGATGAAAATCTTCACAAAGGAATATCTGGAAGCAGGAGATATACACAGATGCTACTGGTTTTAAGTACTTGCCCCTGCAATTTTAGTTATTGTTATCGGTCCAAGAATCCCCTCCATGTGTTGATATAGAGAAAGTTGAAAGACAAGAAGGCTGAAACCTATGATTTGAACAATTTGTTTCGTGTGAGTGCACGAGAATGGATTATCATTCCATTCAATTCAAGAATTAAAGTGCTTCAGACAAGCTTTGGAAGCAGCAAAGGTAGTGTATACCTGAGATTGACAGAACTACCCCAACATCCCCAGCTGTATAGCCCAGGCCTCCAAGTTTTCTAGAGCTCTCAGCCCATAATGAGAATATCTGCAGAAAGAAAACATTTCAAATAGAACATCTATTTATGGTAGCAGTTAGAATAGTATAGGAATGAGACATACCTCTGAGTAAGCCATATCATGAAGTGAGAAAACACTGTAGACAATGATGGATGACATGAAAGGCCAATTCTTTAGAAGACTTGCCATAGAAGTTTGTTTTCTTTCTTCATCGTCTGCTCTTATTTCATCTCCCTCAGATATTATGCGGTTTGTGCCATTCGCAGCTTCCACAACACCATAAGAATCAATGCTTGAAATCTTCTTTTCGTCATGCTTATGTAATGTTTCCTGCAATAACCACATTGCAATTAATAGCCCGTAACATGTTGACAAACTTATCAAAAAAGAAGCATAGAGTAAAAGATCAGATCAAGGCCATAGTTTTGTTTTCATAGAAGCACAAAGGGTATGTTGACCTTGCTGAGGGATATCAATTGTTATGGCAAACCGATGGAGATAATTTACCTCCGAGGATACTGTCAAGTGATATAAATGAAGTTCTGAAATCACAGAGCAATTAATAAAAAAGCTAAATTCAGAAAAGAAATAACCGAAAACGTATTCTCCTTTTGGATGTTTACAATGTAGCCTAATTCCAGGTCTTAAGATGGTAAGTTGTCCTTTAGCATAGAAAACATTTCTTTTTGGAGTTGAATCTGACAATGGAAGAGCTCTTTGGAAGAAAGAAATAATAAAAATTTCAGAAGCACCGGTTAATAGAGACAAGTACCGGAAGCCAGCAAGAAGCAATCATGACCCCCAATGCGAAAAGTGATATACAGAAGCAGGGCAAGAAGTAGGGAAATCTGCACTGGACATTCATGTTTGTGTTCAGTATTATATGACTTGAAGATGTAAATGTAAGATATCAAATAGAACATCTTATGCTAAAAAATGAAAGGTTGAAATTCATTTACCTCCCGAAAACAGATTCTTTGGAAAATATATTTGGATATTTCTCTGCTGGCTGAAGTACAACAAGCATTAGAAGAATCATTAACAACAAGAGAAAGGGTAGGAGGGAAAGAGACGAGATTCAAGTGAATGTTAAAATGACAGAATTTTAATCACAGAAATTTAAGTACCTGCACGAGGAAACCTCCTAGACCTGGGCCAATGATCAGTCCTATACCCCATGCTGTATTAACCTGGAATTGAATCACATTTGGCAATTCTGATCAACCAGGGCTTCCGAAGACCCAAAACTATGTATAGATATTAGAACTCACTGTTGATAATCCTAAAGCTTGGTGTTCTTCCCTGAAAATTTCAACTGCATATGCCTGTTCATGGAGGATTTCGGTGTATAAATATTGCAGGAAATTAGCAGAATCAAGGGATAAGCATCAGAAGAATCAGAACCAACAATCATGAATTAACAAAGGAAAATAATTTAAAAGTAACCATGTATTACAGAATTCTACCTTTAATGGTCCAAGTATACCATTCAAGCTTCCAAGGAGAAACCTTGTAATAATGGCCATCCAAAAATTTACGCTAAGTCCAAAGAGACCATTGAAGATGACCCTGAGACCAACCAATAATCAAGATAATCAAGACAAAGTAACATAAGATTCTCCAAACACAAAATCCGAACTTAATGGTAAGAACATGAGCTTGAAATGTAAAGGTTACTAACACTGCAATTGTCCCTATAAGTATAACAGGTTTTCGACCACAGCGATCAGCTACTATTCCCCAGAAAACTGATGTTAGAATTCTCCCAAGCATAAACGAGGACCCTTTTGAGGTACATAGAAGGATGTTTTAGGACCATTTCATCAGGAACTTATGTCAAAAAGCAAGTACTGGAAATCAAGCTCACCGACATATCCGGCATAGTAGCCAATGTCTTCCTCTCGTTTTGCAATACCAAAATCTCTAATCTGTAAGAAGGAAACAGTCGTAAAAATCCAGCATGCATTAAATAGATGGATTGCACAACATCTACAAGCACTAACCATGAAATAAAGGAATGGAAAAAGAGTTGATATTGGAAGTCCTGCAAAAACAATTACCACACAGTTCTTACATATATCAAAGAAACTGCATGCAAAGAGAAACATTAATTGTACTAATGATGCAAGATGCCAAAAAACCCTGAAGCAAAAGGCCAATTGATATGTACTGAACTAAGACATGCCACTTAATTCAGTTACAAACCAAACCATCAATGCCTAATTTTCCGTTAGACATTTGAGAATGTCACTAGTTTTCACCATGACAAGCTGTAAATCAAACTTCAGGTTTCTTTCAATATCAAAATGAATTGAACGAGGCTCTTAATTACCACTGCAAAGTGCTACGATCCAAATTGAAGCAATCTCACGAAATGGGATTCCTTTCTTCAACTCTTTGAGTTGATCAACCTTACATCCTGGGCAATTCTCGTAGTAACTATTCCTCTTCAACAATGCCTCTCTACACTCTCCTGCCATGCTTTTACCAAGCCAAACAAAAGTTCAGCCCCAGAAGTTCCCTTCTTCCAATCTTTATACAATATCAATCCGTCGAAACCTAATTGGCCATCAGCCCATCCAAAACAAGAAAGAAACAAATCAGAAGAGAGAAAAATTGGAATATATTTTTTCTGAAAGTAATCAATTATGGCCGTGCTTCGTGACATGTACGCAAACATACTTGAAACCACATATACTCGCTCTCTCTTTCTCTTTTCTCTTGCTGAGGCATAGAACATAATCGTTGATTCCTGAAGTCTTAAAAAGTCATGTATTTGTGTCCCAGTATTCGTGCCAGGCCATGGCTATTGGCTTGCCTACTTGTTTACAGCCAACCAGCATCATTGCCGGTCACTTGCCTTAATTAAGGCAGGATAAAAAAATTAACCATTTAAGACTTTTGTATAATCTTTCTTTTTTCTGAACCTCGATTGAATTAAAAAAAAAATGCACCATTCAATTCGCGGGGGGGGGGGGGGAATCTTAAATGCCTGCAGTACTGTGCATGTGCCAGCAAACAGAGAGAATTACAATATTTATATATCAATAGACTAAAGTTACAAGTAAAATGTAGCTTATGTAGTCTCGTGTAAACCAGACAGATTGCCTCTTCCGTTTTCACGCGATTCACCATTAGTTTTGATGTTCTATTCAATAGTTCAACTATTCGAACTATACCCAGCAAATGGGTTGGTGCAGCAGTAGTAAGTATGCTTTTCATATTCAGCCAGTAGTCGATGATATATTTATACCTTCAGGCATGATCGTAGCTATTTTCAGGAAGATTTTAAACTTCAGTTTCGATATAGCTGCGGTGGAGATCTTTTCTGATTAAAAAAAAAATAGTGCAATGTGGATGCAATGTTTCGTCTAAAGAGTTCTATCTCATGGTTATAAAGATTTTTTCTCACGCAAGTGTACCCAGCTAGCTTCTTTAGAAAAGCAAGGTTCCGAGTTATGATAATTTCAGTTTCTTTAATAATTATATAATAGGAATGCTATTCTCGTTGTGTAGCCAACCTCCGATAAATAGCTTATCTTTGAACTTTGTGAGTATTTTATTAGGCATATAAAACATGCCGCAATAATCTATCTGAAATCTATGTAAAGATGATCAAGACATGTTCTTCGATCGAGAAACAATCTTAACTACTACGTTATCGAATTTTAATCCCTCGACATCTCCAAGAATCTCAGAAAATCTTAGAAGAAGGATAAAAAACTACAATTTTGAATATTTTTTTTATAGGGGTTGCTAAGATCTTTATGTTATAATTTCTTATTCAAATACAACCTTGTCAAGTCGAGGAACTAAATATTTAAGAAATAAGGACGTAGACATAGCCTTCTTTTTTTGCGGCACAGAAAGAGGTCTCATGTTCGCATGACTTTTTTTTTTTTTTTAATATAGATTGTTGTTACTTAATTATTACGGTAAAAGAATAATATAAAATTATATTTTGAAACTTCATTTAACAACTTAAGTGTCTAGGTTGAAATAATTTTTTTTTTTTATCTAATATCAGAGTGTGTGTTGATGACCAAATTAATAGTCATGAATTTAAATCTTCCTATACCATTCTTCTAATTAAATTAAAAACTAACTACAAAGTAATAATAAATTTGTGCAAGTTTGAAATTCAAAAAATACTTTAATATTTCGAATTGAGATGATATTTTGACAATTACTAGGATAATAAATTAGAAGAAATGAATGATTTACTTTTCACTCATCTTGGCAGAATCAGGCTTAACAAGCCCTTTATAGATTGGCGAATCTGGTTTTTGGCCAGAATTGTGCATGGTTTCTCTTAGCATTTAGATAAACAACCTTTTGACATAAACAAAGAGATTAAGCTGAAACATTGGTAATATTGATAAATTTTTTAGAGTGAAAAAAATTCTATGAACAGTTAGGGGTGGTAGTCTTTTAGGATGAACTAGATTCTTACCTGCGTTAAGATACGGATTAAATAAAATTGACAAAATGAAATTAAAAAATTTATTATAGTTTGATAGCATGCAGTGTGTCACGAATGTATTAAAATATATTGAATTGAAGAAAACAAAATCATTTAATTTTATAAGATAATATAAAAAAAACATGATTTGTTCTTCATTATTTATCAATTCTTAAATAAAAACATGTGATAATATAAATTGAAAACTAAAAAGAAAAACACCTTAATATTTAGTTTTATAAGATCGCATCGAATAAAAAAATAAAAATCAATAAAAAAAATTGTATAAAAAAAATAATAAATGAATTTTTTTTTATGTTTTTGAAAATATATACATTTGATTTATATATATTTATTTATAAAATATAAATAATATTAGTATAAAAAAGATGCATTTGAATCATTAGATGATTTTTTTAAAAAAAATATTTTAATTTATTTATTTTAAAGAAATTAATTTTAGAAAATTTGGAAAAAAATTAAATTCAAACTATTGGTGTTATGTATGTAGATGCACAAATAATATTTAATAAAACCAATGATATTAATTTTTTTTTTTATACTTCATAACCATACTTAATATGTCAAAGTGTACAGTATAAGTCACAAAGCTTTTTAAAAAATAATTTGTAAGGAATATATTGAAGTTAATGAAATGTAATAAAAATAACTGCAAAATTTATTCCAATAAAATTTTGTTGTACAAAAAAAAGAACATAAAACCCATGAATTCTATTATTTAATTGATTTTTTTAAAAGAAATTAATGTTTGAATATTTAAAAAAATAAATGCAAATTATTAGTTTTATGTGTGTAGATGCATAGATAATTTTTAATAAAATCAATTATTTTAATTTTTTAATCATCATGATCTTATTCAATGGATAAATGTGTGAAGCATATATTGCAAAGTATTTAAAAAAATTAATTTGTAAAAAATATATTGAAGCTGATGAAGCGCAATAAAAATAAATATAAAATTTATTCCGATAAAATTTTATAAAATTTTATTGTACAAGGAATAAGGAAAAAAAAAGAATTTTATAATTTAATTAATGATTTATTTAAAACAAAATTAACTTAGAATTTCATATATATATATATATATACATTATATTTATTAACAAAAAATGCATAAAAAGAAAAAAATTGAAAATAATTTTTATAAACTTTAAACTAAAAATGTAATTAGTTAAAAATTATAAACATAAAAAAGAGAAGAAGAAACAATGTGGATACAGCCCCCATTGAACGCTTAGACAGGAGAAGAAATGAAATGGCAAGAGGGGACCCGAAAGAGAGGGGAAAAAACAAAAACTCATTAAGGATAAATTAGTAAAACACCAAAAAGAGGGATGCAGGAAGCAAAAAAATATGAAAGAAAAATCAAATGATGGATAAAAAAGGGATAGAAGGTGAAGAAAAAGAAAAGGCAACAATCCGTGTATGTCCACAGTGATTTAAGTGCAAATAGTAAACCAACGTTTTGGTTTAGTTGTTTTTGTTAATAACAGGTTTATCTTAAAGTTATGTAGACGAATTGTCCAAAAAATGCCTTTATGTGGTTCCAAAATCACTCATATTTTCTGATTAATCTTTCATCTTGAAGATAGGGATACTAGAGGGTGAATGTTACATTTACGAAAGAGTTAGCACCTATTATTAGAAAAAAAGAGTCGGCACTTTCATTTTCAGAATCACTAACTTTTTTGGTAAATGCAATCACTCTTGTCATGATATAAATCTTATGCCGGAAAAAAAAAATGATTTTTAAAGCTGTTTCTACATGAATACTATACAAACCTGTGATTGCCAGAACTTCACCAACATCCCTAGTCGTATAGCTCAAGCCTCCAAGCTTTCTAGAGCTTTTCAGCCCATAATGAGAATATCTATAGAGACAGAAAATACATAAACTAAAGCTGTTTCTGCATGAATGAATCTGTAACTAGTCCTGACGGTTGTGGTTAAAAATCAGGAACCCTCTATTTAAGGTAGCAGATAGAGTAATAGCTTAATAAGAATGAGATATACCTCTGTGTAAGCCATATCTTGAAGTGAGAAAATACAATAGACAATGATGGACGACATCAAGGGCCAATTCCTTAAAAGGCTTTCCTTAGAAGTTGGTGTCCTTTTTCCATCATCTGTTGCAGCTTCCAAAGCATCACAAGAATCATTTGGTGAAGTCTCCTTTTCATTGTGCACATGCAATGTTTCCTGTAATAACCACATTGCAGTAAATAGCTAAGACATGAATGAGCTAAATTGGAGCCTTGGCTGAAAGTCTATATTAGATTTACTCCCAACAGTCAGTGGCCAAAACAACAATGATCAATGCTAAGCATAAGAAAATACCTCTTTGAAAGAAATAGATAACATAAATTTCACAGGCACCAGTTGATAAAGAAAAGTACCGGAAGCCAGCAAGAAGCAATCGTGACCCCCAATGCGAAAAGTGATATAAAGAAGCAGGGCAAGAAGTAGGGAAATCTGCACTAGATATTCATGTTTGTGTTTGCCATTATATGACTGGAAGATGTAAGTATAAGATATCAAATAGAACATCTTATGATAAAAAAATGGACAGTTGAAATTCATTTACCTCCCAAAAACAGATTCCTTGGAAAATATATTTGGATATTTCTCTGCTGGCTGAAGTACCAAAATTGTAAACAAGCATTAGAAGAATAATTTAACAACAAGAGGAGGGGGAGGAGGGAAATAGAGAGGAGAGATACACAAACTGTTTAAAAGTTAATTTCACATTGTGAATGTTATTCCTAATTTTTTCCAATGGACCATGAAAATGACAGAATTTCATTCCAGAACGTTGTTATTATATGAATAGATCATCAAGAAATTTAAGAACCTGCGCCAGGAAACCTCCTAGAGCTGGGCCAATGACCAGTCCTATACCCCATGCTGCACTAACCTGGAATTGAATCATAGCGTTAATTCTGATCCACCAGGGCTTTTTAAGAACTCAAAAACATGTATAGGTCAATAAAACTCACTGTTGACAATCCTAATGCTTGGTATTCTTCCCTGAAAATTTCAGCTGCATATGCCTGTTCATGTAGGATAGGACAAACTGCATGAGCATCAGAACTGTCAATCTAGTCACAGAAGTTATTTGAAATTCAAGAGAACATTTGAAAGCCATCAGTCATTCCTTGCTAATCAATGGAAAAATTGAAAAACAAATTCTCTACATTTCAGAATTCTACCTTTATTGGTCCAAGTACACCATTCAAACCCCCGAGAAGCAACCTTGTAATAATGGCCATCCAGAAATTTACACTAAGTCCAAAGAGAGTATTGAAGATGATCCTGGGACCAACCAACAATCAAGACAAAGTAAACATAAGACTTTCGAATTACAAAATCCAAACTTAATGTTAAGAACATGAGCTTGAAATGCAGAGGTTACTAACACTGCAATGGTCCCTGTAAGTATAACAGGTTTTCGACCATAGCGATCAGCTAGTATTCCCCAGAAAACAGATGTTAGAGCTCTGCCAAGCATGTATGAGGAAGCTGTTGACATACACAGAAGGATGTTTTAGGACCATTTCGTCATGAATTTATATGGACTGTCCAACAAATAAGCTCACCAACAAATCCAGCGTAGTAGCCAATATCTTCTTCTCGTTTTGCAATGCCAAAATCTCTAATCTGCAAATAGAAAGGTACAATTCATACACACCCTCTTCATTTCAGGACCATTTCAGGGCCATCTGGAAAGAAGCACTCACCATGAAATAAAGGAATGGAAAGAGAATTGATATAGGAAGTGCTGCAAAAAAAAAAAAATGTCATCACAGTTACTATATATCAAAGAAACTGCACAAATAAACAGACTCTTACCAGAACAAAGCACAACAATCCATATTGATACAATCTCGCGAAATGGGAATCCTTTCTTCGACTCTTTAAGTCGAACAACCTTACATCCTGGGCAATTCTCATAGTAATTTTCCTTCTTCAACAATGCCTCTCTATACTCTTCTGCCATGCTTCCAAAAACAAGAAAGAAACAATCAAGAAGAGCAAAAAAGAAAAACTAAGAAAGAAAGAACATAACAGAGAATCTGATTTTCCGGTTTTCTCTTTCTATGCTAAAGCAAAACCATAGACAACAGACACAAACATACTTGAAAATAATCTGTTTCCCTTTCTCTTGCTGATAAATAGAAACAGAAACATTCTTGAAGTCTTAAATAGGAACCTACTTGCTTGACAGTTTTCATGCAAGGCTATTGGCTTGCCAACTTGCCAGCACCATTGCACATGTCACTTGCCTTAATCATGGCATGAAAAACACTAACTATTTAAGAATTTGGTAAGGTCATTGCTACTTGCAAGGAAGGGATATTATTTTTGTTATACATGGAAAACAAGTCTGAATTAGTACACTTTTAGAATTTAATTAACTAATCCTCGTGTTTGACAAATTATTATACGAATCCGATCCATCACATAAGATTATGAATAAAACGAATAAAAATTTTATACATTATTAAATTTGTATATATTATTTTGTAATAGATTCGTTATTAATTATTTTATTTTTTAATTATAAATATGCTATTAAATGTTAAAAAAAAAAAAAAAAAGCCAAATCTGATTTACTAAATAAATAAAGAGTTTTAAGAATCATGTGTGAAAAAATTGTAAGTTAACCAATTGAGACTCCCATGTCTTTTTTGTTCTTTCAAGTATTTCGTATTCTCTTTTTTTTTTTTTTTTCAATTGAGATTTTAAACGATGATAAAAATAAATTTTAAACTTTTAATAATTATATAATTTTGAAATTAAAATCATGTTTAGTATTAGTTTTATATTAGAATGTACTCTCTATCACTAGAAATCTTCGCATATTTTTAATTCCCTTGCCTCTAGCGTTTTCACGTGAATTCTTTTTATTCCTCTGATTTTTTTATTTTATTTTTTTAATTTCAAATCAACTGATTAGATCCATGTCCACTAGTTTTGATGTCATGTTCAATATCAACTATTCGAATTATTAATTAATAGTAAGTAACTCAGCTTAAATTATTAACTGTATGTGCCAAAGGATGATGAATTGTGAGTGCCTTTCCAGCCGATAAAAATAAAAAGCTAGAAAAGAACATTAAATGGATGAAAAAAATAAACAATTAGTTTTCAAAAGAGACTAATCAATTCATTTCTTAAAATTAGAGGGACTAATTTATAATTTACTCAATAGTAAATTAACGGGTTAGTGCCTAGTGGAGAGGTAAATATAATGAATAAAAATCACAATCAAAATCAAACCCTTAACTTTTTTGTTAATGCGTCGGTGCCAATCCCATTTTGTAGATAATGATGAGGTTCTTGTGCAATCACATGTTAATGATCAAATAAAATAATCAATAATGGATTAGTGCTTAACTTAATTTAATCAAGACATTTATCTTTCCGACGTTAAAGGGTTTTTAGTTGCCTAGCCCTTATAAATACTAAGTTGTTTCACTCTGAGGTTTCATAAATATCAATGTTGTCAATTGTGTCCCTAACTTTTGAAAAAATTGGTTCAAAGTGGCAGAATTCTAAGTTTAGGGGCCATCCTGAAGTTTATTTATTTTACAGTTTTTTAATTTATATTTTTGTTTGAAATTTTTACTGGTTGTGAATATACTTGTTCTTAGTTTATTTTTTAATTTTTGTAATTTTGGAGTTCATTTGATATTTTTTTAAGTATTTTTTTTCATTTATTGGTGAGGGGCTGTTTCGGAAATTTAATTATTTGGGCCTGATCCCAATGGAATTTTGGCATGAAAATTTTAGATGTATATATGTGTGTTAGTGAGTCTCTATAAAAATTTCATCAAATTTGAACTCCATTTGTTATTAACTTATTTTGATATTATTCTTTCATATCATGTTATGAGTATTTTAACAATCGAATTGAACTTTATCTCGTTTAATATAGAATCATGGAGTCTCTTAGAGTCTAGAAACTGATGATGATTTCATATCAAATTTAATATGCAAATATAAATAAATCACATCTTAGGCTAATTAGGAAAATTAAGTCTAGCTTACAAGTCTCCTATTTCAAATGAGACGGTTGATCTTGACATTTTATTTTAAAAAATAAAATTAAAATATATATAAAAATAATTAATTAAGATAGATACAAGTCAATTTAACATCCTAGGCTAATTACGTTGTTTCTCGACATACCGATTGCGTCATGATGTAATTGAATTCGATGCTAAATTGATGAAATTTTTAATTTTAGAAACTGATATCAACTTAATATGATTCCATAAAAAAAAAAAAAAAAAAATCATTCAGTTATGGGAAGTGTCCTCGGACATGTTCCTCAAAAAAAAAAATAAATAAATAAATAAATCCTACCTCCTATCTACATTGTCAAATTTTATTTCCTCAGCATCTCCAAGAATCTTGGAAGAAGGATAAAAAAAATTATAATATTTCATTTTTTCAAAGGAGTTGATGTCTTTAAATTCTTATTCAAATACCATCTTATCAAAGAATTAATTAACTAAGGAGTTGACATTCTTGACACAATCACTTTCATATGTACAGCGAGATTGGCTCGAAATCTTTACAAATTAAAAATTCCCATCATCTCATGTTTCACATGACTTCGTTTCTTTAATGTTTCCTTTTAATGGTGGTCAACTAAACATTGTCCGAATGACAATATATATATATATATATATACATACGTTTGGTTGTTAAAGAATACAAAGTCAATCAACTTTTCATGTAACCCTTGTCGTGATATAAATACCATGCCCAAAAAAAACGTGTTCAACCTTCCTAGATTTGAAATAGTTAGTTCCATGTTTTTGTTTGTCTTGTCTTTGAACTAGGAAAGGTTTGAACGTCATCAGCACTCCAATTAACTCAACCATAATCAGGAGGAAGAAAACCAACTCGTTGCCTGCATTTGAACATCAGCTGTCAATTAAGCTATAGGACACCAAAATGTCAGGTCGATTTATAGCAATGCAGAAATCGTCGGATATAACACCTGGAAGGAATGCAGCATTTTGACGCTTTTGTGCCCAAGATAATCTGCAATGTATTGTTTGTTAAATTAGCTTTAGCTGTGTTAAATTTCTTAAATGGTAGATGATCAATAGAAACACTTACGTACACAGCACCGCCACAAGCTGGACCGATGGCTTTGAAAACAGGCATTGCTGTCATAGCAATGCCATTAGCAGCTCCTCTTTGGTTCTGATCCTGTCGTTTAATATGCAACCATCAGACAATTTATTGAAGGAAAGTGAAAGCTTACTGACCAGAAAAAATAAACGAAGCAAGAGAGTTTCAGTGAGTAAATCAAGAAAAGGACCTTTACCACAGCATTGTTTTGCAGGATATACGTTCTAGTCATAATTGACATCTAATCATACAAAAAATAATAATTAGGGTCAAAAAAAGACAACAGCAGCTGAAAACAGATGAAGCTATACACTTCTCTCATCTGATCAAAAGTTTGATTCAGCCGATCTATTTTAATTTATCAAACTACATGTGTGCACTTGCAGAAAGAACATTCTTCATCATAGATGCACAATTTATCAACACGCTGAGGCCAAGCCCCGATAACATAGCCATAAAAGGGTAATTTGCCAATATTGGTATGGATATAACCTGCACTTAGGAAAGCAACGAAAAATCATCTCAAGGAAATAGCTGGAAGCAGGAAACATACATAGATCCTACAGGGTGTTAGCTATTGTTATCGGTCCAAGAATACTCACCACGTATGAATATAGAGAAAGTTGAAACCTTTTATATGAACAATTTCTTAGTGAATTCCAACTTCCAACTATAAGTGAAATAGTGAACATGAGTATCAGCGATAATGTACCAACATACCTGTAACTGCCAGAATTTCACCAACATCCTCAGTCGTATAGCCCAAGCCTCCAAGCTTTCTAGAGCTTTCAGCCCATAATGAGAATATCTATAGAGAAAAAGAAAACAGCCTGTCTCATAACCAGAGAATATACCAAAATAAGTGCATTGAAAAAAAAAAAGGAAAAAAAGTAGGAATATTGAGATATACCTCCGTGTAAGCCATATCATGAAGTGAGAAAACACAGTAGACGATGATGGATGACATCAAAGGCCAATTCTTTAAAAAGCTTGCCTTACTACTTGGTTTCCTTCCTTCATCGTACGTTCTCATTTCATCTTCATTGGATCTAGCAGTTGCAGCTTCCAAATCATCATAAGAATCATTACCTGAAATCTTCTTTTCATCATGCTTATGCAATGTTTCCTACAATAACCACATTGCAGTAAATAGTAATACTTCGTGCGAAGTTCATAGTTTTGTTTCTCAATTATAACATTTCTATTTGGAGTTAAATTTAGAAATTGAAGAACACGAGAAGTAAAAGGACGTGAATTAGCTAAACTCGAGCCTCGGCTAACATGACAAATTCTCCAAAAATTACAGTCAATATTTAGATGATCATGAATCGTTTATCCACTAAAGATAAACAGATTCAAATGAAGAGAAATATCAATGTTGGTTACCTGTTGTGTGAAAATGTTGACGAGGATGGGAATCATTTATTTTTTGAATGTTCCTAATCTAAGACTGTATGAAATGCTATTTTTCTTAAATATAAATTTTATAGAGTAATTGGTAACTGGAGCTTAGAATTATAGTGGCCAATATAACATTAGCAAAAGAAAAATTTTCAATTTATTATTATCAGATTGACATAGAATGCAACTATTTATAGTTTGTGGAAACAAAAAAAAATTATAAAATCTATGGTAAAAATATTTTTTCTCTAGATGATGTGATTAAATAGATTTTTCATTATTCGTTATAAGTTACACAATTCTAAACTCCTAATTGAAGCAATATTAAGTTCAACATTTGAATTTATTTATATTCAATGGATATTGTTTTAATTTGTTTTATATATTTATCATGGATTCATATTTTATAATAGGATAAGCTTCTACTTATATTTTTTTGTTAAATAAAAAATTTCATTTATGACAGAATTTATGTGGATGTTAATTTCACAAATTTTTCCAATGGGACATGAAAATGACAGAATTTTCGTTCCAGAATATGGTTATTACATGAATAGATCATCAAGCAATATTCCAAGTACCTGCGCCATGAAACCTCCTAGAGCCGGGCCAAGGATCGGTCCTACACCCAATGCTGAACTAACCTGGAATTGAATCATGGTGTTAATTCTGATCCATCAGGGCTTTTTAGGAACTCAAAACCATGTATAGGTCAATAAAACTCACTGTTGATAATCCTAATGCCTAGTATTCTTCCCTCAAAATTTCAACTGCATATGCGTGTTCATGGACGAACTTCAGTACAACCAATAAAGGATAAAAATTTAGAAATAAACTATGCAGGACTAGCACAGTACCCTGGCGTTACCATGGATAAATCTTTATAATAAATTTTAATATTTTAAATAATTTAAAAATTAATTTACATTAACTGTGGGAATTTATTTAATTAATATGTATTATTTAATATTTAATATAATATCTATATTCTAAAATTGTGTTTAAATAAGTCCTATGGATGCGTTTGATTATGATCAAATAAAAAAATATACAATTAATTATTTATTTTTTAAAAAAATCAAATTAAAAGAGGGTGATAAATCAATTTATATTGACAGTTTAATTTTAATTAGTGAGTTTGTTAGATAATAAAAGAATAAACATTAAAATATTGAAAAAAATTATTTTGTGTAAATAAAAAAAAAAAAAACCTAGGTTACGCTGGCATCAGGCCCTTTCGGATTGTCTAGAAGACAACCTAGCCCGCGTACCTAGACTGGAAGCACAGTCAAACATTTGATTCTTTTTTATTTTAATAATTGAACTTCTTGCATATCATGAACATTTCCATTGAATTTTTGTAATTGCAAAAACATTTTCATTTAATAAAACCATGGATTGATTTATTTATTTCTGAGTTCTTTAATTACTGTAGTTATAACTCTAACAGAAAGTTATTAAATTTTAATTAAGTTAAAAGCATGTTTGGTAAAAATAATTTAAAATAATTTTTTTTATTTTTTTTAAAATGTATTATAAGTTAAAAGTTAAAAATTTAAACTTTTCATCAAATTAAAATTTTGACTCAATTTCGTAACAATTTTTTAATTTAAGTTAAAAATTATCTTTTACCAAACATAATCAAAATTGAATTGAATTATGTCGAAATACGAATATGACTAGAATAGAGTATATAGAGATGAAGTTGTGATTAAATTGCAACTAGAGCACTTATTGAGCAAGAGTTTACGAAATGCTATGACCTATACTAAAATTTGGATATTTCCACGTTATAATAAACACAGGATCGCCTTTTGCTTTAAAAACAAAACAACAACAATAATAATAATGAATAAATACAAGAGAATTCAACAAACTCCAAGAACAACCCAAACCACCTTTAATTAAATATCGAAATTTTTTATTTCAATTCAATCCCTAGAGTTTGAGAAGATTCCCATTTGATTCTTGTTCATTAGAAATTTAATGTTTTCTCATGAAAAATGATTTTAAATAATAAGAAGTTTCTTCTTCCTCTAGGGTATCTTAAGTTCAAAAGCTCAAGTTAATCTTTCGATATTCGATATTCGATCAAACATATAGAATAGACACAATTATAAAAAAAAAAAATTAAATACACAAATACTCAAATTTAAAACCGTTTAATATTTAAACAATTAGAACTTGATCGGTTCGAAACAATCCTTTTGGATGATAATAGGAAGTTTGATATTATCATTTTTCATAAAATTTGTTTTACTAAGTGTTGTTGTATTTGTTAAAGGAAAAATTTTCTAATCATGGAATGTGAATCATATCATATTTGATGTTACAACGATAATTATGAAATGTATTAACTAATAATTGTGGATGGCCGTCACGTTATTTAGTGAAAAAATATGAGTAAACATTTAAGTATCTTTATAAATTAATTTTATATGTCCCTAAAAGGTTTACTCGAGTGGTAAGGTGGCGACGCATCTAGTCCGAAGGTTCCAAATATGTATGGATGTCAAAATTATAATGTTTCACGTTGGATGTGTCGTCAGCCTCAAAATAAACTCTTTGTAGTTGGGAAAAAAAAAAAAAATTATTCTTGTACATTACGAAATTGTAAAAAAGGATTATGGAAAAAAAACAATCTGAAAATTTTGAATACCCAATTGAGATAATGAATTATATTCAAATTTAAAGACCCATAAGCTCAAATATATGTTATAGTTTGAAAGCTAATTCGAAACAAATCCTATGTCCATAAAATTATGGTTTGCATTTACTAGGTATTTTTTTTTTTTTTATGTGGCAATAAGGTGTACTTGAACCAACTTGTAAGTCAATCAAAACCAACTTCTATGGATTCCAATTGAATGTTAATATATATAATGGAGTAAATATTAAATATATATATTATGAGATAAAATATCGAGAAGATCATTCTTTCTATAGATGGAAATAGATTTAATATCCGATCTATTAATTTAATTTTTAATCCATTCATTAAAAAAAATACTCTACCTATAGTTATTAAAAAAATTATTCTATAAACTCGTATCTGGAACATGCTCGATTTACCTCCATTTAATATCCACGAAATATAATTAATCAAAATATTTTATTTTAGTCCCTATAATTTTTAAATATATATATATTGTGTCCTTTAATTTAATTTAATTTTTTTTTTTTACAATTTGATACTTTATTTATAAGTTTTTTGGATCTCAAAATTTTTAGAAAAAAATATTTTGATTTGTATTTTTACAAAGTTGGTGCAATTAAGTTCCGACATTTTTAAAAAAATTAAAATAAATTAATAGATATTAGTGGGTATAAATTAGGTATTTATATTTTAAAATTATATTAATATGTGTATATTTTTTTACTCATCTTTAATATCTATTAAATATTTTTTTATGATTATTTATTAGACCGATTGAAACAGATAACCGCTTAAAGACCCAGTCTAGTAACATTCTTAATTCCTCTCTGTTATGTCACTATCAAGCTCTTAAATAGCCTAATTATATTTCTCTTGACTCATCCAATTTTACCTATACCTTAGAAGGAAAAAGAAAAATGTCTTTTTCTTTCCAATACAGGAAAACTTCCCTTACAAGTTAAACGACAGTAGACCCTTCAAATTCTTAAAATATTAAATGAATTTACCTTACTAACCTCATCTGATACTATAAAATCGAAAACGAAGGTGGTAAAACAGGCAACAGAAAATATCCAACTGGGGCAAAATAGGCAATAGAAAGTGTCCTACCGCCAGTTAACACAGCGGAAAAAGAGCAGCGGCAGCAGACACACTCTCTCCCCGTCTCTCTCGCTTCCTGAAAGAGTCCGAGTAGCGTGAAACTCTGCAATTTTAAAAAATCCGAAAACAAAAGGAGAAAAAAAAAGGGCTAGGGTTTCGTCTCTCTAGCCACAGCAAAATCAGCCTATCTCCTTCGTTTTCGCTCAACGCTGAAGGTATAAAAGCATAAAACTACTTCCTCCTTCGTGGCGTTCTAGTCGTTACAGTTACATTGCCTTGTGCTTGACTTGCATTGCTCGCTTTATGCATCTGCTCTGTTTGTTCTTGTGAGATCTGTGTTTTGGTATTTTTGTTTTTTTCCAAGTATTTTGTGGTTCTGTAGTGATTTTGAGTATGCGTGTTAGTTTTTGAGTGATTTTCTCTCTTTCTGTGTGTTTTAGCGTTTTTTTTTTTTTTTGGTGTATTGAAGTGATTTACGAGGCCTTTTGTTGTTTTCGAGAGATTTTTAAAATCTCTTTCGATTTCAAAGAGTAACTTCATCTTAAGACTGTTTCGTTTATTTTCTGGCTTTTAGATGCTTTATTTTTTTGTGGTTTTACGGTCCGTCATTTGTTATTCTCTGATTTTTAGTGTTTTCCGAGAGGTTTCGAAAAGCGTTTCTGTATATTGAAGAATAGTAGTTGATGTTAATTAAACTTACTAATTTGCTCTGAATTTTTTTTTATCTCATACAACACTGATTCTATGACTGTTGATATGGTTAAATAACTGTTTTATTTTTATACTTAATTACGCTTTTGATTTATCAGGAAGTAGAAAATGGAGTATCCAGGTCCTGGGAAAGATTTGCCACCACCTCCTGCTACGATTCCTAATGACGTTGTGCCTTTGCAAGCAGCAACTCCGAAACGAGCCCCCATGGCTCGCCGTGGTCTTGGAGCTAAAGGGCAGAAAATACCTCTGCTAACTAACCATTTCAAAGTGGCAGTGCCCAAGTCAAATGGCCACTTCTACCAATATAGTGTATTTTCTCCAGTTGCAATTTGTTTTTCTCGTTCCCTTCCTGTAATATTGAGCTAGCAAACTGATGTTTCTGTTGTGTACGTTTAATGTTGTGCTAGGTTGCTCTATTTTATGAAGATGGCCGCCCTACTGATGGAAAGGGAATCGGCAGACGGGTTATGGACAAAGTCCAGGAGACCTATGATACTGAGCTGGAAGGTAAAAAGATTGCTTATGATGGGGAGAAGACCCTGTTTACTATTGGCTCTCTTCCGCATAACAAGATGGAATTCATTGTTGTATTGGAGGATGTCTCCTTAAGCAGGTGAATGTGTGATATCAGTTTGTAATGTTAATTTATATTATGATTTATCTCTCTTTATGTTCAAGGCGTTGTATTTGTGGTTTGTAAATAGAGCTGGAGATAACGGCAATGGGGGTAATGGCAGCCCTAGCGATAATGATAGAAAGAGAATGAAACGGCCCTACCACTCGAAAACAATGAAAGTACAAATTAGTTTTGCAACTAAAATTCCAGTTCAAGCAATTGCAGCTGCTCTACAGGGTCGAGAATCAGAGCATTTTCAAGAAGCTGTGAGAGTTCTAGACATAATACTAAGACAGAATGCAGCAAGGCAGTGAGTGCCATTCTTTTTATGGTGATCTTCCTTTGCTCAACTTTTTACTGTATCTGATTTGGTTTTCTCTCAATGTAGGGGTTGCCTGCTGGTCCGGCAGTCCTTTTTCCATAACAATCCCAGAAACTTTGTTGAGTTGGGAGGTGGTGTCATGGGATGCCGTGGTTTTCATTCAAGTTTTCGAGCTGCCCAAGATGGCCTATACCTGAATATTGGTTAGTAGACATTTAGGAATTATTATTCTGACCTTTCGAATGGCAACCCTTATTGTTGTTTGGATGCAGATGTATCCACCACCATGATTGTTAAACCTGGACCAGTAGTGGACTTCCTAATTGAAAATCAGAATGTTCGAGATCCTCACCATATAGACTGGAACAAAGTAACCTTACTTTTCTTTCCATGTTGATTTTGAGTTCATGTAAAAGCTCTACTGCAAATTGGTTCTTTCATGGGTTAAATGCCAGGCTAAGAGGATGCTTAAGAACTTGAGGATTAAAACTATTCACTCCAACACTGAGTACAAAATCACTGGATTGAGTGAAAAATCCTGCAGAGAACAAACGTGAGTTCCCTATATATTGAATTATTGTTTTGGACTTGATGCATTAACTTCCAAGTATTTCAGAATCTGTGCTGTCATGTGCTTGAAAAACTTGTTTTAATCTCTCAGTTTCTCGCTAAACCAAAGAAGTGGACGTGACGGGGATGGTGAAGTGGAATCTATTGAGCTTACGGTTTTTGATTACTTTGTCCATCACCGCAACATGCAATTGAAGTATTCAGCTGATTTCCCATGCATTAATGTTGGGAAACCAAAGCGCCCATCCTATTTCCCTCTTGAGGTGATGTTTCTAGAGACTGTCAGTAGTTCTATTTTCTTGGTGAATAACATACCTGTGCCTTACTTATTGTTTGGTTCCATATATGCACAGCTGTGCAATCTAATTTCATTACAACGGTATACGAAGGCATTGTCCAACCTGCAAAGGGCTTCCCTCGTGGAGAAATCACGACAGAAGCCCCAAGAGCGGATGAGATCTTTGACTGATGTACGTACTGTCCAGCAAACGTCAATCAAATCCTGTAGCTTTATTTTTCATTGTTTTAGTTTTCTAATTATCACAAAGGACTTTTCTGGTAGGCTTTGAGAAGCAGCCATTATGATGCTGATCCAATGCTTCGTTCTTCTGGAATTTCAATTGGTTCTCAGTTTATTGAGGTTGAAGGTCGTGTTTTATCTGCTCCTAGGGTAAATATCAAATCTTGTTTGCCCTTATTTTCCTTTTCTTTGTTACATATACATTTTAAAATCTGAGAAATTAAGGATTGTTTTCTTCTAATTTACAGTGTCTTTTTACAGCTGAAAGTGGGAAACGGAGAGGACTTCTTCCCTCGAAATGGACGATGGAATTTCAACAACAAGGTGCTGTTTTTCTCTTTTTTTCCTTTAATCATTCAAGTTAAATGGGGTTTTTGTATTAACTTTCATTGTCTATCTCAGAAACTGGTGGATCCAGTTAAGATCGAACGTTGGGCTATTGTAAACTTCTCTGCACGTTGCGACATACGATATCTGTGCAATAACTTGATAAAGTGTGGAGACCTGAAAGGAATTGTGAGTGTTTCAGTAGATAATAATAATAATATGAAACTGATTTCATCATCGCACATTGATCGACATTAATCTTTTTATTTTTGCAGAGCATAAGTCAACCATTTCAGGTATTTGAAGAGAGTCCCCAGTTTAGGAGAGAATCTGCTCCTGTAAGAGTGGAGAAAATGTTTGAGGTCATTAAGTCTAAGCTTCCTGGGCCGCCGCAATTCCTTCTGTGTATCCTTCCAGAGAGGAAGAACTCTGACATTTATGGTTGTACTACTTTCTTCACCCACCTTTACTTTTCATGCCTAAATTAGATACCTTGAGATTGCTTCTAATTAATATTTCTGCTGCAAATCAAGGTCCATGGAAAAGGAAAAATCTTTCTGATTTGGGGATCGTCACACAATGCATTGCACCTTCAAAAGTGAATGATCAATACGTGACAAATGTGCTACTGAAAATCAATGCCAAGGTGTGCTATTGCAATGGTGTTCTGTTTGAGCTTTCGTTGTTTCCCTTTTTTGATACTAATTTCGCTCTAAGTATTCATTGCCTTGTCTAATTCTTGCCATTATCTCTTATTTCTTACAGCTTGGTGGAATGAATTCCTTGTTATCAATTGAGCATGCTCCTTCTATACCTTTTGTGTCTAAGCAACCGACCTTAATACTTGGGATGGATGTATCACATGGCTCTCCTGGCCATTCAGATGTGCCATCTATTGCTGCAGTAATCCTTCTTTTCTCCGCTTTTCTTTCCTTTCCTTTGTACCATGATTGTCTGTGCTTGACAAATTATGATACCTCAAAGCTGTTTTCACTTTGCCCATCATTCGAAATCATCAATTCTCTTCTTATACTGCATACTTTTAGGTGGTAAGCTCCAGGCACTGGCCATTAATTTCTCGCTACAGAGCTTCTGTTCGTACTCAGTCACGAAAGGTTGAAATGATTGCAAATCTATTCAAGCCTGTTTCTAATACCACTGAGGATCAGGGCATTATCAGGTGAGAGAAAAACCTCACAGTTAGTGCTAATTGTTTTTCACAAACTGGTTTGGCAGCACTTGGAATTTCTTTACATTCATTGTGTTAACCAAATTTTGGGTTTTCATAACGAGATAATCTGACAAAATTTTGATGCCGTTGTTGATTATCAGTTTCTGTAATTTCTTGAAAGCTGGGTTTTATTTATTTTGGTAACTTGTTTGGAATTCATTTCTTGTTTTCTCAACTTTTTAGGGAGTCACTGTTGGACTTTTACGCTACGTCGGGAAAAAGAAAGCCTGGTCAGATAATTATTTTCAGGTACTTTATGCTTCTTTCAGCAGAAGCTGTATGAAAGATGTCCTATAATCATAACCATTATGTTGGTTTGCATGGGGAGACATGAGTAAAATGTTTTACACTGCTCCTTGCAGTGTTATTACATGTTTTTCTTGTTCAATGTATTTGTCTTCCTGTGTAGGGATGGAGTGAGCGAATCACAGTTCAACCAAGTTCTAAACATCGAACTTGACCAAATTATTGAGGTTTTTCTGATCTCTGATACACTTTGTTCTTGACTAGCTTCCTTGCGTTGGAGGATTTTCTGGTGTAATTACAACTGTATGTTTTCAGGCCTGCAAGTTCTTGGATGAGAAGTGGTCCCCAAAATTCACGGTGATTGTTGCCCAGAAAAACCACCATACCAAGTTCTTTCAGTCAGGATCACCTGATAATGTTCCACCTGGTTAGTTCACCATCCATGGTTTGTCCAAAATAAATGAAAGGAAAAGCAGAAGAAACATAACGCTGACTGCAGTCATTCTTTCTGTTTTACTTCGTTATCCTCTATGCAGGTACTGTCATTGACAACAGGGTTTGCCATCCGCGAAACAACGACTTCTATATGTGTGCTCATGCTGGGATGATTGTAAGCTGTTCTTTCCCAGTCTGGCTATGCTTCTAGCTACCTTTTGTTTACCTGCTTCTTTTCATTCTTCAGTGTGTTAATATTTTTAGCTTGATCGATTTGTGGCTCTGATCCTTTTCCTTGCAAAAAAATAAAAATTCTCTCGTCCTATGTTGTAGAAAGTCTGATCAATAGCTAACAACTTTTTGAACAGGGAACAACTCGGCCTACTCATTACCATGTTCTACATGATGAGCTTGGTTTTTCTGCAGATGATTTACAAGAACTTGTGCACTCCTTGTCATATGTGTAAGTAATTTGCTTGTATATACAATAGAATCTGGCTGGATTATTAGCAATTAAGGCACGCGCAATAATTTTGTCAGGCACTAGTAACATTTAGCTTCTCTAATTTTACAGGTACCAAAGGAGCACCACCGCCATATCTGTAGGTAATATATTATACCACTCAGAGTGCTACTTTTGTTATCAGTTGAAATAAGATGTTCTTCAATACTCCTTTAGAAGTTATTTACTTATTCTTCGAAGAGTATTGTTTAGCATCCAATATATGTTTAATATGTTCTTATATCTCCCTCGCTGGCTGGATTTCTTGCAGTTGCTCCAATATGCTATGCCCATTTGGCAGCAAGCCAGATGACTCAGTTTATAAAGTTCGATGATTTGTCGGATACATCTTCCAGCCATGGTGGGGTTACTACTCCGGGTGCCGTTCCAGTTCCAGAATTACCTCGTCTGCATAATAATGTCAGCAGTTCAATGTTCTTCTGTTAAATAATCGGTTTTATTTCTGCTCACCAACTATAGAAACCATAGGTAGGTTTAGATGGTACTATTACTTATAGTTGAGTACCATTTACAGCAATCTTGCTTATAGTTGAATATATACCATTTACAGCAAACATGCAAATGTTATTTTGGTTTTTGTAACAATACCTCGTCCAGAAACGATGGCTGGTAGTGGTTTTTTGACAGACATCCACCGTCACCCATGCTATTACTCTTTGTTGAATGCAATTAGATTTGAAGTTTTTATGCTAATACTAATTATTCAAGTTGAATTTTTAATTAAATACCGAAATTTGTATGTTTTACTTTTTTAATAATGGTTAATTTCTCTAAATTGAAAATAACTTGTGGCAACATTATGATTTATGAGCACAACGAAAGTCTAGGGATGGCAATGGTTAGGTATAAAATGGATATCCATTTTACTTGATTCAATAAATATTTATTACAAATGTCCAATGGATATTGAATCTTTATCCTATTAATACTTATTAATTTATTTAATTTTTTATTAATATAATGGATTTAATTGTACAAAATTTAAAAATTAAAGATCAAAATATTTTAAAAAAAAACACTTTAAGGACAGAAAAACTTATAAATAAATTATCAAAATAAAAAAAAAAATTAAGGATCAAAATTTTTTTTATTAAATTAAATTTAATGAGTATTTAAGGAATATTAAATGGACTAATAAGCTAATATGAATTGGATATGAATTGAGTAAAAATTTATATGGTGATTGATAATGTATAAGTTTTTTTTTTTTTTTTTTTTGAATAGGGTAAAAAATTGAATTAATGGGTCAGGTACCCACTCATTGTCATTCCTATGGATGTTGCAAAACAATAATAGAAATAGGGATAAAATATAACTTAATCTATCTAGTTTTGAGAAATAAATTAATTGGTTCTTGTTTTAAAAACTAATCATTTAGTCAATTCTCATCAATTTTTTTATAACATCTATTTATTATTTTTATTTTTCCATTTTTAAAAAAAATTAGTAAAAAGCATAAAATGGAAGGAAAAAAAAAAAGACAATTCCCCTGATGGACTAAAATGGTGATAATAAATTGGAAGTCAATTCTTAAAAACAAATGTTGAAAATGGTGGGCTGCTTTAATTGTTGGGCTTGGACTATAGCAAGTCTTTATGTTTTAAAACCCTTTTACTACCCACGCATCAATAATTTCCAAAATGGAAAATCATGTATGCATATTGTTTGCCGCTAACGTTTCAATTTTCAGGGTAATTATGTAATTTTCTAATCTACTCTTATATCTCTAGTTAAAATTAATTTTATCTTCAAATTTATGTTAAATTTTTAATTTATTTTTTTGACCAAGAATTTCAAGTCAAACTATCAAAAAAAATTAAAAAAATAAAATCATCCATAATTTTTTTCCTCAATTGCATCCCCAACTTCACAAAGATCTCTCAATTGTTTTATTGGATAATGCACACAATTTAGATGGAAAATCATTTATCAATGTAGACAAAGATCCATTCTTGCTTCCACTTTGAGACCTCACCATTAAACTTCTCATAAGAGAATTAAAAACATATCAGGATTCTTAAAGATAAGATATCCTTCATGGAGGAAAGGATATCGAACATTCAAGTATGATGAAAATGCATAGCTATACAACACGGGATGCATCTTAATTGATTTGAAGCTGGTGAGGCCAAGAAAGAATCATTGAAAAAGAATTTTTGTTCATCCATTTTGGGTATAAGTTGTGCAAGGAAAGCCTAGTGTAATATTTCTCCTGCTCCTACTTCAAGCTAACTGTTTACTAAGCATTAAATACCTGTGTGCCTAATTTACATATGAATGCTAAATATAAGCAAAAAAGCAGCTGGTAAATGTGCTTTAAAGTTGAAACTAGTTGTATCCTTGAATTAATGTTAGATGGAAATGCAACTTATTAGACCCTGCTGACATGGTATTATGAAAAGATTTGGAATCCGACTTCAACTTTACAAAATGCAATTATCTGCAACTCATATAGCAGCAATACCCAGAAGAGCACTGTAATATCTACATTCCTAACCTAAATATCATCATAAAAAAATTCAGACATGGTCCAGATGACTAATGATATACTGGATCCACAACAAATGCAACTGAAAAGAAAATGAAATCTCATTTCCACCATAAACAGAATTTTAAATCCCACACTACAAACAAAGACATGACATTTTATATGCGATCACTCACCATCAAACTTCTTAGCATTAAAAGCCTCAAAAGACAGTTCACATGTGGACAAAGGTCATATCTGCATGTAAAGACTTCTGTTAGTTTCTATTTGTTCACATAATCAATCTAAGTTTGTAAATCAGAAAACTATGAACCTTTTTTTTTTTTTTTGGTAATTGCTTTCCTCTTGTCCATTGTCAGTATTAACACCCTCCACAATACCTTCAGTCACATAACACAACATCAAAGTGATAAACAAAAAAAAATTCATGAACAATTATGCAGCAATGTAAATAACACAACTTTTTCTAATTATATTAACAACCTATTAACACTAACATGTATCCTATTAATATGTCTAATTTGCTCAACTCATTAAATTGTGAGATGAATAATGGAGTGGGTTAAAAAAACCCTAACCTGGTTGATCTTCAAATTAATCCCACCAAGCACCTTATATGCCTCCGAATGCACAAAATCAACCCTTAATGACTAGATTTTAACATCAGCTTCTAAGGTGCAGCTCGCCTGCACAAGTTCAATACTATCAATCTTTTCATATTTTGCAAAGAAAATAAATAAATACAAGAACGACAACAGCCAAGCCATATGTATACTTCTGCCCCATTCTGCATAAAAATAAATAAATTAAATAAATAAAACTATGTTTTACCTTTTGAAAATTGGTCTCAGCATGTGATTCTCATCTTGTGAATCTGCTCCTGGGTCTCTTCCAAACCCGACTTCTGCGCCTTCGTAAACCGCTGCTGCAGCCATTTTCTCAGAGAATTGGAGAAATAGTAACGGCTTTCTGCTTGGAGCGAGGGAGCGATAGATGAAAAGGATAGGACCTGCTGCTTGTCAAGGCAAGCATCTGTATCTTGGAGAGGGTGAATGACAGGGATCTGCTGCTTGCCGAGACAGGGATCTGGATCTTGAAGAAATAACCTAGAAGTTGAGGAGAGGAGCAGGATAACGAATGGGTTCTTTCTAAAACAACCAATAGAAAAACGAAAGAAAAGGTTAGTTAGCTACTATGTCTGGGCGGTCTTATCAAACGCGTCATTTTTTTATATATTTTTTAAAATTATGTAAAATAAAAATTATTAAAGTTTGAGGCGGTTTTGTTGACCGCCCCAAACATTCCGTCTATATAATACATATTTGGTGTAGTTTGTATATAACAACACGCTGTCCCTTGACTCTTAAGTCTTTAGCGAAGATCAACAGACAGAACAATGGCAGACGAACTACAAATCAAATGTTTGTTTTACATGGCACAACAAAAACAAAGCCTACAAGATAGTCAGACCCAAAAGGGAGAAGATCAAAAAGAAGGACAAGGCTGCATCTTCTCAATGAAGGTTAGTCTCAATTATGAAGTTGAATATCTTCCCTGTCACAACTCCATGCACCTAAAATCCATCAAATCACCTTCTTTTACCCTCGACCCAAGTCTTCTACTAGAAGAAACCAAAGCTCATGACACCATGCGTAAGATCCTCCACAACAAGTCCGTACCTGAACTAGAACTAGATTCAATAGCGAAAGCTGTTTCCTCCAAAGCAAAGTCAATAAAGAATGACCCACGCAATGCCAGTAGTAAAGTGATACATATTGTAATGTCACTTAGGGTTATTTGGGTACAAGAATTCAATCCAGAGGCTGCACTTGCATGGGAAAGACTGCTGCCTCAAGGGAAAACTTTTTCTTTCACTTTGCCTGCCACCGAGAATTCCATCAGAGAACTGGAAAAGTTGTCTTTCGACAAGGATTGGTGTTTCGACCAGGAGCAATGTGCGATTTGTTTGAAGGAATTCATTGTTGGAGAGGATGTTACAAGAATGCCATGCTTGCATGCCTACCATGGAGATTGTATTCTTAAGTGGCTAAACAACAGTCACTTTTGTCCGTCGTGCCGGTGCCCTATGCCAGTGTGCAGGGTTATAGATGGAACTTTTCCGTTCCCGAAATTCAAGCGCTGCCCGCCAATACCACCGTCCTGTACTGGTGATAAGATTGGAAAAGGGGCTCGCATGTCTGTTGGCTACCAAGTTTACTAATCCTCGATAATTAATTTTAATGATGTCAAATTCTTTTTTATCAATTGTTAACTTATTTTGTTAGTTTTTTGTTCTATATGGAGCAATTATTGATGGGCTTTTGATATTAATACAGAAGAAGGAAAATAGGCGATCCAGTCCAATCACAATCCATTTATAAAATTTAGCACATAGGTTAAAAACAATGTAATTGCAGTTTCATTATATTTAAAGATTGTCCATACCAATTTCTATAAATTAAGTTTGTTGCCAATGTAAAATTTATGATGGGATTTCTTTAAAAAAAAAAAATTGAAGCAGATATTTAAGAAATACCATGCGATGAATCCATAAAACACAGGGAGAAAAAAAAAACAAAAAAAAACAAAAAACAATGCCCCTGGTTAGCTAGGGAAAAAAAAATTGGAAGTCAATTCTTAAAAACAAATGTAGAAAATGGTGGGCTACGTTAATTGTTGGGCTTGGACTATTATCTTCCTCGATGGGCTTGGACTATAGCAAGTCTTGTATGTTTTAAAACCCTTTTACCCTCCGCGCATCAATAATTTCCAAAATGAAAAATCATGTATGCATATTATTTGCCGTTAATGTTTCAATTTTCAGGGTAATTATGTAATTCTTTAATCTTTTCTTATATCTCTAGTTAAATTAATTTTATCTTTAAATATTTTTTAAATTTTTATTTTATTTTTTTGACGAGATTTTCATATCAAACTACCAAAATTAATCATATAATTTATACTTGATTATTTTTATTTTTAAAATATCCTTACAAACCAAATAAATAGAAAACATTTATGAGATAATCATGTTGCTATTTTCGATGATTTAGTTTGAAAAATTTGTGAGGATGGTAAATTAGAAACCTAACATATATTAAACAATAAAATTAACTCAATGAAAAGTCTAAAAACAAAACAAAGAATTTTACGGTTATATAAAAAGAAATAGAACAATACCCTGTTGTTTGCTTCATTAGTCATAAAAATGCTACTTTCTGAATACTTTTCTATAAAGTTCTTGCCAAAATTTTCCTCTCTTTTTTTTTTTTTTTTTGTCGACTAACCATTTATTAGAAAATTATTCCTTAATTAATTGGTTTCTTGACAAGATTTTATCTGAAAAGAAAATAAACCTTAAAGATCTCAAATTCCCTTGAGCCAAGGAAATTTATAATTTTTTATCCTTCTTCTCTTGTTCTTGGAAATGTTGATGTTGGGCAATCAAAAGTTGACAATGGTAGCAGGTAAGATTGTCTATTGAAGAAAATGTCATGACCATCCCTTGGATAACTTGCAGACAGGTTATTTGAGGGTCACTAATTTCTGACTAATTACAATGTTTTTATAAAAAAAGATGTGTCATGTTTTACATGTATGTCAAAATACTCCTCAAAGTTCAAAGAAAAACTACTACAATTTATAATTTGAATTTGAAATTAATCCCATATTGCAGTAAGAATCATCTTCCAAATAATATTGACATTGACTAACATTTATACTTGTATAATAATTAAAAAAAAAGTTTGATATCTATCACAAGGCTTTTTGTTAGAGTGAATTATAACTTGAGCATTTATTAATGAAAAAACAAAAATTGTACTTAACCCTTTAGTTTCAAGAAATAAACTAATCAACCATCCTTATTTTAAAAATTAATTATTTAATCTCTTAGTCGGTATTGATCAAAGCTAATTTAATATTATTTTATTTTGAAAATATCCTCTTTTTTTTTTCTTATCAATTCTTTCATATTCTTTACTTTTTTTCTTAATTCAAATTAAGTCAAAAACTAATGGAAAGAACTAAATTACAAAAAAATTTAAAAATATAGGATTAAATATATTTTTTAAAAACAAAAGAGACTAATTAATTTGTTAAAACAAATGGACTGATTTATAATTCACTCATGATGATAATAACAACAACAAGAGTTTGATATCCATTACGGGTTTTTTTTTCTTGAAAGATTAAATTATAAGTTGAGCATTAATTGATGAAAAAACAAAATTGAACGCCCCATCCAAATCCCACCTAGAATTGACCATTGAATGTGATATCAAAACTAGGAGACATAAATACAAATCAATTGAACTCGAATTGAATATATAATAAGTTTAGGGTAAAAAGAAAAAAGAGAGAGATTTCTTGTGACGGAGACATTCTCAAGGATAGGTGCCACGTCACATCAAGATCTATGATGCCTTCTTCTTCATTGTGCCCTGCTGCAAATATTTCCTCTCCAACTTTCTATGGTTAAGATTTGGCCTTAAAACTCATTTCAATAGACATTGATTACATACCTAATTATTGTTAGTTTGTATTGGAAAAAATGAAAGAAAATCTATCTTGCATCGGCAAAAAAAAAAAAAAATCTCTTTTGAAGTGCTTATAAAAATAGATTTTTCTTGTATATAGATATTTACAATATAAAAAAATTGACAATTAAAACTCGAAACTAAAATTATCGATAATATTAATTTTCAAATTATTTATTTATTTTTTAAAGAGTTTGAACGCGTATTTGTTTTCTAAGATCATCTCCAATAGTGCTCTTTATTTTTAGTTAGCATTTTTAATGTAAAAAAAAACACCATTAATTATATAGATAAAAGATCAATACCCTTTCTAATGTTATTCTCTATTTAACTCTTTATTTTGACAAAATCTATAAAACTCATAGAGACTATTGGTGAAGAGGTTGAGTGGCATAAGAAATAGTAATTTTCATTAATGAAATATAAGATAAAGAGTCATTTGGACTCTCTAATATCGGAGAGCCAAAGACACTCTTTATATCAATTTTAAATATAGAGATTGTGATAAAGAGAACATTGAAGATGAAATTTGAATCAAACCTCTTTATTATAAAGAAAAATCTTAATACAAAAAGAGCATTGGAGATGCTCTAAAACCGTATCTCTATATGAAACAAATAAACATTTTAAATATAATATTAGTAGTTTTCTCACTCTCTGTCCCCATCATTTTGCCACTTGTTTTATGTTTTGCAGGAGTTTACAATCCCATCATAATTAGACAAATCTTTTTTTAAAACTCAATTAGTTTAATAATTATCTATCCAATCGACACATACGGTCACATCATATCTTCAAGAGAGAAAGAGAGAAGAGTCCATTATCGCGACAACCAGCATTTAAAGCAGACACACATGGCTGTATGTCACTATATACATATAGTTGCTCGTATTACAAAATACTTATGTGAAATTTAACGAAAAAATAAATATTTTTAAATTAAAAAATTTCTGATGTTGTTTTTTAAATAATATATATATTTTTTTTAAATTTATCTCTTTTGTTAAGATTTTATTTAAAAATTGATAGAAAAATTCTTCAAAATCGTCTCATTCCTCTCTTTTATCTATCAGTAAACATATTTTCTTACATTATTAGAAAAAATAATAAAAACGGGGAGGATTTTTATGGATATTTTATTGATTTCTCAACAAAACCCGAATAAAATTGACTAATTCAAAAAATTAATATTATTTAAGGAACGAAATCAAGGAATTTTTAAATTAAATATAATATTACAAGGCTTTTTTTTTAGAATGAAAAATAAGCTGAGCATTTATTGATGAAGAAAAAAATTGAACTTAATTCTTCTAGTTTCAAGAAATAAATTAAATAGTTATTTTTATTTTAAAAATAATTATTTAATATTTTAATTAGAATTAATCAGATTTAATTTAACATTATTTTATTTTAAAAAATATTTTTTATTCGTCAATTCTTTCTTATTTTTTATTTTTTTTCTATATATTAAAATAAAAAGTCAAAGTAAATTGAAAAAAAAATCAAATTACAAGAAAATTTAAAAATATAAAGACTAAAAATATTTTATCAAAATAAAAAAAAACTGAATAATTAATTGACCTTGAATTAAATAGACAAGTTTAGGCAGAGAAAAAAAGAAAAGAAAAGAAAAGAAAAGAGATTTTTTGTCATAGAGACATTCTCAAAGGCATGTGCCACGTCACATTAACATTTATACGTAATCTTCTTTCTTTTAATGCCGCGATACAGATATTCCTTCTCCAACTCTCTATCGTCAAGATTGTGGTCTTTAAACTCATTTCAAATCCAAACTTATCCTTTTTTGTATTTTTATAATATTTATGGAGTAATTGATATAAGTTACTCCTTGAATAATATAAATTTCTTCTTAAAAAAATAGATAAAATACAAAATATGAAGGAGAAAATAAAAAAATCACCTTAAATATAATATTTTTTTTTTATGTTTCTAAGCCAAATTAATTTTCTATTCATCTGTATTCATGCCAAATTACTCTAACCACCACCCCGAAAGATGGAATTTTTTATCTGTCTACTTACCAAATCACTCTTTTTTTTTTTTTTTTTTAGTTTTAACAGTAATAATGTTTTTGGATTAACTTTTCCATAGAAATTTTATAACATTTATGGAGTAATTGATACAAGCTACTCCTTGAAAATATAAGTTACTCCATAAAAAATATAGACAAAAAAAAAAAATACGAAAGAGAAAATAAAAAAAAATCGAGTTAAAATGAAAATTTTTTTATCTTTTTTGATAGATACAAATATAATTTTTTTTATATGTCTATTTGTCTTCTAAAAAATAGATTCATAGAATAACTACTATATATATATACTAGTTATTTTTTAAAATATTATAAAATTTCTAATTTTAACATATTTTGAAATTATTTTTTGAAATAAATTTTCAATAATACAGACTAAATTTATCTTACGTGTCAAGGTTTGTTTATCAGCGTTGATATCACTTTAAGATCGATATCAAATTACTCTAACAAGTAACGACCACCACGAAAAATGGAATTTGATTATATTCGCGTAGGTCCATTTACATGTGACATAGACTCTTGGAAATGAAAATTAGACAAAACAGTACTGGGATTGGGCTTTGTTTTGTCACGTTCCATTAGGCAAGAAGACTGCGACTTATCATGAGAATAGGCTTTTATTGAGTCGACGCCACATGTTTTGCATGGATTTACATATCCCATCATAATTGGACGCATCCCCTCGGGGTTTTGAATTAATCTAATAATCATTTCTCCAAGCGACTCGTGCGGTCACATCATTTCTTCAGGAGAGAGAGAGAAGAGCCAACGATCATGACCACCGGCATCTAAAGCAAACACCAAATCACTATATATGTATATATAATTGCCTGCATTATAAAATACCTTTGTAAATTTTAAACGAAAAGGAAATATTTTTAAATTTTAAAAAATCTCTAATTTTATCACTAAGCTTTAATTTTATAAAATTTGTATCTTTTATTTGGGTTTTATTTAAAAATTTACAGAAAAAATCCTTAAAATCCTCTCATTCGTCTCTTTCATCTATCAATAAATATATTTTTCTAAATTAATAAAATTTTAGAGGATTTTTATATTTTTTTTATTTTTATTTAAAAATTTACAGAAAAAAATCCTTAAAATCCTCTCGTTCTCTCTTTCATCTATCAATAAATGCATTTTTCTAAATTAATAAAAATTTAGAGGATTTTTATCGTTTTCTTATTAATTTCTCTACGAATCTTGATAAAATTGACAAATTCAAAGAAAATGATATTATTTAAAAAATTAAATTAAGGATTTTTTAATTTAAAAAATATTTGTTTTTTCTCTTGAGTTTACGAAGATATTTTACCATTTTATATACACCATGGGAGAGATCAGTGACATGGGATTGCTGCCTACCTTCTTCCTTTCTGTTTGGTGGCACAAGCAGATTATCGCTGGCAATGTTTATGACCCATTAACACCAATAGGCACCCATCATTTAAGATCACATGACACGATTGTCCTAAGCCGATAGTACACTTAAAAAAAAAAAAAAGTACTAATGGGATTTTACACTATGAGAATATTAATTTTTAATTTTTTTTATTTAAATATATTGATATTTTAAAAATTTTCAATCAAATATTTTTTTATCTAACACATTTGTCAAATGTTTTGTTATTCAATGATATATCTTTTTTCCAATCTCCTGAATTATAATTTTGACCTTTTATTTTTTAGAGAATTTTCTCTCTTATATTATTTTGTTTTATTCTACTTCTTAGATTTAAAAAAAATTTGTGTATTTACTATACAAAAAGTAAAAAGCATCAAAGAATTTAAGATGAAAAATTTCCTCTGATAATGAGAAGATAATATCATAATTTATTAGTTTGGAACAAAAGATATCATCAAACAATAAAGCAAATGATATGTTGTGGATGAAAAACATTTAATTTTTACTTTTAAAAAATCTGATGCTCTCAAATAAAAAAAAATTTAAATTCATACATTCCATTAAAAAATATTAAAAATTGATATTCTTATGTCTTAAATACTAATAGACAAACAAGAAAAAGGACAAAAAGAAACAATTTGGGGATAATTACAAACATAGTCTCACATTTTCAGTTAATTATCAAAGTCGGTGGCTAGGTATGAACCCACAACTACCACACATTACTCATTATTGCAATTGCTTCGACATTTGCACCCATAATTAGAAAGAAATTAACAAAATCCATAGATTATGTGTGTTTTTGGTATATGTCTAATGCTAACGAATTTTTTTTCATGAAATTCAAAAAAATGCTAATAACAAACAGTAACGCACCAAGTCATATGCGTGTTCTTGTGATTTTGCAAGAATCACTTATCAATAAAAAAAACAAAAATCAATGATTTCATTTATGTCACTCGTAATCAAGATTAAGTTCTATTAATAAAAATGTTATTAATAATGGCACGTGCAAAAAGAACACGTAACAAATAAATTTTGTTAATCCCCTTTCATCGGGGACAACTTTGATTAAAATCTAATAATTTTATGCTCACATTGTTTAATTTATACTCTAGGCAAGTAAGTTGACAATTTCATTATTATTGGGGACTTTTTTGTAGTTATCCAGAAAGTGTAATGCCTTTCCTGACAATACAGCCTGAAACGAACTTTGTCGATTATAAATTTGGACACAAGAATATAAATGCAACTTGTGTTGGATATAAGTCTGAACATGTCTGATTCAGGGTATGGCCATGGATTTTTTTCCACGAAAGCAATCATTTTTGACTCAATCAAGAAGTAAATTATAAATTAGTCCTTGTATTTTTAGCAATGAATGAATGAATTCATTTTATTTTAAAAATAATTATTTAATTTTTTAATCAATATTGTCCGCATTTAATATTATATTATATTATATTATTTATTTATTCTATCTATCAAAAATAAAAATAAATTGAAAAAGAACTGAAAGGATTTAATTACAAGAAATTTAAAAATTTTAAAATTAAACAATTATTGTATAAAACATGAAGAACTAGTTAATTCATGTTTTAAAACTAAAGGATTAATTTATAATTTACTCTTCGATGACGCTAGAAAAGAGAAAAGACAAAGACCCAAATTACAAGGTCAATTGCTATCAATATCCGGACCTTATTTTATATACACAAAGAATGTATGGCCATGGATTTTTTTTAATAATTTATTATTTTCTCAAATTTACGTGGATTGTATGTTGATCAGATTACTTCCTGATAATTTATTTCACCTAATTAAAAAAGTTATGGATTATTTATAGAGGAATTGATGAATCATACTTGTAATTCTAAATTAAGGACCGTATGAAAAAAAGTAATTGTAATTATAGTCAATTATGGCGAAGATAAATTCAGAATAAAATGAAACACTGGCTTTATTAATTAGCACGTAACACAAGAAAGTGATTATTTAGCTGAATTTTAGCAACATAAATATGTATTTACACCCACATTAGAAAAAATCTTTTCAAAGTTTAATGCTAATAATCTTTTTAATTGACATAATTATATGCACAGGTGGCCACTATTCATCCCACTATGCCCTCAAATGAGAGGAATTTACCATCACTTCACTCCAATAGAATTTTTAAAAGATAAATTCCATTTAAGATAATGTAAATATACATATTAATTTATCATTATATAATACTTAAATTCATTCATTTGTTTAACTATCTATCTTCAAATTTTTTAAAAATATTTAATCTATTCTTTTGATAATTTTTCTAACTGTTAAAAAAATATTTTGATCAAAATATTTTTGATTAAAATATACATGCATGCGCACGTATATACACACATATATACGTATTTAAAAAAATAAAACATGTTAGACACATGATTTAATTTTTTTTTTTTACATTTGTTAAAGGACATTTAGGTTAAAAAAATTTGTTTGTAATAAAACAAATTGAATCAATTCTATTGTTATAATCAGATTTTATTGTAGATTTTTTACTATAATTTCCACCAGACATTCTAATTTCTTCCTTCTGTGAGATCGAATTTTAGAAGAAGGAATTGACACAAAAGTATCAACAACAATACATTTTATTACAGAATAATATATATATATATATATATATATATATATATATATATATATATATATTATGCGTCTCTTATACCTCCAGTTCTAACAAGAGGCACATGCACATTAATACTGACATGTATGGGCCAAAACATGATCGATCTCCTACCAAAAGAAGATCTATCTTCTATTTTGTACCATGGCAACGGCAAATTTCCGCTGTCTTTAACTGGTCGGTCCAGATCAAAATCACAGTAATTGGTGACCCAATTATTAGATGCATTTGCTTCTATCGGTTGACCTAACCCTAATAATTAAATGCGTTTGCTTTTCTAAGATCACGCGAGAGGATTGTCTTAGGCCAATGGTTCTACACTTCCAAAAAAAAAAAAAAAAAAGAGCAAATAAACAACATTTTGGATCAATAATTTTGAAATGTTCCACTTGAGAATATCATGCATAGAAATTTGGGAGAAAAAGAGGAAGAAAAAACATGAAAAACTTTTAAGAAGAAAACAAAAATGACAGTCTATCTGGTAAAAAAAAAAAAAGCTGGTAAATTATAAATCAGTCCCTCTAGTATCTAAAAATGATTTAATAGTCTTATTTTAAAACTAATTAATCTATCTCTTTATTTTAAAATTTTCTTTTAACTTAAGTTCTTTTTATTCATTTTGATTTTTTTTTTGTTCTAAGAAATAAAAAAATGAAAAAGATGATTTTTTAAAATAAAATAATATTAAATACTGATAAAAAAACTAAATAATTAGTTTTTGAAACAAAATAAATAAATTATTTATTTCTTAAACTAGAGGGATTAATTTATAATTTACTCTTTATTAAACCATAGTAACTACATTAGATAGATAGTAACTTACGAAAAAAAAAAAAAACCATGAAAAGTACAAAAGTGTCGCCAAGTTTTTGCGCGTCAATCACACAAAACAACTTTAGCCGCTAATTATAACCTTATAAAATTGAACACATGTAAATCAATGTACCCTGTCTGGTGTCAACCTGCTGACGGCAAGCTTGACCATGAAATTTTTTTTCCACAAATCCAATAATTATTAATTCAATCAAGGTGAAAAAACAAAGACCTTACAGGTGGGAGAGTTCAATTTGTAATTTGATTCCTCAAAAAATGGACTGGTTCAGTGTTTTTCCCTTGTACGAACAAATGATGTCCCTTCTCTGCAATGTCCTAACTCAATTCTTAAAATGGCTTAATATTTTCCTGCCACAATTAAGCAAGTGACGTGAGCAATGATGCTGGCTGGCTGAATCTGATAGCCATTGCCTGGCATGAATACTCACAAAACACGTTCCTATTTAAGACTTGAAGAAGTAAATGTTTTGGTTCCTGTGTATCAGCAAAGAGACAGAGAAAGAGAAAAGACTTATATCAAGTATGTTCGCCTGTGTTGTCTATGGTTTTGCTTTGATAAAGGAAGAAAAGAAAATATGCAACTTAATGAATAGTTCAGAATAACTTGTCTGTGAATAGATTCTGCATGAGTGGAGAAAACTTGAAAATCATTCAGATTCTCGTTTATGTTCTTTCTGTTTTTGCTTTTTCTAAGATGTTTCTTTCTTGTTTTTGATGGGTTGACGGCCGAGTAGGTTTGGAAGGAATTGTGTTGTTTGAAGATTGAAAGAAGGGAGCTTTTCGGGCTGAACTTTTGTTTGGCTCTGTAAAAGCATGGCAGATGAGTATAGAGAGACATTGTTGAAGAACGATAATTACTATGAGAATTGCCCAGGGTGTAAGGTCGATCGACTTAAAGAGTTGAAGAGAGGATTCCCATTTCGTGAGCTTATATCGATATGGATTGTTGTGCTTTGTACTGGTAAGAGTCTAATTTCAAAATCTTTTGATCTTGAAAAGAAACATGAATTTTGACTTACAGCTTCTCAAGGTGGAAAAAGTGACTTTCTCAAAGTCCAGTGGAAGAGTCTCATGGAAAAGTATCTATTATCATATCTTTATTTCCAGATTATATGGACATACTTGTATGAATGTTTTGGTCACCAATAAATATAGATTGGCATTGCATGGTTTGATTTGTAGCTGAATTGGATGGCATTTCAACTTCATTAACATGTTAATTGGCCTTCTGTTTCAATTTTTTAGGCATCTTGCATCACTTGTACACTGTTTATTTGTGCAGTTTCTTTGATACATAGTAACTTGATTCCATTCTTTTTGCAGCACTTCCTATATCAACTCTTTTTCCATTCCTTTACTTCATGGTGAGTGCAGCTTTATGATTGTTTCTTTTCAAATGGCCCAGAAATGAGAAGGGTGTTTATGAATTCTACATTTGTATCTGCAGATTAGAGATTTTGGTATTGCAGAACGAGAAGAAGATATTGGCTATTATGCTGGATATGTAGGTGAGCTTATTTGTTTGAAAGTCCAGATAAATTCATGATGAAATGATCTAAAAAATCCTTGTATGTATGTCAACAGGGTCGTCGTTTATGCTTGGGAGAGCTCTAACATCTGTTTTCTGGGGAATGGTAGCAGATCGCTATGGTCGAAAACCTGTTATACTTCTAGGGACCTTAGCAGTGTTAGTAACCTCTACATTTCAAACTCATATTCTTACCATCAAGTTTGGAGTTTGTGTTTTGGAAATTTTATGTTTACTTTGTATTGATTATCTTGATTGTTGGTTGCTCTCAGGGTCATCTTCAACACCCTCTTTGGACTTAGTATAAATTTTTGGATGGCCATTGTTACAAGATTTCTTCTCGGGAGTCTGAATGGTTTACTTGGTCCAATAAAGGTAGAAGTCTGTAGAATTCTGTATTGATGGCTTTCAATTGTCCTCTTGAATTTCAAATAACTTCTGTGACTAGATTGACAGTTCTGATCTTATGCATTTTGTTCTATTTTCCTACATGAACAGGCATATGCAGTTGAAATTTTCAGACAAGAATACCAAGCATTGGGATTATCAACAGTGAGTGTTATTAACCTATATACAGTTTTGAGTTATTATAAAAGCCCTGGTGGATATGGCTCAGAATTGACAGAAATGATTCAATTCCAGGTTAGTACAGCATGGGGTCTAGGACTCATCATTGGCCCAGCTTTAGGGGGTTTCCTGGCGCAGGTATTTAAATTTCTTGATGATCTATTCAATTCTGTTACGAAAGTTCTGTCACTTTCATGCTCCATTGGAAAAATTTGGGAATAAAATTCACAATGTGAAATTAACTTCTATGCAGTTTGTGTAGTTCTCCTCTCTTTTTCCCTCCTTCCCCTTCTCTTCTTGTTAATTTTTCTTCTGATGCTTGTTTACAATTTTGGAACTTCAGCCAGCAGAGAAATATCCAAATATATTTTCCAAAGAATCTGTTTTTGGGAGGTAAATGAATTTCAACTGTTCATTTTTTACCATAAGATGTTCTATTTGATATCTTATATTCAAATCTTTCAGTCATATAACGGTAAACTCAAACATGAATGTCTAATGCAGATTTCCCTACTTCTTACCCTGCTTATCCATATCCCTTTTCGCATTGGGGGTCACGATTGCTACTTGCTGGCTTCCGGTACTTGTCTCTATCAACTGGTGCCTCAGAAATTTATGTTACCTATTTCTTTCAAATAAGTCTTTTCTCTTGCTAGCATTGTTCATTGAAATGTCCAAATACATTGTTGTTTTGTGATTACTCTTTTGGACTACTACTGGCTATTTACTGCAATGTGGTTATTACAGGAAACTTTGCATGTGCACAATGAAAAGGAGACTGAACCAAAGGATTCTTATGATGCTTTGGAAGCTGCAACAGATGATGGTGAAAGGAAACCAACTTCTAAGGAAAGCCTTTTAAGGAATTGGCCTTTGATGTCCTCCATCATTGTCTACTGTATTTTCTCACTTCATGATATGGCTTACACAGAGGTATATCTCATTCCTATTAACCTATTACTCTATCTGCTACCTTAAACTAGAGCGTTCCTGATTTTGAATCACAACTGTCAGGACTAGTTACAGATTCATTCCTGCAGATACAGCTTTAGCTTATGCATTTTCTGTCCCTGTAGATATTCTCATTATGGGCTGAAAGCTCTAGAAAGCTTGGAGGCCTGGGCTATACGACCGAGGATGTTGGTGAAATTCTGGCAATCACAGGTATGTATAATATTCGTTATTGATATATAAAACAATTTATAAATTTACCTTTTCTCCCCCTCTTTTACTGCTTTACGGTGACCATATTCTCATACTGATAGTGGAAACTCATTAACAAATTGTTCAAATTATAGGTTGCAGCCTTCTTGTCTTTCAATTTTCTCTATATCCATACGCGGAGAGGATTCTTGGACCGATAACAGTAGCTCGGATTGCTGGGGTAAGTACTTAACACCCCGTAGCATCTGTGTATGTTTCCTGCTTCCATCTATTTCTTTGTGACGATTATTTATTATTGTCCTCAATGTAGATTATAGCCATACCACTGTTGGCAAGTTACCCCTTTATAGCTATGTTATCAGGGCTCAGTCTCAGCGTGACGATAAATTTTGCATCTGTAATGAAGAATGTTCTTTCTGTAAGTGCACATGAAGTTTGAAAAACTTAGAACAGATTGACCGAACCAATACTTTCAACTATTGCTGCCTTTTTCTGACCCTAATTATCATTTTTGTATGACTAGACATCAATTATAACTGGCCTGTTTATTCTGCAAAACAATGCTGTGGTAAGTTCTTTTTTTGATTTACTCACTATAACTCTCTAATTTCATTTAATCTATTCTGGTTAGTAAGCTTATAATTCTCCAGTAAATCGTCTCAAGCTAATGTGGTTGCGTATTGAACAACAGGATCAAGACCAAAGAGGAGCTGCTAATGGCATTGCTATGACAGCAATGTCTCTTTTCAAAGCAGTAGGTCCTGCTGGAGGTGGTGCGCTGTAAGTTTTTCTATTGATTATCTGCCTTTATTTTTTTCTAAACATCACAAGAAATTGATTCATTTCTTCAACGCTTTTCACCAAACTTAACAAACAATTCATCACACAGATTATCTTGGGCGCAAAGTCGCCAGAACGCTGCATTCCTTCCAGGTATGATATTTGACGATTTCTGCATTGCTTTGAATCAACCTGACGTTTTGATATCCTATCTAGAGCTTGACAGTTGATGTTAAAATGCAGGTGACCAGATTGTTTTCTTCATCTTGAATGTGGTTGAGTTCATTGGAGTGTTGATGACCTTCAAACCTTTCCTAGCTCAAAAACAAGACAAACGAAAACATGGTACTTCCTAATTTTTAGATATAAGCAGGTTGAACATGTTTTTTTGATCAGGACAAGGGTGATTGCATTTACAAGAAAAGTTGAATGATTTTGTATTTCATTAACAATCAATGATTCAATTCCTTAAGAAGTTGTTATTCTCTTATGAAGAAGAGATAGTTTAGCGGAATAGGTTTTCTTATATAATGTTTTGATTAGGCCACTGCTGAAATATAGGCAGTTGCTCATTGTATTTGTCAATTATTTTTGTATGTAAGAGTTGAATATGCACACACACAATAATTTCTTTTATTTTTGAACTTGATGATGAGTATTTGATATTTCATTATTAATTGAAAAGCTCAATTTTAATGGTAGATATAAATCTATGTTATATTGTTTTTTATCATTTAAATAAGTCAGGACATTTCTTTTTTATATTTTTCTTCAATCCTATAAGGTATCAACTCTATAATTAAAAATTTGAAAATCGAAACACTTTATATTCAGATTTTCTTCAAGTATCTAGAAAATTTCATGTTAAAACAATTTTGACCAAAAACAAATTTGTCAATCAATCGAGGGGCTTGTTTGTTTGTTTGTTTGTTTTTTTTTTTTTTTAAACGTTGGGCTACATTAACATTTTTATTTGTTAAATAAGATTTTTTTTTCCCTCTCTTCTTTTCCCCGACTCTCATTTTATGTCGAAATATTATTTTGAAAATCTAAAATTGTGTAAAATTGCATTTTTTTTCAAAGATTTATGTTGTGTATTTAAGCCTATCCTGCTTTTTTATTCTCAAATGAAACTATAATAAGAAAGAAAAAAAATGCAATAAGCTTTTATATATATATATATATATATAGAGTACGTTGGGACAAGAACACACCAGTGGTGTACGTAAGAGTTTTGTTGCGTAAGTGAAATTGCTTTAGTGAAGGAATAGTCTGATATGACCATCAAGGAATACAATAGAATGAGGAGAAATTACTATGTTAGATTCTTTTACATGTTAGTATTTTTTATTTATTTTTTTCAATTTTTGATTTGATTGGTTGATGGCTAAGTAGATTTGGTAGCTTTATGTACTATATAAAGATGAGATTATTCCAAGAGATTAGAAAGATTTTGTCCAAAAAAATTGAATCGTTATATTTTAAAATTTATTTGATCTTTTCATAATCAAATAATAATTATATATAATGTATTGGATAATAAATATTTTAAACTCCCCGTGCTGGCATGGCCAAATTATGCTATGTTTTGGTGTAATATGATTCTTACGAACACAGATGTTGCTTGTTTTAGCATTAACAAAAAAATGTGCTTATTTGTTTTTTTATTAAATTATTAACTTGTAATTCATGATATTTCAAATAGAACACAGGTGCTGACATATTTTGACGATAGCATATGAGCTAAGTGACCCATTGGCAATATAGTAATGCAACAAAAATCTCACAAAAATGATAAAAATATATATATATATAGAAAAGTTGTATGTTGAAAAAAATCACCAATAACTTCCAATTTTAATTTTCTCAATCAATGGAATCTCGTCCTGCAAAGCTTCAATGAATTAGTATTTCATGAAAATAAACCTACAACAAATTTAAACGATAAATAAATACTATAAATTATTTATAAAATTGCAATAACAAAATCAGTTTGACAAGATTAATATTTTCTGATTACATCTAAGAAGGACATGCCCGGCTAGGTTTATTTCACCTATGATTTAGATTGTAGTGTAGTTACAATGATTTCTTGCAACAAGAGGTTACAGATTTAAATCTTAACTGATTAATTCTGCTAGGAATCTTAAGTGTGTGAGTTTAAAAAAAAGACCCACGATTTCATTTTTATTTCTATTTTTTCAGTCAGCTAAATTACTTATATTTGTATATCTTTAAATCCAATTAGTTTGGAAAAATAATCATATTTAATAAAATATCATAAAAGAAAAAAATGAAAATACACTAGCACGTAAGCTATCATGTTAAATACTAGCCCATGGGGCATGGGCCTAGACATACACAGTGACAAGAATGGTTGGCCTTTACTGTAGGAGGCAAATCATAGCAAAAGAAAAGATAATAATAAAAAACACGAAAACCCTAGAAGGCCCAAAATCACCTGGCATTAAGGACCTTTTCTAATGGTCAATTGATTTTCTTACAAGTTACCAATCAAATAAAAATTAATTTATGTTTTTTACATACAATGGCTGGATGTGTAATTAAATTTAAGCTTGTGATCATTTCTTCTTTATTGAGAAATTAAATATTTAATTTTTTAAATAAAAAGAAATAATTAATTCTTTTTTTCAAAAACTAGAGAAACTAATTTATAGTTTACTTCCTAATTACACTGTATAATCCTGCCATTGCACATACAGCATTTTCACTGTAATTACGGTACTTACCTATTGGTAGTTGTCTAGCACTGGAACAAAAATTTCACAGAAAAGAAAAAAGTTGAAAAAAACCATCAATACTTTCAATTTTAGTTTCCTTAATTAATGGAAGTGTAGTCTTGCAAGGATTATAACAATTATAATTTTATGAAAATAAACCCACAATAATTTAATTTATAAATTTATACTATAAATATATACTACAAATGATGTCTGCTTGAGCTACCTAGATATATGCTCGAGTATAGGCATTGATATCTTATGCAAATTTTAGCCTGTATCCAAAAATAGTCGTCCACTAATTATAAATAATAATATAAATGTATTTATTTTTTTTAAAACAAATTATGGCATAGATTTGATTGAGTAAATTATAAATCAGTCCCTTTAGATTAGAGAAACAAATTAATTGGTCATCCTTGTTTTAAAAACTAATTATTTAGTTATTGACTAATTTTGATTATATTTAATTTAATATTATTTTATTTCAAATTTTGTTTTCTTTTCTCATCAATTCTTCCTTATTTTTACTTATTTTTTATATTTTTTAAAATAAAAAATAAATTGAAAAGGGACGGAGATAATTAGGTTACAAAAAAATTTAAAAATATAAAAATTAAATAATTAGTTTTTAAAATAACAAGATTAATTAATTCATTAAAGGAGTAATTTATAATTTACATTAGTCCATGCGTTATTTATTTATTTATTTATTTACACCAAAATAGTAGATAAACACCAAAATCGAATATAAAAATAAATTAGGTTTATTTAATTTAATTTAATTTTTTTTTTACAAATTTAAATTGAAAACTGAATAGAAATTAAATTATACAAGTTACTCATTTTGTTGGATCCAATAAATACAAAAAAAAAAAAAAAACTCTGCTAATATAGTTTTAGGATGCAATACCCACTATATATGCTACTAACTAACGTGCAGTAATTTATTTTAAATCTTTTAACATATAGGAATCTAAAAATTAGGAACTAAAATATTTTTTATGAAAACTTTGAAGACCAAAAACTCTTATTAAAAAGTCTAAAATGTAAAAAATTAATTTTAAAGGGTCAATTTTTTTTATTAAAATATAGGTACTAAATTGAAATATTTTGACAAAGTATTTTTAGCCGTTACACAGAACACTTGCCGCCTTCCACAGAATGAAAAGGCACGCCTCGTCCCTTCGCTTTGCCCCTTCCTTCCGCCGCCGCCACTGATCTGTTTAGGACCTTCGGTGTTTCTCTTTCAAGCTGTCAAGCTGGCCTCTTTCCTTCCTCACTCTCTCTCACAGTCTCTCTCACTTTCTGCCAAAACTCAAAACAACCACCGGCCACCTTCCAAGCCACCAGCCACCACCGAGCAACCGAGCAGGCGACCACTGTCCACCAGCCACTTCTTTTATCTCCATTAAAGGTAAGATTTGAAATTTGAAATCAAACTTAAATTTGATGCGAGTTTGATTTTTGAATGTACGAAATTGGCTGAAGAGAATTTGAAATTTGAACTATCCTTATTCTTAGACGGTATAAGCTATTATGAATTTATGATTGTCGCCTTGATAACATGTAGTATGGAAGGCGATAGCAATGCATTGATCTTGCCAGCAAAGAAAAGTAATAAAAGGAAAGGCATGAATCAGGTATATAGCGCAAGTTAACAAGCTATTTTGTTATCCTATGCCCTTTCATGTAAGAGACTGAATGCCTTCAAATTTTGTTGTGCAGGATCGTGAAGTGGTCAAGAAAAATAAAAACCCACAATTAAGTAAATCCCAGAAAAGAAAGTTGAAGAAGTTGGAGGTGTGTACTTGCATTTGGCTTCTACTGAACTCCAGTTCATTCTTGTGTTCTTTGTCAGAGTTGATTGACCTTCACGTTTGTGCAGGAGGACAAAGGGAGAGCAATCTTATTATCAAACAGCATAGAGACCCTGGAGGATGATTGATTTTTTGTCTTTTGTCTCTCCAGAAGGCATTGACAATGTTTGCAAACAACTCCATAATCTACCTTTCAGGAAATATAAGATCCTGGAGGATGTGCTTTCTCTTCTGCAATTATCAAGAAATATAAGCCGAGTTTGTATCTCAGGATCTACTTAAGTTTCAACATAAATGCAGAATCCTGTTGGATGTTAGTTTGCTCACTGGTTCACCTTCGCGTAGGTTGAAACCGTTAGAGAAAAACGCAGGATGGCAGTACAAGTTTCCAAGGCTGGTTTAGAAGTTCCCCAGGGCGACCAACCTTTTGAGAGGAGTCATAGAACTGCTTCTTTTGAGATTGAAGCTGAATTGGAAAAGATCCAATCAAAGAAGGATGCAAATGAGAAAGGCCATTTACAAGCAATGGTAATAGGAAGAAAAGTTCAAAACCATGCATCTTTTTCACTGGCTTATCAAGATCCAGTTAGCGGTAACGAACTTGGCTTAAATGGTGGATCTGTTTCTGCCTTCTTAGCTGAAGGATTGCCCAATAAGGATAATTGTAAACCTACACAGGAAGACCCTAAAAATTCTTCGCTGGTTTTAAGTGATCATGCTGCTACAACAACCGCCAGTTTAATGTAAAGTTACCTACTCAGATTATATGTCATGATACGTAATTTGCTTTTGCATTATGGACATGTAAAACTCATTCAAAAGCATATGCAGGAAGGATATAATGCTTATAAATTAATTGCCAATTTGCCATCTTCCCATACTATAGTTTGTATCCAGTTCTACATACATGTTCTATCTACGAAAGAAAAAGGAAATTCTTCACACACAGACACACACAGAGTCATTCGGAGTTCAATTAGAAGAACTAATTGTTCTCTTTTTATGTAAAATAGTAAATAAATATTTCGTTGAAATTCTGGATCAATGCCGAGGGATGTTAGATAAAATAAGAAAATAAGAATAGGCAAAAAGAAATAATGACATGGGATCCATGATTAGATAAAATAAGAAATGGCAAACAGAAATGAGATTAACAATCAAAAACGGAAAACATGATTAGCAACTAATCAAAGGATCACTCATAACTCATTCCCATTTGCAACTAATCTTGTGAGTGTGCCTGAATTCATAGGTCAACACCAATCTTCTATTTCTTCCCCTCAATACGTACCTCTCCACCAACACATAGCACCCAAATTTCTTCCAGTCGCCACTTTTTCCTTCAAATTTCGCCACTTTCTTCACCTTGTCTTTCTCTTTGACCCAACCAAAGCTTTCTTGATCTCCAATGATTTTCTCAATGATTACTCTATCTAAACCCACAGATGCTGCTACTCCTTCCTTATCTAAGGCGGCAAACCATGTTGTCCCACCAGTCACCTTCCTACTGCGACAAGTTCCCATCCCAAGGACATCAATCACTTCAGTTTCAACATTTACATCCACAGCAACAGAGTCTCCTGTAACAAAATCATCGCTGTTGCTGCAAGAGAAGAGCCTAACCCATTTCTGTTTAAGTGTCATTTCATAGAACATTAAATGTGAATTTGTTTCGTGGACAAACATATAAGGGCAATACCATTTACCAACTATAACAGCGTCAGAGGTCTCCTGAGAGACAGGAAAGTTGAATTTTGGAAGGCATTCTCTAAGAGAATGTTCAACGCCATTAACATCATCCAACGGAAAAATACCTTGGTCATAAACACTGGGTAGGTTTCTCATGTAATAAGGAACAACACCATCCGAAGCAAGAGACTTGACTTCATAACGATGCTTCTTTCTTTTAAGATAGAATTGTTGATATTTATTGGAGGGATCGAATTCTCTTCGCTGATAATCAAAAGCACTATCCCTCGGCTTGCGAGCAAACCAACCAAATTAGGCTATTGGAAAGGCAAGGAACTAAAAACAAATTGATATATGTGTGTACAAGCACTATTGACAAACTAACCAAATTAGGTTCTTCGAAAAGTCAAGATCTAAAATCAATTTTTTTTAAAAAAATACTAATTAATATATATCTAATATTAATTATAAAGAAAGAAATTTAGTTACCCTGTATCGCTTAGGGTTCCCCAAAAAGTCATATAGTAACGCCTAGCGGATAATGGCTTGTTGATGACTGGGATGGCCATAATGTTATGGTTATAAGGAAAAAAAATTATTTTTTTAGTTTCTGGTTATTTCACTTATTTATAATAACTTTATAATTTTATCAACCATCAACAAACCCTTTCATTATTAATTTAATATCAATTTTCATTAAAAAAAAAACAATTTTAATTTCTAGTTTCCTATCTGTGTGTAATTTTTATAACTAGTTAATAAACAAAGCAAATGGAAAGAATTTGTAGTTGACGTGAAACATAAATCTTCTCAATCTCTCAACATATTACGTAATATTTCACAGCTATATTTTCCAATTTATGTTATTATTTAATTTGCCACACCAAATTCCATATAGGCTAGCTTTAGCATCAATTTATAACTTAATTAATTAAATAATCCGATGTAAGTATGTTGTCAATTATTCTGATCATGTCATTCAATATGTATATGCTCATTTAATGCAAAGATTGTGTGCATGTTATCAATTGATTCTCCATATGCTCTCTAGCTAGTATACAGTTTCCATAAATTGCAACTTTGATGCGATCATATATTTATTTCAAGAAAAAAGACAAACATTTAAAAAAAAAAAAAAATTTCAGATCCAAAAAAAAAAAAAAAGATAAAAATATTTCTTTTCGGACTTGTATTTATTTTAATTCTTTATCTTTTATTAATCTATTTTTCTTCTGTAGAATTAAGTATTTATTAATTAATTTTTAAATACCATAAAAATTTACAATGAGGGCTATTGTCCATACTCCATTTATCTTTACTCTTTTACGAGAAGTACAATATCGTGCCTTTTTTCTTTGATACACAGGCAGCAGCACGCTAGGGTATATGCCTGCACGTATTAAAATATTTTATTTTATTTTTAAGTCAAAATACGACTTGTGAATTGTGAAATTCTTTAAGCATTTTGTTTTAAAATAGTTTATAAATAAATGATAATTGATACATACATACATACATACATACATACATACATACATATATATATATATAGGAGTTAGGGAGGGAAGGGGAAATATCGGATAGGGCGGGCAAGCAATTGCTGGAACGTGGGAAGAACGTGACCGGTGGAGCAAAGAGCGGAGAAGAAATCGGCTGCTTTTCTTTTTTACTTTTATTTTTTTGGTTTTTTTATTTTATTTTTTTATTTTTGCATGTTGTTTGTAACTTAAACCTTTTTGTTCCTTTTATTTTATTTTTTTTAAAATTTTTCTGAAGGGAAAAAAAATATGAAAAAAATTAATTTTATCCCAATTACACTTGTAAGTCAGTTAAATAAAAGATTTTTATGTACAAATCCTGTGACTAATTCTAATAATCTAGTTTGAAAATCTTGTCAAAAAAATAAATTAAACACATATTATATATTTAAAAATAAAAATAATTCAATTAAAATATACAAAAATAGAATGGAGAATTATTCTATAATATAAGAACAGGTTGAACCATTAATCCAATTATATAACATTAAGTCCTACAGTACCTACTTAATCCAATTATTGCTTCTAAACCCACAGCATCTGATTGGTCTATAAGAGCAATGACCCTTCTAATTCATTTCAATGATTGCTTATCATCCTTTGAAGTTGATTTTTTTTTGCTTATATATAGATATAACAGGAATTTTTTTTTTTAAATTTCTTTTTTGGATCCTACCTATATATTATGATGCCCAGATTTTATTTATTTTTTTCAATTGTGTTTTGAATAAGCAATAATAATGCAGTAGCTAAAAAAATAACTAGCAAGTCACTTGGCCCATTAAGCAACACATCTTTTGGACATGCAATTTGCATCCAATTTCAACCAATTTATAGAACTATCTGATCCAGCCCAACAGCCAGCAAATCTGGCCCATTCCACCCTGCTGCAGTTTTCTCGAACTGAGCAGTGCATTTTGATAGTAAATCTCCTTTTACACAAACCCTAAATACTTTGGAATAGAATATATTGACCATATGGAAAAAACATAGCTAACATACTTTGGAAAAATATACGAGGACACTCCGTCAGTGAAAATTATGAGCAAAAACCAAAAATGCATAATATATTTTTAATCTATCAATTTTTACCCCCACCCCCCATTCCTCTATATTAGGGACCCAAATTGCAAACAATCTTATTCTTAATTACAAAAATGAATATACCATACAACTATGAGGACAGAGATTTAAACACATTTAACCTTCCCTCCCATTTTGAAATGAAGAAGCCGAAGCTTCATTCATGGCTGCGGGTTATGAAAAAACAGGTCCCCCTCGCCGCCTTTTTTTGATTTGTACAGGTTTTATCCTCTAAAAACTCACCCCTCCCTCAGATACTTATAAAAGTTAAGCTAAAATTGTTTTCCCAAAATTATTTTCATCCTAAAGCGAGTTTTTTAGAGAGAGAGACAAAGAGAAAAAAAAAAAAAAAAGAGCCATGGGAAGGAAAGTTACCTGTTGAAGCTTCTATGGGTGAACTGGAAGGATGATGTTCCAAGTTAAACTCCCACTTTCCGTTTCACAATGAAGAAGAGAAAAATGGAAGAGGCTAAGAGAGCTAAAACTCTTCTTTTTTCTTTTATCCTACTATCAAAACCTCCTCTCTTTAAAACCCTAACCTTCTTTCTTTTAAAACCACTCTCCCCTTCTTCTTCTCACCCTTGGTATCATTTCCCTCTCATTCTAGCCCTTTTTTTTTCTTTGCCCAAGCCCGCTCCTCCTTTTTGTCTTAGCCATGCATAGTTGCTGTCAATGACCTCATGGTCACAGTTGACAACAAACGGGAATCAAAGGTTTTGGCGTGAGAGGGTGGATGGACGAGTCAAGGCAAGGGACAAAAATGCCAGCCCCCTCTCCTGCATGTTTCGTCTGCAGGTTTCTACTTTCATCACTTACTAATACGAGTCCGTTTTCTTTTTCTTCGTAATCAATCCTTTCCTTTCCGATTAACATTTTCTCAGGTCTTTCTTGAGCGAATATATTTCTATGGAAAAATAGAACATTTTGTAGAAGTTTTTACTAAGGATTTTCGGGACAGCTTACGCATGCTCAAGGATCCTTTCATACATTATGTTAGATATCAAGGAAAATTTATTTTGGTCTCAAAGGATACGCCTCTTCTGATGAAAAAATGGAAAGATTACCTTGGGCTGCAGGTATACTTTTGGTGGGAAGAAGAAGACTATAGCAGGCTGGGCAAAAAAACCGGACGACGAACGACGCATCGTTCAGGAAGAACATTTAAATTAATCCCTTCTGTCTATGTTTTCTTCCAATTTCATCCTTTGTGTTCCAATTTTGTTTCAATTGCACCCCTCTCCTTAGATTATTTTGGTTCTTTTTTTCCCTTAATTTCCACGGATTGACTCCCCAGTGCTCTCAATTTCTTTTTTTCTTCACTTGCATGCATCTCTTAATTATTTGTAATAATTATATGCATGCATTTTCACCATATAGAGGGATGAGTGTTAAAATTTGAGGATTGGGTACTAGGTACTGAAGGGAAAACTTTGACGGAGATGATGTAATATTAGCAATAGGATTTGTAGTTTACAAGGAATTTATATGGAAAATATTGTTGTCAAGCTTCATGTAATTCTCATTTCCATGAAAGTTCAATTTTTCATGCATATCTAAAGCCTACTTCTTCACGTCTCAACCTTCTTCTTCTTCTTCTTCTTCTTCTTTTTTTTTTTTTTTTTTTTCATAAAAACACCGAAAACGCTAATAGATCATAAGACTAGAAATAGCTTCATCCATAGCTTGATCCCAAATGAAAATTAAAACTCGGATCATTTTCATTTTACCCGTGGAAATTGCGACTGTGACCTATGCTTGATCTTAATATATTTATACGATATGATATTCCATATAGCAGACACATGCATTCATGTCTTGTTTGCAATTTTAACAATCAGGAGGGATGAGAGTTGAAATTTGAGTATATATCAGGTCTGTTAATGTAACAAATATGATCATGTGGTTTATTTTTCGAAATTATTTTTTTTATCGGTATCATTATTACTCGATGTGGCAGTTTATTTATCATGAAAAATTAGCAAAATTTTATTGGAAAAGTCACATTAATTTTTTTTTTAAATAGAAGAACCAAATAAATAGAAAACCACATTAAATATAAAAATACAGAACGATAGATAGTGTCCAGCCCAGTTGGTTGGATCAGTGTTACATGCATTATCAGATTTATTTATTTATTTATATATATATATAGCACTTTTTTAAAAAAATAGTTTTCACATATACAGATTTTTTTTTTCAGGTTTAAATAGGTCATTTACACATAAATTGATGCATTCTTATATTTAAAATTTTAGATGGTAACTGAAAAACAAACTTTTTCATCACTTAGATGCTACTTCAAAATTCTAAGTAAATTTATGGTAATTAAGAATATATAAGAGAGAGAGTGGGAGTTATCAATATTAGCTTTTTTCTTTTCTTTTTCTTCTAATACATCTTACACGATGAGTAAATTATAAATTAGTCTTTTTAGTTTTAAGAAATAAATTAACTAGTCCTCGTTCTCTTAAAAATTATTATTTAATCTTATAACTAGTGTTGATCAAAGTTAATTTAATATTATTTTATTTTACAAAATATCTTTTTTCTCATCATTCTTTCCATATTTTTTCTCTTTCTATTTTTTAAATTAAAAAAATAAAAATAAATTAAAAAAGAGCAAAATAACTAAGTGACAAGTAGATTTAAAAACACAAAGACTAAATAATTAGTTTGTGAAACAAAAAAGACTAATTAATTTTTTTTTTTTGAATTTAGAAGGACTAATTTATAATCAACTCCATGCACAATCCTTGCACATTTGGAGTAAATTATAGATTAGTCCCTTTCTTTTCAAAAAATGAATTAATTAGTTCCCTTAGTTTCAAAATCTAATTATTTAATTATTTTAACCAATGTTGAACATGATTAACTTAATATTTTTTTATTTTATAAAATATATCATCTTCTCATCAAATTTTCAATAATTTTTACTTTTTTTTTATATATTTCTTAAAACAAAAATCAAAATAAATTAAAAAATAGCAAAAATGATTAAATGATTGGGATTTGAAACCAGAAAACTAATTACTTCATTTATCGCAATTGGAAAGACTAATTTATAATTTATTTTGCACATTTGAGATGAAAAAAAATTAATAAAAAAATCCTAAGACGAAACAAAGCCAATCAGTGGGGACAACAAATAGCAGACAGATAAGAAAGGGAATACACGTTCATGTCTTAACTCCTAACAACTGGCTGTGTCATCATTGTCTCTTTCAGGTGTTTTTAGCAGTTTAACTTTGGACCAAAACAGAATTTGTCACAAGTCACGTAAGCTAACTAAGACTCTTATACGTTTCCATACACATTCATGTCTTAAACATAATAAAGGCTCATGAGTAATAATTGAACTGAAATTTAGTTGTTTCCCTTGCTCTAAACTTGATATTAGCTCATAAGATTAATGGTTCAATATGTAATTATATATTAGCATAATTCTCTAATATGTTTTTATATTTCTAATTGAATCAATTTTATCATTGAATATACGGTAAGTGTCTAACATATCATTTTAATATGATTTCAAGTTAAATTATTGAAATTAATCACACGATTTACACATCAAAATTTTTATTTGATTGGCTTGCAAAGATATTTTAAAATTAAAAATTAATTATATGCAAATCATGAGAATAATTCTGGTGGTCTTATATGAAAATCTAGATATATAAAATGATAGAATTAATGAAAACTTAATGTATAATTAATGATAAAAATGACTTAATTAAAAATATAAGAATAAATTGAAAATTTATTTTATTATATAATAATAGATTGAGTTGTTAATGCATTTTTAAATTCCAAAATCCCCTTCTCATTTCCATAAAAGAAATAATTAACATATAATTAATTATAATAGCTGAGGCTGCGTTGATCTTGTGCTTTCAAAGCAAAGAGATGGCCACAGCATAACACAGGGAATAGAGAGGAATGGTGTGGAGACCTTTTGATGTTTAATTCGTTTCTCACGTTTACGGCGATGGCCTTTTTGTTTCTTCATTTATTTAACTAACCTTTGAAAGACTAAGTTATAAATTAATCCCTTTAATTTTGAGAAGTAAAATAATTAATCCTTCTTGTTTGACAAACTAATTATTTAGTCCTTATATTTTAAAATTTTCTAGTAATTTAATCTCTGTCTCTCCCTCTCTCTTGTTATTATTTTATTTTATTTTATTTTATTTTAATAAATAGAAAATAAAAAATAATTGACGAGAAAAGATGATTTTTTTAAAATAAAGTAATATTAAAATTAATTGTGATAAGCATTGGTTAAGTTATTAAATAATTAGTTTTTAAAACAAAAGGACTAATCAATTCTTTTCTTACAAACAAAGGACTAATTTATAATTTCCTCCCTTTGAAAGTAAAAGTCCCATCTCAAGCAGCCTTAGTGCGTACATTAATTTGTCCTTAATATAAACTCCGTTGAGCCCACAATCCACATATAAATGTATACAATCAATGTTATAATCTCGTGAAGTGAATGTATACATGCAAACGTAATTTAGAACTTGAAGAAACTACCTTGCAAGAAACCCAAAGTTAGATATCCTTAACTAATTAACGACCTTTTTTGCTTAGTTTTCCAGCAAGAAGAAATTATTATTATATATTTAATTACCTAAGTATTTCTTATATTAAAGGATAAATTGTCCAATTTTTTCTTAAATTTTAAGTTATTTGAGAATTAGTTTTTTAATTTTTATTTTTGGATCGGAGCTCCCGTCAACTATTTTATATTTGAAATTAGGTCATCTTGTTAGGATTTTATGAATTCTAACATATAAATATAATTTTTCAATATTTAAAAAATATCAAAAATTTAATTGATTTCTTCTTAGCATTTAAGAAGAAATAAACTAGTTTTAAATAAAAAGGTAAACATCCATAAATCTTGAAATATTTTTAGCTATTCGAAAAGTTAAAAGTTAACCACGTACAAATTAAGTGTATTTTCATGATAATATTGATAAAAACCTAATAAAACCATCTAATTTTTAATAAAATTAGTTAAAGAAAAGTTAATATGAAATTAAAATTTTTTTAAAAAAACTGATTTCAAATGAAACGAATTTCTAAAGAAATTTAGACCATTTAACTTATATTAAATTAAAGTTTATATAAAATGGAGATCAATTAATGAAAGACTGCGAGAAAGAAATTTTTTTATAAATATACTAATTTAAACATGAAAAACTTATCCATCGGTGTAGAAATCCATATTTGCATATCTATACATCTCCATCATTTATTAAAGAAAAGTTGAATTAACCATAAATGCAAGCCATCGAAGCTGCAAGTAAGGACATTTCTATAAAGAAATATGAAAAACAGAAGAATCATGCATCATCAAAAGCCAAACTGATCCCTTTCATAGATTTCGGCGCAGCTTTGCTTCTTGTTCTAGCAATCCAAGCTAATTAACCCTATAAATACACCCTTAAACCCTTTCACTTCCACCACCATTACCACCACTCTCAAAATTCTCCAACTCTCTCTCTATTTCCGATCATCTCTCTCTCAACTTCAGCAAATTAATCAAACAGTTCTTTATCAAGCAAAAAATGGCAAATACATTAAGCTCTTCTCTGCTTCTTGCACTTCTTGTTATAGTCTTTACCTCGTTTTCAGCAACTGCAGCACAATACAATGTTCTAAGTTACGGGGCAAAGCCAGATGGGAGAACTGACTCAACCAAGGCCTTTCTTGCTGCTTGGAAACAAGCATGTGGCTCTATTAGCCCATCTACCATTTATGTCCCAGCAGGCAGGTTTTTGCTTCAAAACGTAGAATTTAAGGGTCCATGCAAGAACAATGCGATTGTTGTACGTATAGATGGCACACTTCTAGCTCCGACCGATTACCGGGTTATCGGTAACGCTGGAAACTGGATTTTCTTTCGGAATGTTGATGGTGTCACAGTTTCTGGTGGGGTACTAGATGGCCATGGCTCTGGTCTGTGGGACTGCAAGAAATCTGGGAAGAACTGCCCAAGTGGTGCCACGGTATGTCCATGCATGGTCAATATCGTGACCATGCTACCTTTAGTATTCACTTCAGCTCTAATTGTAAGCATGAATTAATTAAGAAACTCAAAGGTTAACTATTTCCTTAATTAGGTGGTGTAATTAAATCCTTAATTACGTTTCAAAGATTTGATTTACTGTTTAAAATGTCGTCATTCTAATTGTAATTATCTGTGTGCATGTGCAGACGCTAGGGTTTTCCAAATCAAACAACATAGTGATCAGTGGATTAACTTCTTTAAATAGCCAAATGTTCCACATTGTTATCAATGGCTGCAACAATGTGAGAATCCAAGGAGTCAGGGTTAGTGCTTCCGGAAACAGTCCGAACACCGATGGCATTCATGTACAATTGTCAAGAAATGTTGCAATCTTGAACTCCAAGATTGGAACCGGCGACGATTGTATCTCAATCGGTGCCGGCACAACAAACCTGTGGATTGAAAATGTTGTGTGTGGCCCTGGCCATGGAATCAGGTAATGAAATTTCATCATTAATTAATCGTACACACAATATATTAATAAGATGATGCTATGAATATGCGGGACTTAAACATATATCTGTGATTTTTTGCAGCATTGGGAGTCTAGGCAAGGACCTTAAGGAGCCTGGGGTGCAAAATGTGACAGTTAAAACGATTACATTTATTGGCACTCAAAATGGGTTAAGGATCAAGTCTTGGGGTAGACCTAGCAATGGTTTTGTTAGGAATGTGCTTTTCCAGCATGCTGTCATGACCAATGTTCAGAATCCCATTGTTATTGACCAAAACTACTGCCCTGACAACAAAAATTGCCCTGGCCAGGTAGGTTGAATTAAATCCCATTTTCTACTAAGCAGCCACCGCTTTTGATCTTTCAAAAACCCCATCTTTTTTGTAGTTTCAACTTGTCCTAGTCTTCAAGATTTTGGTTAACAGGGACCATTTTTAAGTTGCTAAAAACTGTGCATTGTTAATTTGTGTTAAACAGGCTTCTGGAGTTAAAATCAGCGATGTGACATACCAAGACATACATGGAACATCAGCAACACAGGTTGCAGTGAAATTTGAGTGCAGTAAAAAGTTTCCTTGCACTGGGATCAAAATGGAGGATGTGAAGCTCACTTTCAAGAATCAACCAGCTCGTGCATCTTGCAGCAATGCTGATGGAACAACTTCAGGTGTCATTCAGCCCAATAGCTGTCTTTAGCCAAATACTACTGGAAAAAGAAACTAGATAAGAAGAAGGTATTGACACAATTATGTCCTGCCTGATTTCGATAAATTCTGTTCGGTTTTTAGTTAATCCATATATAAATATCAAAACAAAACCAAACCGATTTATTATTCGGTTCGGTTTAGATTAGGGAGTTTATTACTCAGGCCTGTGGCTTTTCCGGTACTTTGAGGAGCCCGGCCATGCAGATTACATATGGTGGAAAAAGAATTGCTCAAGGTTGCAGTAAAGACCTTTCTCTCTGAATTTCTTATTTACGAATAAATTAATTCTTTTCTATTTGTATTAATTATTACACAATATTATACACCTTGGTTCAGATTTTCTTTCTCTTTTTACGTCTTTATTTAGATTATAATTTTTTTTATGTCGTTTTGTGGTCCTTCCTATATATTATGATCCCCAGATTTTATTTATTTATTTCACCTTTTTTTAAATAAGCAATAATAATACAGTGGCTAAAAAAAAAAAACCTAGCTAGTCACTTGGCCCATTTGCAAAAGCAACACAGAACTATCTGATCCAGCCCAACAAGCAGCAAATCTGGCCCATTCCATGCAGCTGCAGGTTTCTCGAACTGAGCAGTGCATTTTGCTAGCATATCTCATTTTTTGCTAGTGCCAGATTGCACAGTTCACAAAACCTAAATACAAGGCACAATTTTTGCTTCTCTGTAGGAACAAATAGTGTGGAGTGTTTTTTTGCGCACAAAGAGAGACCTCACTCGCAGCACAAAACAGATGATGAAAGCATGTAATGAAGGCATGTCAGGCTGAAAGAAGGTAGAAAAATATATTGACCTTATGGAAAAGAACTAGCTAACATACTTTGCAAAAATCTAAGGACACTCCGACAGTGAAAATTACAAATTGAAATTTCTAACCCAACTTTTCACAGAATAGATACAAGAAAAAACTCATGACAATGAGAAGCAAACTCACAGTAGTAAACGCGACAAACAGCTGCTTCTAAAATGGCAAAGGGAGCAAATTATGAGCACAAACCAGAAATGCATCATATCTACAAAACTTCAACACAGTTGTTTCATTGGCTAGAATGGGGCTGACGTTGTTCTGCGAAGTTGATACTTGGGTTCGGGGAGAGGGACACATGGCAACTTATTCTCAAGCTCCTGCAAGTTAAATGGCAAAAAATCAAAATAAGATAAAAAGTAATATACACAATAGTAATTAGCGATAAGAAAGGGGGCAAAATGTATTTAGCACATAAAGTCTCACATTCAGTGACAAAGTTAGAAATGTTTTACCATCTTCATATAGGATATCCAACACCAAGATGGTATTCTTATCCTCAAGAAAGCGATTGTGTACACATAAACTGATGCTAACAAACATCATTATAACCACAAGTAACAGAAGCATAGCCAAATTGTCCACAGCAAATTCAACAACAAGAAAAGACCTTCTTTAGTCATGATATATGGAGTTCATCTTATTAATCTGTACAATCTGTTTCCATGAGAAATATGTAATTAAGGATAATCTGATTTGGTGGTAGTAGCAACAGTGCCTGTGAATCATGATTGTGAGCTGTTTTGGTTAGTCAGGAACTGTGGTAAAGTTGGTTTGGTTGATTGCTGGAAATTGTCGGAGAAGGAAACTAAATTAAGGTGTCGTTGGGGTGGAAAAGCATGGGTATGCTAGTCTTGAGTTTTGGATCATGATTTTGCTAAAATCATCGATCTGCCAATAATAACCAGCAGGTAGTTGCAGCTCTCACAACAACAAGGACCAAAATGCAAGTTGTGCATTAACTTGGGCATACGGGAACAAGAACATTAATATCTCATGAAATAAACAACGAGCTTAGCATTCATCAAGAATTGTTTTATTTATTCTGTAAGTTTTCCTTCAAAAATAAGGAAAAGATGGAGACAGGAAGTTTTCTAAAACCCATTTGAATCTGAAGTTTCATGTAGTAATTAATACTCATTGGCTAGTTTTCTTCCCCAACCACCTAAGAGGAGACAATTGCAAAAATGTCTTGTCAAGCCTAGGACTGTCATTGGTTTTTTTAGGAATATTTGCCATATGATAAAATGTCAAACGACAGTATATCAAACTAATCTAAATTTCAGCTGCATGATTATTGGAAATCATTGGAAAAGGAAAACAAACTAGGGATTCTTTAAACTATCCTGGCTCCAATTCAATTAAACCTTCTGTCTTAATCACAAAGCAAGCAAGAACATCCTTCGTTCCTTAAATCAAGTGAAGAAGGAGAAAAAGAAACTAAAACAGATAGCTCAACACATGTTATCAATATCTCCAACAGAAAGGTAGTTGAACCAGAGGGATAACTGAAAAGAAAACCTCACCCTTCGTTTCCTAAGCCTTTCATTTTCCTCTTCCAGCCGAGAAACTTTGTTCTCCAGCTCATTCGTGTAAGCCTGCTTCCGTGCTCGTGAACGGGCAGCAGATTCACGGTTCTTTATCATCCTTTTCTGCCTCCTCTCGACTGTCCTCTCAATCATATCCTCTGGCGCACCTCTTTTTCTTGCTGGTGTCTGCGCATCTGATAATGTCCCCATCAAGGGTGGAGGTAAGGCCACCTGGTTCTCTGGGTATGAAACATCCATCATAGAACCAGCCCCCATGTGAAGTGGCTGTGATATAGGCTGGCCTGGCATATAAACCCCCATCATGCTTTGTTGTGGATGCTGATACTGTGGATGTGGTGGATATTGCAACCATTGACCTTGTTGTGGAAACTGTTGTGCTGCACTTGTATCAACCCCAACAATGGGACCACCATCTTTCTTGTCCGTGGATCCTTCAGCTACAACTCCTGCTTTTACCAAGAAATCCTCCAAGGTCATCTCTCCCAAAGTACGCTGCCGCTCCCTAGACTTTATCTCTCCATCATGTTTGCTTTGTTGGATGTCTTTCCAAACCTCATCAACTGTCTTCTTGCTCAGAGCACTAGTTAATGATAAGCTTGCCTGACGCTGCAAAGCAGTTTGATTGGCAAATTGTGTGCCCTCCACTTCCAAACCCACAGTCTGCGTAGACTCCACTGTCCACACGTTTTTGAGAAGTTCGTCAAGATTCATGCTGCTGAGAGGTTTCCCCAGGTCACCCAACTGATTTTGAACCTCATCGAGAGTCAGACTGTACATTGAGTTTTGCCGCACCAATGGCTGGAACTGAGATTCTTTATGATGACTACTACCATCACCTTGAGATCCCATTGTCTGCATTCCCATTCAACAACCTTCAACTAAACATTCCAAATCTAAAAATTAAAAACCCTGAACACCACAACTCTATTAACCCCGAGCTTGTCTAAAAACCACACAGATCCAATCTTCAACCTCACTCAACAATCAGAACCTGAAGAACCAAGTGAACAATTCAGAAATGTTACTAAGAGATGAATCATGTACTGAACAAGATTTAAGATTACACTTCCCAAACAGCAAAAAAAAAAAAAAAAAAAAAAAAAAAAAAAAAAACCACCCTCAATTTGAAGAAATTAAGAATAGAGTCTATACTATGCAAGACCAGAGCTAAAATATCCAAGATTAACTTTCTCGAAAACCTAAACCAACAGCCTTCGTTCAGCATAGTTAACAAAATAAAAGAACAGGTTACAAAAAAGTCCAACAAACCAATATGCAGCTTAAATCCCTTGATTCGTAGAACAACAAATTTTATAAAAAGGCAAGAAAAACACATATTACTGAAAGAGAAAATAACAAGAAAATTCACTTCAAACCATTACCATAATTAAAACACCCCCAAACAAAATAAATTAGCCGACCTAAAAATGAGCAAGGAAAAAAAAAGGTATTGCTTTGTCTAACACAAACACTTCGAAACCAATAAATTGATCAAAACCATGTAAAACAAAATGCAAACAGAGAGCTAGAAAGCTACAATCTTCAACATGCAAATGCAATAGCTGAAAGCTTTACCCTTCATTAACCAAAAACCTTAAAACCCAAATCCCAAATCACAAAATAATCCACACAATCAAAATTGAATAACCCCAGATTAAAAAGTCTGGAACTTTTGCATGAAACATAAATCAATTCTAAAAAAGAAACAATCTTGCATATATATACATAAAATCAAAATCCCTATTAAACCAAACTAAAGAAAACAAAAAACAAAAATCCCACAAATGCAAGTGAAAAAATAACAACTTTCAAATGGGAAGTGCTAAAAGAAGGGATTTTTCATTTTGGTGTCATACATCAATAAAGTGAAGTGAAGAGAATGAAAGCAGAAAAAGGTACTTACTTTTGCGATCCAATACAGAGTGAAGTGACATAAAAGAAGGGATTTTTTGTGTTCCTGTAGATGATTCAGGTGAAAATCAGCTGTTTATTTTGCATTCACATTTAGAGAGAGAAAGAAGAGAGAGAGAGAGAGACAGAACTCAAAATCTAAAAATGTACAAAAATAAAAATAAAGTATTATTAATTGGTCCATTTTTTTTAAAAAAAATATTTGGAAATCAGTATCATGGGGGAGGGCTCATGTGGTAATCATGGGAAATCCCACTAATTGGCTCCAACTAGCCAGATGGCACCTTTTTAGTGCATAATATATATACATATATAATTGGACTCAAATTTTGCAGGCCCCACTGGCCCATTTACCTTTTATCTTTTATGGATTTTTATCATTTCAATTGTGCAATCCTAAGAATAATAACCATTGAAGCAAATTAGAGTTTACATTTGCTAGATGTTGAAGGATTAAAATATGAGTTTGAGATTGATGGTTCTTGAAGACACATACATATAGAAATCATGGGTATATAATCATATAATTTAAATTGTCAAGTTGTGATATGATGTTAGAATGTATTATTAAATCGAAAAATATGATTAGTTGTTAAATAATTAATTTTATTATTATTTTTTTTAACAGGAGAATGTATTTCTCAATAATATAAAAGATTTAATTTTTAAGTATACAAATTAGCACACAAATAATATTTGATTGTCATATTAAAAAAACACAGATTTGATAAATAAGATTTTAAATACTCTATTTTAAGTGATGATTATAAATTTTTTTGAAATATTATGAAGTATGTGGATTTTTAAATACATATATTGGGATATGATCAGTATGTTTTATCGATGAGAAATAAAGTGTATAAATTTACAATAATCAGCATTGAAAGTAATGGAATCCATGTGAATTCCACTAATATTGCCAACGAAAAATGCAGCAAAACTCTCCAAATTCCAAAATTCAGCTCCACTAATGCCTATGCAGAAAATAAACTAAACATGAAAAAGAAGAGCTCACAAAGAAGCAAAAGAAGTGACCTCACTAGAACAAAACCTTAAAAAGAAAAATGGGGCAAGGCAGGCTTTGCATGGACCCAAAAACACTAAGCTAAAGAGAGTTTTGTCCTTTACTGCATAGTATGGAAGTTGTTGGATCATAATAATATTCTCTCTTTTTCCCTCTCTCTGCGGATTTTCTAACACAATTTAACCCTTTATAGACGCGTGGCACTCTTATATCTACTTGTCCAAATTTCAAATAAGTCCCTCAACTATATAGAGATTCTCAATTGAGTTTTTTTTCTGTCTCAATCAGGTCTCTGAAGATTCATAAAGTTCCAGTTGAATCCCATAATCAATATCTGTTAAAAAGCATGATATTTTCGTTAAAAAATTGTGAAGAGTGAAGATGGAAAAAAATCTGGATTGAGAAATTTGAAAAAATTTGGAACTAAATTGAAATTTGGGCCACTGTTTCATGTCTGGTTCTGGAGATCCCTGCTTCGCCTTGTTTTTGTCTGAGCCATGCGTGGCACCGTCTAGTGAGTTAGCCCTCTTGGTGCTTATCTGGCCTTCTTGAACGTGTAGCATGCAGTGCATCTTACATTAGGACATTATTGGATAGCAACACAAGGAGTCAGCTTTTTTTCCTTTTTTGGAAGAAAACAGTGTTTTCCTTACAAACTGTGATAAAGATGTGTCATTTTGGTACTTTTCACCTTCTGAGAATTGAGACAAAACAAAACAGGGATCAAACAGAATTATTGCCAGGATGGATGTGTGGTTAGCTTCAGGTGACTTATATTTGGGCTTAAAGCCCATCCACCCACAGGAGGAACGAAGCAATCACATGCTAGAAAAATTCAAGAGGTGCTGATTCTGAATTCAATCACATACTAGGCAAAAAGCTAAGAGAGCACAAGTCATTGATTAATGATGAAGGTAAAATTGCCTTTAGAAAGGTCAAAATGTGAACAACTGTGTTTTTTTTTTTTTACATGCAAAAGACAATGACTATGGAGTTGCATTAATAGCATCATCTGATGTATCAGTTGTCATCTCCTTTTTGAAAAGCAATTTGAGGTATGGAAGAACATTTGGTAGCATAGGCAAATCTGCTACGTTTATACTCATGAGGTCAAAAGCAATGCAAGTTTTCTGAATGCTTATCTCATCAAGTGATGGGATTTTGGGGTATCTTTGGCTGAAGTGAGTGAGAATGATGCGGTACGCATCAGCAGAATCTCCCACTTCTATGGCTTCCTTAGTTGTGCTGTGGTTTCTTGCTATAGCCTCCCCTACCATGCCATCCTCAAAAGTTGCCTGAAAATCAAAATCAATCGTGTTAATTAATCATGGAATGTTTTTGACTTTCTTTACCCAGTTTGTGAACTTTCAATTGAAGTCTTAGCGTGGGTGGTGTAAAAATTATCACTTATGAGCATCAAAATGATCTAAATAAGTAGATGATCAGACGCTAAAATTCTAAAATGAAAGGTCATAGCTATGGTGCTTCTTGTCCTTGTGCAATCTCCGTAAGTTGAATAGTTATCTAAGACACCAAGAAAGCAATGAACTGTAAGGTTGAAAGAGATTCATGTGTTTTGGAAGGCAACCATGTGCATGTCACCACAATGACATGGAAAGGAAACTAGAATTTAAGCCATAAAGAACCCTGTCTTATACTGGACTAACATCATATGTTATTTGTAGATTATGGGGCTATAGGTATTTGCCTCGTGTATAAGAATTGTTGCTCCATGAGCTGCTTCTATCAGCTCCAGGCATGGCCTAGTGTCACCAGAGTACACAAGCTTCCACCCTGGTATCACTTCTCCGGCACTGTTGTTTCTCTCCGCTGCTTTCAAGACAACACCAAATGCCTCAGGACAGTGCACAACTGGAAAACTGATTAGTCTATCCAGCCCTGCTTCCCTGAGAATTTTCTTCAAGCTCTTCAGCAAAAGAAAGGCCACTCCATTATCAACAGACTCGCTCAGTTTTGGTCTTTTTGAGCAGTGCTTCAAAAAACTCTCTTCGGCAGATGAGCTCAACCCAGGATTATTTGTAGTTCTATGGTTTATGTCCGCAGTATCACCCTCAAAGGCATTCCATGAGGCAACCACGGTGTCTCTACAGTCAAGGAACTGCATATGTAGATCTTCAAGTCTTTGATATTCATCAAGAAATCTCTTAAGCTGCATTGGCCCTATAACCAGTATTGGTTCATGCAGAACTCCCCTTAACAAATCTTGCCGCAGAGTAAGTATTCTCACTAACCCAGCATGATGATCAGCATGGATATGAGAAATCCAAACACATCTCAGATTTCTCACAGCATTGTCAGCACCCTCCTTCCCATATCTGTCCTCAAAAGACATCAACCATAATGTTAAGTGAATAAAATGGCTAATCATGACGATACAAACTGTAATTACAAGAAATTTATGATGCTACCTTCTTTTCAGTTGTGCTAAGGTCCCTTCCCCACAATCTAGCAGCAGACTCCCTTTAGAGAAAAGATTAATATAGATGGAACTAACATTCCTATATTTAGAAGGTTGAGATGAACCAGTCCCCAGAAAAACAACCTCCAAGTCATCTCTCTGAATATTTTCCAAACAACTAGGGAAAGCATAATTCCCATCAAATGATCGGTCTTCAAACCCAACCTTAGAATCCTGAGTGACAGTTGTATCCTCTTTTGTTTCACTAGGCTCTTTCCAAAACTCGCTGACATGCTGAGCAGCATCTACAATCTCTGGAATTTCTAGGAGCAACTCACTGATGACATCTGTAGGTGCTATGAGACTTGGAACATTGGATTTGTCCAATCCAAGACGAGCATGAGGACGCAAATTGAACTATTAAAACATGAGGACGCAAAGGAAGGAGTCTATTATTTAAGTTGAAAATCTATATTATTGCAGCAACCAACAAGTAATTGTAGTTAATACCCTAGCACAGAACAAAGTAATAAGCCTGAAAAGTTGGATCAGACAAGTTCATCAAACTGTTATTTTGAGAGAAGTTCTTCATAGTACACACATGAAAAGAAAAGTTAAAGTAAATGTAAGCTATTATGCGCATGATATATAAGAACGCAACCTAAAACACTCTAGGAACTCCTGAAACTGAAAGGTGCATCCTTGAAGAGGTTGTGGATGCCTTAATTAATAGACTCCGATTTCAAGAGAAACTTCTAATAAATGTGACTTCTTTAACAGTCTATGTAGGCCCTTGGTTTTAAACATTCCCTTAAACTCATGGCTCTTGTGTCAAGTGAATTTCCTTTAGCGTTTTCAGGAATTGTTATTGCAGGAAAATCCAAATATAGGGTTTCAAAAAGAAGGCATTATTGGACAGAGATGATAAAATAAAATTAAGTTGGAAAAACAATGTGGAATAGTAAAGGTTTTTATACCTTCAGGAGATTTTCAGCAAATATGCTTTGGGAAAGCTTTGAAACGGGACCCTGTATAACAAGGGAAAATGATTTCCTGGTCAGCCCCAAATATTTTAAGAATAACAATCAACTCCTGGGAGTCAAAAGAACTTCCTCTAAGAGTGAGAGCAAACCTCACTTGAAGCAGCAGAGGGCTGGGCTGCATTATTTCGGTCACGAAGAGACAAGAAAGTGGGAGTTGGAAACAACTGGGGACACAAATAATTTAGTCGTGCAGCAACTCTTGCACTGGATTTTAGAATTGGAATTTCAACATTCTTCCTGCGAATAACAAGGGTACCCAAAAGAAATTATCAAACAATATAGGGGCCACCTTTCAAAGAAGTGTCAAGGACGGTACTCACAATGCATGGCCAGCCCTGATATGCTGAGCTGAATCAAATTTCTGCATCCATTTCTCATAACTAGGACTGCTTACGACAGAAGCAGGAGTTAAATGAATGATGCAATTTACGACCTTGGTGCTCTGTGGTGAACTATCAGAGAAGTCTGAATAATAACCATTAAGAGACTCCATGAATAATAGCTCTTGTGCATGAGACTCTGTAGGACAGTCTACAATAAAAACAATAGGACCAGGAATTGAAGGACCAAATACATCACTTGGGTGTACCTGAACAATGAGACATTAAATCTATATGTTAAATCATAGCAGTTGACAAACTTCAAACACCAGAAAGTCATATTATAGAGCCTTAAACTTTCTTCTCATTATGCCGATTTTGAACTCGCCGTAATATCTAACAAATCTGACTTCACAGAGTCTCCACGTTGCAGTATTCTATACTTTTCCCGAACTGTGAGGCCAAAAGCATCAGCTTTTTCTTTGTTAAATTTTCCCCTAATTTCATGCAATTCACAAACGTATATTACAGATATCTCACAAGGCTTTACATGTGATCCATCCAAAATATGTGGTCGCAAGAGAATGGCTGATACTTTAACAGCATTATTATCAACAAGAACATGGCGGTCATCAGAGATGAGTTTGGTGTGAACCATGGCGGCATGTGGGATGAAAGACTTCATAGCCTCAACCAACAACTTAAGATCTGAAGGACCCCATATGTTGACCTAAGAAACAAAATGAACTACCATTAAGATTAATTCCCACTGGCTTTGCCAATTCATTAGAAAACAAACGATTGCAGAGAAGGCAGGTATGTGAAAAGAATTTGATGATACTCACAGACATTCCTTCTCCCATGCCGGCCAAAGTCAGAAGCAAGCCTGCAAGATAGGATAAAACCATTACTTCAACACCCTAATATTAACGAATAACACTGGCTTCGCAACAATCTTATCTGGTGAACTTCTTGGTACTTAAGACTTGCAATTAAAAAAGAATTTAAGCCTAAAACACGGATATACAGCTTATCGACCAGAAGTCTAAAAAAGAACAAACCTGGAAGTCCACCTGCTGTCTCGGAGCAGGCACGAGAGAGACATACATAATCAATCTGAAAATAAATCCATAACATCAAGAATCCCACCAAAACCAAAGCAATAGCAATAAATTCACCAGATTGACACCAGAATTGAACATTTTTAAATCCCAGCACACACCTTTGATAGTTTAATCTTATGCTCAGCACAAAATCTTTGCAATCCCTGCAAACCCCAATATCCACATTCCTTGTAAACAAAATCATTATTTTAACAAGTTTCTCTCTTTAACATCAAATTACAGCACCAACAAATTAAAGATTACCTCTCCAACATTAAATATAAACCTTTGGTTGTCAAAAAAGAGTAAAACTGAAGGCAATGTATCATGAGTATCCATTCCAGTCCCCAAAATCTAATCAAGAAACCAAAAAAGAAAAAAGCTATGAGCACTACAAAAAATTACAAAACTCCAACTATTATTGTGGATATATATGATAAACCTTGAAAAAAGAAGAAGAGAAAAACAGACCTGAACATAAGCTGTGGTGTTGACTACATCACCATGGCCATTGTTTTGCCTCAACTTGTTCTTTTTGGGCTCATGGCTGTTGTAACTTCCCTTAGCTCTTGACTGGTTAAACTTGAAAGTTTTAGAAACGTTTTCCATAGAAAACAAGACAACCTTTTGGCCTCTCTGTCTCTTTCTGTCTCTGCTTTTGTTATTCGTTTTAAGGTGTTAACACTTTGGCGGTTGAGCAAGAAACTAACAAGGTTGAAAAAGAGAGGAAGCCTGAGGGATACAAACGACATGTCTTTGAAATGTCGTTGAATATCTCATCATGTACGACGCGCCGTCGCTTAATTTATTGTGATCCAATGACCAACAAGGCAACAAGCAAATAATAAAAACCGGGGAAACTTCAGTATAACCCCTGATGTATCACTTTATTACCAATTAAGTTTCAAATCGTTTGATTTTATCACTTTCACCCCAAATATAAAACCGCATTATCAATGGAGTTCCAAACCTTTGATTTTATTAATTTTATACCAAATATAATGAACCTTGCCAATATCACTCCTTAATTATTGATTATGAATAATAGTTAAATACTTTATCCAATTTACACAGGATGGTTAAGAATATATATCCAAGACGTCAAAATAAGCTCGAATATATCTTAAAAAATAGTTTTAACATCAAATTATAGTATTTTTTTTTTTTTTTTTTATCTACCTCGCTAACTCGTGTAGAAAGAAAAAATCAGCATGACTAGAGTTTATGCCAACAGATCTATATAGGCGATTAAAAGTTGAGTTAGAGGATCAAGGCCTTAATTACTATAATTAGAAGTTCAAGGACTAGAACATAGTAAAGATTAGATTAGAAGACTAAAAATAAATTCAGGTAGTTCAGGCAATAATTTTATTAATTTATTCACTAAGGTTCATTATATTAGAGTTTGCCATTAAAGATAAACAGTATTCGATTAAAACTGATTAACCAAACCAAATTAAAATTAAAATACTAAATTCGATTAAAAAAATGAATCCAGGTATAACTAAATAGTTATGACTTAAAATGATTAATCAAAGGATTTTATGTACATTGAGATCTTATATAATTCGAATTGTTTTGATTGAAACCCTAAATTTTTTTCTATCCAATTTAAAAGTTCTATTTTTATATTGTTGTTGTTTTAAATGCTAATGTACCGTGTAAACATACGTGACAAGTTTTAGTCAATGAAAGCTTACCATGTAAGAATTTTTTATTTTCGTCAAAACCTAATTTGGGCCTACTATAACACGTGGCAAGTTGTTATTGGTTAGAGCTTATCGCATGTGCTTACGTGATACATTAAGATCTAAAATAACAACAACATAAGAGTAGAAATCTTAAATTGGACAAAAAATTAGGATCTGAATTAAAAAAAATCTGAATTGTTCGATATGAGCAAAATCCATTAATCAAACGATGATACACATTACTTCTTCAATAGATCATCTTGATCTTAAATAAATAAATAAATAAAACTCTATAATCTTCAGCCTGAGTATCACACCATGTAATTTTGATGTGAACAAAAAACTTTTGACTTATTGGAGTATGAATTCATCATAAAACTTTTGTCATGACTAATGATACTGTAACCATCTTTCCAAGCTCTATGACGAGGGTTATAGTTTTATGTAAATTTTTCTACTAACTTCATTGTGTAACTGGGAGAAGATTGATCATACTCTATCCTTATTATATTAGATAATTTTTCAATTTATTTTTATATTATTAATTGAGTTAATGTTGTTATTAAATGTACTTAAAGAATCCAATCTGTCTTTTTGTCAAGATCTTAATTGAATTAGTTTTATTCTTGAATGCAAATCAATTTGTCTTTTTATCAAGATTTTCAAATCAATTTATCAAAAGCACATGATGATTATTTTTTATTTTCAAAATATCTTTGCAAAAACTGTGTGATTAATTTTCATAATCTAGCCTGAAAATCTTACTAAAGGATGAGATTAGACACTTAATATATATTAAAAGAAAAAGTTAATTCAATTAAATATCTACCGATAGATTGAAAAATCACCATATTATACAAGTACATTTTAAACCATTAATCCAAAATGAAATTGATAAGTTAGTTAGGCATGCATGATTAGACAGTGAAAAGTTCACAACTTTGCTCTTGCAAATTTTTCATTGATCAATACCAGCACATAGCTGCCCCCATTATGTCATGGGAGACTCTGACAAGAAGCATGAACAATTTCAGAAAATACAGCAAAAACAGAATAAAGAACACAAAGTTTGAACTTGTAATTTGATGACAAAGAACCTTCAAGTAGCTACAGAGAACTGAAATATATGTTACAGAGAATTGTCACTTATCGGACTCTCAGACTTGTCATTGGGCTTGCCAGACTCGTTCGTTTCTTGAAGCCTTATCATTGTCAAGGGTTCTTGTAGCTCTGAATTGATTGGAAATAGATGACCTTGTGAGTATTGTGCCATTAACTGGTCCAGAAGCACCAGGGCCACCATAGCTTCCACCATTGGTACCACTGCTTTACCATCCCACACAAAAGCATAGCTTCAGATAATATACAGCTATCATTCGCTTTCAAATAAGTAAGCATACACTGATATCATAGTTTAGTTTTAAATAACGGTTATTGCATAATGAAATCGACCCAGACCATTGTCATTTTTTGCCATTATACATAGCATAATTCCGATTCACACAAATAACGATAATAACAACGTTATACAACGGTAACTGTCAAATCATCTAAGTTGTAAAAGATTTCTCAATCATTTGAAGTATCAAGCTATCATCCGATGACATACCTTGTGGGACAACGCAGGGATCATGGCGACCGCCAGCTCTTAGTTCTGTCTCCTTTTTATCTCTAGTAACTGTATGCTGCATCCTCTGCACAACCAGCTCTCCAAATAAATATAAGATAAAATACACAATAAACTACATCCAAATACTTGAAAAATCGATTCAAATAAACAAGCAAAACTAATAAACCTATAAAAGTTGTCCTGAGACCAACTTTCACCAATCGAAACTAAATCCCTCGTACTCAGGTCTTCGGCTAAATCGTCGTATCACCCGAGCCAAAGAAACCAAGCATATAAATAAATGCATGGACTGATATTGGTGAGTGTTGGCAGAGATCAAACTTACTCCTATTGTAGATGCTGGCTTGAAAGCTGTTGTCAGCTTTATAATTTCGCCATTCGATATTCCTCCCTGCTCGCCAATAGAGGAAAAATATCAATGCTGATGCTCATAGAAGAATTTTTTCACCAAAATTAGAGGAAGAAGAAAATCTAGAATCAAACACACACCTGTATCCCACCAGAACGATTGGTTCTTGTTCGGATTCTTCCATGTTCGTCTGTGTAAAACTCATCATTATGTTCACTCCCAGTCATAAAAACACCTGCAATGAATTTTATGATTAATAAAGACTTAGAATTGTCTTGAAGCACAAGAATAAAGAACTCCAAAATGCCATAGAACTTTAATTTCAACCCGCATAGCCACTTCCAGATTCAAAGCACTTTGCTGCAGGTAGTGACAAAACAGCTTTACCAAGCTCAGCTTCAAGTTTGTCAAAGACTGGTGAACCAAGCCCCTGCCATGCAATTACAGATTTAATCCTAGGCAAAGATTGGCACCTTTTTTACAAACAAGAGAAAAAGTTTCGGATGTTACTTAGAATCAAGAAACTCTTTTGAACAATCCAAAATCTGATGAAAAAAACATCATATGCACATATCAATATATGCATGCCTGTGCAGGGAGCAAGTCGATACTTACACGTGGTACATTCCTCGCAATACATGTGACAATGCCACCAACAGAATCACCTGTCACTCGGACAGCTTCAATGGCGGCTATCATATCCTCTGCATATTCAGGAACCGGACATCTGATGATATTACTCTCTATCTGTTAAGATGGCATACATGACAGGATCAGTGAATGGAAAATCTTCAGAAAGAGAGAACTTAGCTTTCATATTTTGTTTATACCTGATCAAGTGTAAGAGAGTAGTGATTAACTAGACCTCCTGGAAGTCTAACCTTGTGGATTTGAGAGACATAAGCAAGAATCTTCAAACAAAACAAACATTCAGCCAAATACTAATGAAAAACCAGACAAACTTCTAGCATTAGAAAAGATTGTCTCTTCCCTTACGAGTTAATTAACACACCTCGGTTCCTGCATAGAGTTTAAGAATTTTCTTTGCAATAGCTCCAGCTGCAACTCTTCCGATTGCTTCTCTTGATGAAGATCTACCCCCACCCTTCAATTCGAAATCCATATGCTAGGTCACTTCTAATTTATGACTACATTATATGATGTCTTTATTGCTCAAATTCCTTACCTGAATTGATCTAACTCCATACTTCATGTCATAAGTTGCATCTGCATGTGAAGGCCTGTAAGCCACTGACATTTCACTACAATCCTGAAACTCCAACAACTTGTCAGAAAACATGTTCTAGCTTTTCTAGTTAAATCATAAATGTTCCTTGTCACTAGATACTGACTTTTTCCTTCTGATCCGTATTCGGCACGAATACATGAATAGGAGTTCCGGTAGTCACTCCTGCAATAAACACACCAAGCACCGTCAGCAACATCAAAAGACAAACACAAGCAGAAATTTTCCTTAAACTAAATAAAACATCACAGGTAAAAAACTATGTAACCTTCCGAGACACCAGAGTATATTTTACAGGTTTCTGTCTCTTTTCTCGGATTCGTGATTCGGCTCTGACCTGGCCTCCTGCCGAACACAAAACATCAAGCACACTCAAAACCAACAGCAAACGATCACCCAATCCAATCCATAAAATTACCTTCTATCGAGATCAAACTGAAGATCAGCTTCAGACAGCGGAATGCGCGGAGGACATCCATCTATTACACAACCAACACCGCCTCCATGTGACTCTCCATACGTTGTTACTCTAAAATAGTTTCCGTACGTACTTCCGGCAGCATTTATTTCTGTTAGGCAGGGCACACAAGCAAGTCAGTGCTAAAAAAAAAAAGCAAGACAAGACAAAACAGCTGGTTGTCAGAATTTTCCAAAACCAAACAAAGTGGTCTCAAAAATTGAAACAAGTTTTCTATTGTCCAATTCCTTATAAAATACCCTCAACTTTGATCAACAGGATAGAAAAGATTTAATTATAGATAAAAAAATTTAAAATTCAAACTAAAATAAACAAGTTATACTTTTTTTCCTTGTTAACCAAAAGTTCACAGCACTTTATATCCAATTAGCATTTTTTTTTTAATTTCTGTTTCAAAAAATTCGAATAGAAAATGGAAACAGCTGGTGATAGAAAACAACTCGAAACTACCTTAGTCAAGTTCGATAAACTTGATTAGAATGCTACAAAATTGATCAAAATGATCAGTAAACTAATTTAGAAAGTGACTTACTGAGTTTCTTAGGGATAGGTGAGCGGATAGAGGTCTGAACTGAGGAGCCATGGAGCTTAGAAAGATCGGACGACAGAGAAGAACCGGCAATTCTCGAAGAACCAAGAAAAAGGCTAGAAGCCAGAAAAGAAGAAGCCATGATCTTGAGCTTGGCAGAACTGTAGAAGTTCGGTAGGAAAAAAATTATTCAATTGACTGTAGGAGTGCCAAAGGAATAGGATTTTTCCAAAACTATATATATATTATTCAAGAATTTTTGTAAAAATCGATTTGTTAATCCTTGAAAAGAAAGGAAACTTATGTACCTATTTATAAATCTATAAGAAAATAAAATCTAGTGAATTAAAAAAAAAGTCTTAGATTCATTGTATTTTAATTTAATGGTAAAAAAGGGTATATCTTAGAAATTCGAAATTCGTTGTATTTTGTTAATCCATGTTTAGAGATGTATGTAGTCGTCTGGTGTTGAAAAAATTTAATTGGATATTCAACCAAAGAAATGAGAATACTCACTTTCCTTTCCTTTTAGGTTCTCATGTGCAAGATTTTTTTTTTTTTTTAATAATATAGGTGGAATAAGAACACAAGTAAATTATAAATTAATCCCTTTAGATTAAGAATACAAATTAGCTTCAAGAATTATTATTTATTTTTTTGACTAGTGTTAATCATGTTTAATTTAATTTAATTTTATTTCATAAATTTTTTTTCTCATCAATCTTTTCATATTTTTTCTTTTTTGTATTTCTTAAAACAAAAAAAATTAAAATAAATTGAAAAAAAAAAACTAAGTTACAAGTAAATTTAAAAACATAAAAGCTAAATAATTAGTTTTTAAAATAAGAATGATTAATTAATTTCTTTACTAATAACGTTATCTGCTTCTTGAAAATAAACACCATTAGCAAGCTTGGAGGGAGTTTGATGCTAAATCTAGGGAGAAAATCAATTTTGACAAAAAAAATCAGTCTCATGGTTTTCATCTCTCGAAATATGATTGAAATAAATAGTCAATTAATGCTGGCACAGAAAATAAATATGAACGATGATGTTATAATAATGATGATTAGGCAAGATTATTTTAGTAATAGTATAATCTATTTCGTGAGATTATCCATAATCACCTTTTTATATCCAGAACCTCGAGTAAAGATGAATCCGCTTCATGCATGTATCCATGTTAGTCAATAAATTATGTTTATTAGATGCAAGAAAATAGTTTAATTTATTTTCACACAACAAATATTTTCAAAATCCTAAAAATTTAATAAATAAAATCTTATCCATATGAAAAAAATATATCATTTATTATAAAATCAAATTTTATTAACACTGACCGATTGATGGAGGTATGATAGAAAAAAAAATTTATAACTCGTATAAAATTGTTACATTTGGATGAGTGTTGGTATAAAAATATTCAATTTTAAAATGGCCATTGAATCTTTCTGTCCTATTACGGTATAGATAAATCTTAATATTTGAAGCCAAAAATAAATTCAGCTTTACTTTTTAAAAAAATTCTATATATTTACCTTTATTTTAAAATTATTAATTTATTGTCCTATTTTTATGAATAAATATAAATCAGTCTCTCTATTTTTTAGAAGCAAATTAATTAGTCTCTTTTATTTGAAAAATTAATTATTTTATCTTTAGCATAGAAAAAATTAATTTAATAGTATTTTATTTAATAAAATGTCATTTTGATTTTTATCTCTTCAACCCTTCATATTTTTCACTTATTTTTTTATTTGTTTATTTCTTAAAATATAATCAAAATAAATTGAAAAGTATCAAAAAATTAAACTACAAGAAAATTTAAAAATATAGAGATTAAATAATATTTTTTAAAAAAGTGAGATTAATTAATTATTTTTCGAAACTAAATGGACTAATTTATAATTTACTCCTACTTTTATTGAAAAATCAAAACCGAAAAAAAAATTGCGAGAGAATGTAGATGAAAACAGCGTCGTTTCAGACGAACTTTTTCACCAACAAAAATATATCCGCTCCTCCTGCGTTTTCATTTCAATTCAACATCCCTCCAAAATCTCTCTCTTTTCCCTTTTTCATCTCCGTACAATTCCCAATTCGATCCGGTTAGAGTTTCTTTCTTCAAATCTCTCCGATTACAAGCCTTAATTGCTTCAAAATGTCGGCCTCAACGGTGTCGATCACGGCTAATCCAGCGTCGGCACGCCGGAGACCGGTTGTGGTTTCCGACAAGAAATCTCCAAGCAACAACATAGAATTATTAGTACCGAGTGAGCAACATGTCAACGGTGGCGGCGGCGATGCCAATGTCACTGCCGCTGCTAGTAGAGATCTAAGTCATCACTCGATTCGAGGAGATGCGGTTCGAGAGAGGACATCGAAGGATCTGGTTCAAGTGAAGAAGACAAGTTCGACCATTTCGCCGCGGAGGGGAGGAGAGTGGCAGGGACGAAGGTGGAGAAACCGCGGTGGATGACATTGATGAGTGTGTTTACTAAAAATTTCGTGCTTTTACTGGTTTTGGTAGGTTTAGTACAGATGGTTAGGAAATTGGCTGTGAAATCAGGGGGTATAGATGGTGCTAGTGTGGGGACACAAATGGGGTTGTCTGAATTTGATGGGAGGATAGCGGAAATGGAGTCGATGGTGAAAACTGCGGTGAAAATGATTCAGCTTCAAGTGGAAGTTGTTGATAAGAAGATTGAGAATGAAGTTGGTGGGTTAAGGAGGGAAATGAGTAAGAAGATTGATGATAAAGGCATGATCTTGGAGGGGGAGTTGAGGAAATTAGTGGAGAGAAGTGAAGGATTAGAGAAGAAAATTGGAGAGTTGAAAGCGGGTGATTGGTTGTCCAAGGAGGATTTTGAGAGGTTTTATGAGCAGTTTAAGAAGGCAAAGGGTGGGGAATTTGGTGGGAGTGATGTGACTTTGGATGATATAATGGTGTATGCGAGGCAGATAGTGCAGAATGAGATTGAGAAGCATGCGGCTGATGGGCTTGGGAGGGTGGATTATGCGCTGGCAACTAGTGGGGGAATGGTTGTGAAGCATTCTGATCCTTATATGGCTGGGAGAGGGGTTAACTGGTTCTTGAAGGGTAGAGGGGTTCAACCAAATGCAGATGAGATGCTAAAACCAAGTTTTGGGGAGCCAGGGAAGTGCTTTGCATTGAAAGGAAGTAGTGGGTTTGTCCAGATTAAGCTGCGAAGTGCTATTGTTCCTGAAGCTGTTACGCTGGAACACGTCGCCAAGGTACTATCTATATTTCAGTTTGCGTTTGTTGACATTGCGAAGTTAGTCGGTATGATGTTTACTACTTATAGGATTGTATTTATTTTTTGCTCGTTATCATGTACATTCCAAGTTTCAGATGACTTTTTTTCGGCTGATTTATGTACTTGTTCAACGTGTAGTTCTGTTAAAACTGCATGATTTCAAATATAGTAGCAAGCTTATTTAGTCTCAATCCTTTGACTTATTAGAATTTTGATATTTAGCTAACTAGTGTTGCAGAAATAGTGTAAAAGATGTGACTCTAACCTGTCTTTAAAGTTTCAATCCTATTACCTAAAATGTGATGCTGCAACTCAGCTGCTATAGTTAAATAGTCCCTATACTATGTGAAAATATTTCACGGATGCATATTTTTGGTGATTATGGTCAAAGGTTTCTTCATCCATCTAGTTCAGCTTCCAACAAAACCACTACTATGGTAAACTAAGAACAATCTTGTTGTATGTTAATTGTGTGTAGAAATCAAACATTTATGCTCCGGAATGAAACTAGGCTAATTCTCTTCTTGCATTTTCTTATTATTGCATCTAAAATTTTCCAATATGATACTACAGTACTATATTGTAGACCTTGCTTGGTCAAAGATAACATCTACTCTGTCACCAAAGTTCAATCCCAACTCTAGACAATTTAACCTATCGAGTTTGATTCTATGCAAGCTTTACCATCAACCTCTTGTATGCAATTACAAAATTTATTGTGTCCAGCACTCCTATGAAACTTGGAGGTGCCTCTCCAAAAGAGCCTCCTTAAGTAACTTCTCAAGAGTGTCTATCTATAGAATTTATATTGAAAATGAAATTTAGACCAGAAATTTGTGTATTTGGTAATTTCTGCTTGGTGTGCAATCAAAATTTTGGGAAGTGATGTATGGTTTCCTTAGTATGATGCCTTGGAATTTTACTGGGACATGGAGTAGATGAGTGAAACTTTGTAGTAATTGGAGACTTTTGTTTGATTTTGGGTTTCTGATTTGATTTTTAATTTTTTGTAACTCTCTGTTTCATTTGTTTCCCCTTGCGATTGTTTCTTGTTGTTGACAGTATGGCTTATATTGAACCACATCTATTGACCAATTTGGTTATCAGTAATAGGTGCCATGGGAGGGGGGAAAAAAAAGAAAGAAAGTCGCACTCCTCAGATTTTCTGCAATATTGTCGAAATGGCAATATGCTATGTTGTATAGGTTATGGAGAATGCAATATAAATATGTTCTATGAATGAATATTGATTGTTGAATGCCGTTTTGTTTTGGCTTGGTCTGAGAAATTAAAGAACTATTCTGCTTCTGTTTATTTGGATTTCAACCTTTTCCCTTTATGGAAATTTGTTATCCCCCACCTGGCTGTTTAAATGTAAAACTCTTTCCTCACATGAAACACTTCAAAATTCTGCAACTTCCATATTCTCCTGCCTGTATTCACATGGGCATTTCAAAGTTGTGTTCAAATTAAATCAGTGTTAGTAGCTCTCAGTCATACTGGTGATGTACTCGCATGGGCATGAAGGAGATGTTTGGAGATTAAGGGTTCTGCGTACTGCAGTTATGGCAGGATAGGTTGTGATGGTTGTAGAGATGTTTGTAGTTGAAACTTGATTCAATGATATGTGCTTGTGGTTATGGTGGTGTTGAAATCTGTAATAGTTGTCAATTAGCACAGCAGGGGTTGTTTGTAGATTGTAGGCAAGGCGCTGGCTATGGTGGTATACAAGTGATGGAGGTGGTTGTACAAATTACTTTCAAAGCAAGGTTGTGGGAGAGTTAATGCATTTTAGAGGTTTAAATTTTGGAATAGACTGGATTAGGGGTTGCAAGTGCATGCCATGTTTTTTAGCTCCTCTTGAATCTTTTTATACTTACCCTACAACTTCTCCTGAAGAAAGTTTTTTTGGATTTAATGTTATGCGTTTATCTAACTTCTCAATTCACTATGACTTTGTTATTCTAGCTATTGCAAATGCACCAACAGTTCAAGTTCTCTCTTTCTTGTTAGTAGCTTGTGCTCCAACTGACTTTTGTTGGTGTTACATGAACAGAGTGTGGCTTATGATAGGTCAACTGCTCCCAAAGACTGTCGGGTGTCTGGTTGGCTGCAGAACCACGAACTTGCTTCAGCGGACTATGAAAAGAAGATGTTTCTTTTAACAGAGTTTACTTATGACCTCGAGAAGAGTAACGCCCAGACCTTCAATGTATTGCACTCATCAGCTTCTGGACTTGTTGACACAGTGAGGTTGGACTTCACATCTAACCAAGGAAGCCCCTCACTTACTTGCATTTATCGCTTTAGGGTGCATGGTTACGAACCCGATCCTGCTTCTATGATGGCAATGCAGCCTTGATGCATCTGCTCCCTTCTTAGAACTGTTTATCCTTTTGATAATCTTCGCATAGTTGTTTTATTGAATTTTTTTTTTTTTGTAGCTTCCAAGTACCTAGATCTAGATATGTGTGTGCTTAGGCTTACTACTTCCTCGTGTTCCATAGCTCTCTACTTGTGTCTTAGCATTGTTCAGTTCTATGTTTCTACTTGTATTAGGTTGTCAAATTGGTCAGCGTTTTATTAACCGCTTATCAAAATGGTGAAAACTCTTAAATTAAACTGAGTTGTTCAATCGTAAATGGATGTCAATTTTCTTTGATTCATTGATGCTTCCTCTTCTTTCCCTTTTAATCTTTTTTCTGTTCATGCATCTTGTACAATAGCTGCTGTTATTTGTGTTTTCAGACTAGCAATCCGAGGTTGGCCCTTGGGCCTTCGCACATGTTTAGGGCCTAAATGAATCAAAATTGCTGATGTCCAACTTGCCCTATGGCCTTTTTAATAGCCATTTATGGAGGACCACACCATGCCCAAGTAGCCATGCCCCAAACTAATTTGGCTATAAAGGAAATTAGCCCACTGAACCATGTGTTTCCTGATTAATTTACGGTTTTTAAATACCCTAAATTTTTTATAAAAAGGGCCTCCAAAAGTATTATACCATGTCCCCCTGAAAATCGCGACACAATCAGAAGAAAACAGCACAGACGACACTTCGGTGTGGTGGGGAGCAGGTACCCATGTTAGTTGTACACTGTATTCTACTATATATATATATATATATATATTTCATTGTTGGTTTGATTAAAACTATTTTTGGTTTATTTGGGCTTATTTGCAAGCTATTTTTATCATACTTCTAAAGGTTGAAGCATTCCATAAAGCGTTTAATTTTTTTTTCAAAAAAAAAAAAAAAAAAAAACCATGTTACCTCACAAAAACTCTTTTTATTTATATTTGTCTAGTCAAAATTTTAAGCAGTATATTTTTTAAAAAATATTCTTAATTAAAATTCCATTTTGATGACTAACAATTCTAAAAAAAATAATATTTTAGAAAAATATATTAAACAAAATATTGTTATTCAGTTATGTATTCGATAACTTTGTTCGAATTATTATAATAAAATATAATTATCTTTCGTTGTATTGCCCAAAGTCGGATTTTTTCGATGAACCAAGAACAAAAATGCTAACAAAGATAACCTTTTTAATTGCTATGAAAGGTAAAAAGAGGATAATTTTTTTTTTTTTTTTGAGACATAGTAAATATATGATAATGAGACAAGTATGACTCTATGCTTCTTTTAAGATCGATCCAAATAGAGTTAAGGCAACCTAAACAAATGCAAATAGATTGGATGCATTTTCGTGGGATGCTGGGATTATGCATGTCTCTTGTCTCAGGCGTGTCACTATTGGTGACATTGAACAAAACAAGACTCGAATGCATGGTCTTTGATTTGCACAAAACTCATTGAGAAGTGGAGGACTGTTTCAAAATTTTTGAAGCACAAAAATAGAAACCCTAAACACCTTGTCTGTGGAGGCAGGGACTCTCCTTGGCCCTCTGCCCCCATTGAAACCAACCATTCTTCCTCTATTCTAGGGATTCTGTGCTTTTCCATGCATGCAAATGCAGGAATTTGGTGTTTGCATGCTAAGCTACTTCACCAAAAAACAATAGCTATATCCAAATCTAATAGAAAAACATAAAATTAGTCTCTGGGGCCATGAATTTTGTTCCTCACAAGATGGTCTATCTCTTTCTTTCTCTATATTTCTTTTTTAAAGCTGCAATTCGCAATGTACAATCTTGTACTCATGATAACATTCTTCACTTTATTTCTTTGATTTAGGCTCCCTGGTAAGCAGGGTTTTTAGGGTTTCAAGGATTTGGATTTGACTAATAATTCAAGTAGGCTTGGAATTTTGACTCAATAATGACTTAATTGATGATTCTTTGAATAATTATTTCCCAAATTTGTATACCAAGATTGACATTATAATTATTTTTTCGATTGTCACAATCTCAATAATTTGCTTCCGTTTCTTTTATTTTTTTCTAATTATTATTTTCTTAAATGTGGCAAAAAAATTCCCATGATCACACACGTTTTATATTTTTCTTTTTTTTCTTCCTATTCTTTTCCCTTTTGAAAGTGGCCAGGCTTGCAACATTTACAAAAAGTGTGCTGCACATTGGAGATATTATTATCTCCTCTTCCCATATATATATATATATATATATATATATATATATATATATAACTACTTTCATAACACTTTTTGAAAAGCAATTTAGAAATTTTAAATTCGAGAATTATGAACTTTTTTAAGAAATAAAACCCTCAAAATATTCTCGGATCAATTTTTCTGTATCGAGATTAAACTTATTTTTTGATTAACGTTACATTAATTATTTACATTCATACTAATATATTTATGAGAAATTTTTTCATTTAATTTTTGGTTTCAAACCCGATTAATAAAGCGAGAAAAAAAACCCACTTATCATTCAAATCAAGTTTTTTGAAAATAAAAATGTAGGTTTTTGATAAGTGGGTTTACCTTTCCCAAGATCATACCCCATGTAATTAAATTATTTTATCCTCTTAGTAAACTGAAAATTAACTTAATGTGGACGGAAAATGAATTTTCATTGACCCAAAACAAAAGACTAACCTAAGATGGTCCCGAACCTGGGTCCGAGAAAAGCCAAATCCATGCTGTCTGTAGAATGGTAGTAGTAGATGGCAAAGACCCACTTCCCAACTTTTGAACTGCCGAACTGCCAGGAAACCATTGCCCTTTTCTCCCTACGAAACAGTCACTTTCTTTGTATCTCTATGACTTGTGATTTTCTTTGCAGGCTACCTACACGTGGGGGTCCACTTTCCCATTTCCTTTCGAAGAATAAAAACAACGACAAACCAACAGAATTTTTCTTCATTTCTTTCACCCATCATAGAAAAAGAAGAAGAAGAGTTTTGAAAGGACATTTAAGATTCGATCCCCACTTTTGACTGTTTCCTTTTGCGTTTTATCTTCTCGAGAAAACCAAAAATAATAAAAGAAAGTAGGAAACTGAAATATATTAAAAAAAAAAATGGTTACGAAAGTTTTATAACACGAATGTCAAAAGAGTTCGCAAGGATTCATCGGTTCCAATGTTCAAATGTTTCGGATGTGATGAATGGTCTATTTAAAATTTGATTTGGGGTTAAATTTAAACCCGAGATGTAAAAATGATTCGAAAATGTTTTAATTTTTTGGTTTAAGAAAAGAAGACAACCTGGTCACATTGTTGCACGCATATCAATCATAGAAACAAAGAGACACCTTTTGTTAACTTCAATATGATCAGTTGTGTTGGTAAAGAGGATTTTTTTATTTGCTTATTACAGGTAGATAAGAACAGAATATTCAGTTTCTTTTCCTTCTTATAAGTATTGTTTTTTACACTTTCCTTGTCTACTTGCGTTTTCTTTTGTTTTCTCAGTTTTCTATGTGCTTTCACTGGATGGGATACATTTGCTTAGAAAGTTGACTTTTTCGAGGAAACCCCATTTGGCCTGTCAACTTTCTTTGATGGGGTTGCAGTTGTAGATGAAGCCCTTATTTATGACTTTGATTCTCTCCACTATCTTTTAATGGATGTGATCTTTCTTTTCTGGTAAATGGAATTCATGGCTAAAACAGAATGTTTCTTTGTGTTGTTGGTTTGGACAGTGAATTTGATTTTTCTTCTTTTGACGGTGTTTTGAGTCAATTGGCATTGTTGAATGTTGAATGTTTCTTGCTAGAAAATATCGTCATTAGAATTTTTTGTTCCAAACTATATTTTGATTTTTTCTATAATGCTCCAAAGTTCATTGATTGGCATGGTTGTTTTTTAATGGATTGATATTCTTGATTCTGTTTTATGGCTTTTTGATTTTTTGCCTTATTTATCCATGGTATGATTTATGTCTATATCTCCTTTTTCTCTCCCCTCCTTTTCTAATTTTTCAATGGAATTTCTAGTTGATGTGCTAAATTCTCTCTTTTTCTTAAGGTTTTTGATTTTGGGCCGTTGCCATTGATGAAAATAGAGCTGTTTCAGACATGACACTAGGGAATCAAGACCAGAACAAGAAGGTAAGTCTAGGTTTATTTGTTCTCGTAATCTCTGTCTTTGCTGCCAAGTTATTCTGGTCTTTTTTCAATCTTTTTGTGATTCATTGTCATTAAAGAATTGAATGGGTGACCACGCTCTTTATTTTGAAAGATTTACATTTTTCATCATGGGGCTAATACATACATTTATTGCTATTTTTAATCACTAACAATCTATTTTTTTTCAATCTTTCTCTGATCTTAGTCATTGATTGTTGTGTTTTGCAGTCCTTTCTTCGAAAATTTTTCTTGCAGAAGGAGGTAAGAGGGAGGAAGGGAGAAGAGAAGGCTTCATTTGATCTGTCTGGTAAGTAAACGAATCACTTGTGATCTTTCTCTCTTGATGCGTGAAGAGGAAGCTCTTCTTCAGATTTTTGTAATGGAACTTTCATACAGATATAATTTTTCTAAGAAGATTCCATTCCATTTTCTTTTTTCCTCAAATCGAACAATTTCCTTCTGTTTTTGTTTTCTTTTTCGTTTGCCTTCCATGGTAAGTCAAAAACTAGTCCAAGATGTGAAGGTGAAGGGTTGGAAAGGCATATACAAGTTAAATAGCAGTGTGTGACAAGGACAAGAGCATCATTGCAATTTGCTTCAAAATTGGGAATATATTCATTTTAAACTTCATCCAAAGGAAGCAAGAATGGTATATCTTCTCTCTGTCTTCCACCAAGGTGGATGATGGTTTTTCTCCTTCCTTTCTTCTTTTGTACATATAAGGGAGTGTACTTCGAGAAATGCTCAGATTTCTCTGCTACAACCGATGATATCCCTTCGAAGCAAGTTTTTCTAGCCGAAATCGCTTTGTGTGTCCTCAATTTTAGCTTACAATTTTAAAAAAGTTTGCATTGTTTCTCATCAGAAATTCTCTCTTCCTCTTTTTAACGGCAGAAGCACATTCGGATTCATCGCTCCAGTCTCTCCTTTCTCACCAGTTAAGCTCTCCAATGCCGAGTGGTCAAGTTCAGTCATTTAAGTAAGCCTAAGATGATTTTTCTGTTTCAGTTTTTCAAATTTCCTATAGACAAAAAATATTATAGTTTCTGGTCAAAACTTCTCCCTCTGTAGAGTTTTTGTAGCAACGTGGAATGTCGGAGGGAAATCTCCTCACAGTGGTCTCAATCTGGATGATTTTGTACAGGTCTATGATGAATCAGATATATATGTCTTAGGGTATGCTTTCTCCCTCTTTTCCTGCTGTTTCGTTGTACGGTTTTTTATGATGTTTAAGCAAAGTACTAAATTCTTTTAGTTCAAGAAGGTATGTTGATTTGCTCTTCATTTTTTTTTTTTTTTTTTGAATCGTCAGTTTTCAGGAAATTGTTCCATTGAATGCTGGAAATGTGCTTGTGGCAGAAGACAACGAGCCTGCCTCAAAATGGCTGTCTTTAATCAATCAATCACTGAATAGATCATATAGCATGGCTTCAAGGGGATCAAAATCAGCCCTTTTCAGCTCACTTCGATTCCAAAAGCCTTCTCTTAGAAAGGTCTGTAAGACTTTCAGGACTGAGAGTGCAAGGAGGCTGAAGACATGCAACTGCGTTCCCATGTTGGAAAGGAAGTATAGCAAGGATTGCTGTGTTTGGCCCCCAGCAGCACCAAATGTAACTGAGGAATACTGTTCATCGGAAGAGGATGAAGATGGACTTAGCAGTTTTGTAGCTACAGAAATTTCCACTCCAGCTAGTGTCAACCAGATGAAGTACAGTCTTATAACAGGCAAACAAATGGTCGGAATTTTTGTTACCGTTTGGGTAAGGAAGGAGCTTGTGCAGCATGTGAGCCATTTGAGAATCTCTAACGTCGGCCGTGGGATCTTAGGTTGTCTTGGGAACAAGGTAATTTGAGATATAGACATGCATTGCTTACGAGCATAAGCTGTCCAGGATTCACGTTTTCAAATCCAGATACAATTGCAGATCATTTTGATTTGAAATTATGGCTAATTCATTCTCTGGTTGCAGGGGTGTATATCAGTTAGCATGTCTTTCCATCAGACCAGCTTCTGCTTTGTTTGCAGCCACTTGGCATCGGGAGAGAAAGAAGGAGATGAACTCCGGAGAAATTTGGATGTCATAGAGATACTTAAGAACACACAATTTTCAAGGATTTGCAAATCACCATTTATTCGGGTGCCAGAGAAGATCATGGAACATGAGTAAGCATCTCTGAAATCATTAAACAAAGAGCTGAATAACGCCTTCGAACAATCCTCCTTCTTATATCTTGGTAAAGAATTCTGAAATATTTTCTTTAATGTCCCTAGTCGGGTCATATGGTTAGGGGACTTGAATTACAGGATAGCTTTAAGCTACTCCGAGACTCGAAAGCTTCTGGAGCAGCATAACAGGGATGCACTTTTTGACAAAGATCAGGTAGCTTCTTTTACCTTGAATAGAATAGAATAACTTCGTAAGGAGTTTGTACGCAATGCAAAAAAGACATCATCCATTTCGTTCTTTACAGCTCTGAAGAATAAATCCTCTTCTTTTCCTCCTTTTCTTTTGCGAATCTTGATCTTCGTTTAAAATAACAAAAATCGAAATCATCTCGAGCATCAATTATGGGTAGAATAGAACAATGTTGTGGTATATGGAACATTAGAAGTGCATATTCTTATTCAATGAACATGAGGAATGTTTGCTACTGTATAGAACATCAGCATATTGCATCAACTGGCACAGTATTTTAGTCTCTACATGAAAGTGTGTTTAGTTTTAGTTCCTCTCTTTTTGCTGCATAATCGAACTAAATTCGGTCGGTCCATGTTCCTGACAGCTGAAAATTGAGAGGGAAGCAGGGCGAGTGTTCTGGGGATGGAAAGAGGGAAAGATCTACTTTGCACCTACATACAAATACTCCTACAATTCGGACACATACGCCGGAGAGACTATTGAAACCCAAAAGAAAAGAAGAACTCCAGCTTGGTACATACAGAAACGAACCTACACCTATATTACTGAAATGAACATAAATAAGTTGAATGGTTAAAAAAATTGCAGGTGTGACAGAATACTTTGGCATGGAGATGGGATACATCAACTATCTTACGTTCGAGGAGAGTCGAGGTTTTCGGACCACCGGCCGGTATGTTCAAAGTTCATGGTAGACGTACAAGTTTCTAATGGTGGATTAAAAAAGGCATTATCAGGCTTTAACATGGAAGTGGCGAGCGAAGAGCACTTGCCTCTAACAAGAAGATAACATGCGAGTTCATGTACAGTATTTGATTCATAATGGTGAGTTGTCTGATAGTTTTAACTCATTTGTTTGTTCTGATCTGATCTCTCCGTAATATGTTGTCTGACTTTCTTTTCGTACTACCAGGTTTTCGATAAGCTGACCGTAGATGCTAGAAGATAGAAGAGACAACTAAATTTTGCGATAGATATCCGAATTCTTAGATGGAAAGCATAATATTCTTGTGGAAATATTGTAAGTTGGGTAAGCTGTACAGAGCTTTCTGCAATTGGTGAAAGTGCGAGAAGCTTTTCTTTACGAACATGATTCGTCAGGAACTATCCTGCCATTCTACTACACCTTAAATCATCGTTGTGCAAGCAACTAGGAAACATATTCTACTGTAGTTTTTCAGCAGTCAAAATTTTGTTAAAAAATGTCAAGTTTGCTGCGGAAATAACATGTGTTTTTGTGCTTAATTATGGAGTGAAGCTTATTCTTTTCGTTTTCGTTGGAGATCAGATGAAGACAGGGATGCAATAAACATGTTAGGTGAGTAGTTCTTGTGCTTGAATTGGTCCATTTTGCATTCAAGAACTTGTCTGTTATCTTGCCTATTCAAGGAACTCTCTGCATAGCTTGATTGCATAGTGCCTGACTGCCTTCATTGAAGTCAATCACTGAGGTTAGGAACTTGGGATTTGGGTTCATAGTTTTAAATTACGAAGGCAGCTGAAAAAAAGATTCGAGATCTCGGAATTTTGAGGTTTTTTTTTTTTCAGTGTAATGTCGTTATATAACAACAAATAAGAAAATTACGTAATGATCACAAAATTTAATATTTTGGAACTATTATATAATGATTGTCATTAGAATCTGTGGTTGGTAGTTTGCCATTTTAAAGCCTCGGAATTAAAACCCTATTCTGCATGCTTTTACTTCAATTTTTGGTCATCATGTTTTCTCTTTGCTGCCTCCATTTTCTAGTCATTGTCATTATCCTGTTGATGACTCAATACTCCCTCTTAAATTTGAAGTCCTTTAAAGATTTTAAAAGTTTGAAGGAGGTGCACTAATGACGTGAATCCAATGAGCTATTAAATGAACTATAAATTGAATTATTATGTACTTTTCTGACGAATCTGTCGTAACAAAATTGAAACCAAAGTAAGGTGGAGAGATGAATTAGGCTCTGGACCTGTGATTTCTGCTTTAAAAAAGCCAGGCCAAGTCAGTCAGGCAGACTCTATTTTTAAACCAGCCAATCCCGGTCCTAGTTGCATCACTGTTCACTGTCTCAGGACAATGACTAAAACAACCCTATGTTTCCCTTCCATGTGCAAATGATATTAATAAAGTAAAAAAGCAGATGAAAACAAAGATTACAAAGCTATCTTTCTAATTCTCAGCTAATAATCCTGCAGTAGTCAATGTGATTAGCCCTCAGATTTTCAAACTAATTTTTTGTTGTTTTGCAAAGATCGCCGTTCATATTGATTATTTATAGGGTAATAGCTAACTTCGTTCAAATATAATAAGGCAAGTCTCTAATCTATCATTATATTCTTAATTCTTTTGCAAGCCAACAAATAAAAGGTTTTCATGTACAGATCATATTATTAATTTCAATAATTTAGTTTTAAAATATTTTTAAAAAATATCTTAGTAACTTAATGTATAAATCTTTAATTGAGTCAATTTTATCTTTGAATATACGTTAAATTTTTAATCTATTATTTTGATAAGATTTTTGAGTCAAACTATCAAAATTAATCATGTGATTTGCACATAACTGTTTTTTATTCTCAAATTTTCTTACAAGCTAGACGGACGGAAAACTATCGTTTACAAATCATGTGATTAATTTTGAAAGTTTAGCTCGTAAATCTTCATGAAATTAAGTATTAGAAACTTAATTTATGTTTAAAGATAAAATTGACTCAACTAGAGATATAAAAACAAATTAATTATTAACCTTATTTATAAGAAAAATTATGTCATCACCAATCTAATTGTGTCATTTAATTTGACAATTGTAAAATCATTTCAGGTAGAATCCTAAGTTATGCCAACCAATCATCACACTATTTAATCACATGACTGACATGACTGGTAAATTATACTAACAAACTCGTTAACCAAATCTGCAGAGTTTAGGTTTTGCTTTGGAACTTGGAAGCTGAATAGTCAAAGATCCATCACATGCCTCACACAGATTTGAATTGGAAGAACAGATAAACCTTCTAGTACAAAAGCAAAAGCAAAAATATTGGAGAAAATCTTCCTTCCTTCCTCTCTTTCCCTCTATAAATAAGCTATTCCAGGGAACTTGACTAGCCAAGTCCTCCTTTTCACTTCATAGAAGACATCTTGTGAGCCAAGAAAGCAATGAAATCTAGCTGTTTCATATCAGTTTCGGCTATTATCTGTGCAATGTCTGCACTAGTACTGCTTCTCTCAACTGGGGCTATTCTAGCTCAAGCAAGGATCCTGCCACCTTCTTCTTTGGCTTCAACAAAATCACCTACCTCTCAAGTTCTTTTAAATTCAAAGTCACACAAAAACACGCCAAACACAACACGGACAGTAGCTCCTAGCCTTAGAAAAATACCTCGTAGTGGTGCTAATCCCATCCAGAACAAGTAATCATTTACTGGCTTCACCGCTACATGATCAAATTTCCCTCTTGAGAATAGCCTTGAAATTGACTAGGATGTTTTTGTTTGCCAGGTCCAAGCCTAGAGTGAAGGGATAAAGTAGGAAGTGAGAAACAAAGCTTCTAGATTTTTCTAGCAAGAAACGTTGGCAATTGGTCTAACTTGTTAATCTTTTTTTGGGTTTAATTAGTTGATTTTCTTCTAGCTTCTTGAAGAGTGTTCAAGTTAGCTAGCTAGCTAGCTGTGTGTTTTTTTCTTCAATAGTTTGGGGGGACAAAAAAAAACTATGAATCGTAGGATGTGAGGTTGTGTTTTGGATATAGTTCATAGTTTTGGTGTTTTTCAATTTTTTATGTTGCAGAAAATTTCGATCATCCTTGAAATTTTTGTAAGTTAAATCAAGATGTTAATGGTGTATTATAGTAAATGGCATGGCTGGACTTGATCACGATGAATCTTTTTTCCTTCTCTTTTTGGCACGTTATACATTTTGTCCATACTCGTATTAATAATTTTTAATTTAATTATTTGATTTTTTAATTAATATGAAGCATGTGTAATTTAATATTATTTCTTTTTAAAAAAATATCGTTTTCTTTCGTCAATCCTTTCATATTTTTTAATTTTTTTTATTTCTTAAAGAATGAAAATAAATTGAAAAGTAAGGGAAATGATTAAGTTTCAAGAAGTATAAAAAATATAAAGACTAAATAATTTTTTTTTTTTAAGGGATACTACTTGGTTTGTTTTTCAAAACTAGAGAGACTAGTTTATAATTTACTCGCATTTTGTGCATCCTGTTTTGATAGACTAATGGGCCACCTGGTATGGGCCATGAAAGAAATACCTAAATCCAATTCATGGTCTTAAACTGGATGCTAAAAGAAGGTTAAGAGATTAATCGGTAATTTAAATTGGGCATAAATAAATGAAAATAATGATATATAATATTTTTAATGAAATTATTTTTCCAAAAATCTTGTACATTGAATAAGTGAATCTTACTAATAAATCTTGTAAATGGAATAGTAAGATTTTTTTTAAAAAAAAAATTAATTAATTGAGATTATTATTTATGCCTTTCACCAAAAATAAAATGGTAGTAGGGTAGAATACTTCTTTCATTTTTATTTTTTAGACTTAGTAGGGTAGAGTACTTGTAATAAAATGATGTTACAACTAATTACAATGCGTAAGTTAGAAATTATTTGTTTTAGTTTGAAAAGATGAATTAATTAGTCCCACTTATTTTTAAAAAATAATTATTTAATCTATGTATTCTTAAATTTTCTTGTAACTTAATATTTTTCATTTATTTATTTTAAAGAAATTAAAAGGAAAAAATAAGTAAAAATATAGAAAGATTAATGAAAAAAATGACATTTTTTAAAATAAAATAATATTCAATTAAGCATGATCAACATTAGTCAAGAAATTGAATAATTAATTTTTTTTAAAAGAGACTAATTAATTTATTTTTCAACAATAAAGGGACTAATTTATAATTTACTCAACTACCAACCAATGCATTGAGTGCAGCCATCATTCTATTTCATTCTTTATGGAGCCCACTAATACCAAACCTTAGAAAAAGCCCAAACAGCTGACCCAAACATGAACTCTCTTAAAGGCCGATTAATGGGCCTGTTCAACCATGATTGACTTTGTGGTCCCATACTCTGACTACGGTATTGCTGGCCAAAATTTAATGCAAAACAGATGTCAGGGAAAATTATAAAGCAGTCCCTAGTTTTGTAAAATGAAATACACAATCCTTTTAGTTTTAAAAATAATTAATCGATCCCTATTTTTAAATTTTTTTAACCCTTTTCATTATTCTCCATTTTTTTTCTATAAAAAAGAAAAGCAAAAAAAAAAAAAAAGTAAAAAAATATGAAAAGATAGAAAACAAAATAACCATAATAATACTGACTAAGAGATTAATTGATTAATTTTTAAAATAAAGATGAACTATTTAATTCGTTTTGCAAAATTAAAAGGACTAATTTATAATTCACTTACATATGCCACTTCCATGCAAAGATTCAATCATTCATTCGTATATAGTCCAAGAAGAGAATTCCAACCTAATAAACTATACTGTTTGTGATTCAACTAGTCCAATTATTGATTGAACCAACTCACATGATCATCATTTAAAAAATCTTTATTTTAATATCTACATAACATCTTACTCAAATAAGCATCATGTAAGTAAAATCTCTGAAGTGGAAACAAGACGTGTTTTGACAACATTAAAAAAAAAAAAAAAAAAAAAAAAAAAAAAATTGATTGTGTATCTGTTTTTATATTGTAGAATAATTTTTTAATTTGCTTTCATATTTCTGATTAAATTAATTTTATCTTTAAATATATATTAAATTTATATTATAATCTTAAAAAGATTATCAATTTAAATTATCAAAATTAATTAGTCACATAGTTTTCATATGAGAATTTTTTATTTTTCTGACTCATAAAAACATTAGAAGAATAAAAAATAATCTTAAATAAATATTTATACAT